TGCCAACCTGAGTTTCCTCTTGGTTTACCTTCAAATACTCACTGCCCGCAACTACTTGTTGGGATGCCCAGCTCGGTGGAGAGCAATGAGCTTGGACTTCTTTGGGAGTGAGGGTTTGTTTTGTTCTCTAAATACCATCGAAAAGGAGGTGGTGTTTCTAAGGAAGGACTTTGTGCACTATATTCTTTGAAAGATGAGTGGTCCGGTCGTTTTCCGCTACTCATACACAAATGCATAGACCTCCGCTAAAGGTCCATGTTTTCTCTTGGAGGTATGCCAAGCTGGTGCTTCAGGGGGTTCCCAAAATGGCACCATCACTTTTTGGGTTTGGACCAGTTGAGTGGCCAACATAAAGTTGGGTTTCTTTTTGTCCAGTCTCGATCGGAAGTGAGACCAAAGGATAATCATGCCCTGGTTCACTTGCCTGGTTCACCCTCTGAGGCCGGCAGTCGCCAAGCGGCCGTCTTCCAAGGACCTGCTGGGAGACAACTGGCGGGGCCACTCAATGCGCGCAACCTGAGAGATCTTCAGGTCTCGTTTCTTTTCAAAGCTGGAGGGCTTTCCCCGGAACACCTCCAAACCGCCAATTAAAGAGGGAAAGTGAAAAGCCGACTCAAAACACAGCTCCTGTTTTTTGGACATGGATGGAACCGGTTGCAAGGTGACGAAGGGAAAATGCCCTTTGCTTAGTTGGTGGCTTTCCAAGCCAAGAGCAAAATGGCTGGTTACCTACTATTTAGCTACCTGGGATCCACTGGTGTTGGCCTTCTTGCCTTGTTGTTTGTCTGTAGGTGTAAATGAGAGCCAACGCATTGCTGCTAGCCGCTAACTGCCCGTGTTGATGCCTTGTACCTGCACTATGCCTACTCCGTTGCCTTGATGCCAGGTAGCGTGGAGCAAACAGTGTTGCAGACCAAGGGACAGTCATATATTAGTTCCGTTTGAATCAGACCTCTGGGATGTTTTTGGAAACCCTGGTGTTTGGTGGGGTTCCCTTCAAATTCAGCCAGCCAACAACAATGCGTCCTTCTTGTTCCTGCAAATTCAACCAGCCAACACAAAGGTGTCCCTTTTTCTTCTGAGCCACAGGTATGTGTGTGCGTGTGTGTGTGTTTGTGTGTGTGTGTTTGTGTGTGTGTGTTTTTTAGGTGACCCCCCAAAATGGCTAGTTTCCTTTTCTCACTTGCCCAAAGCTGATCTTTTGACCTTGTTGTTTTCCTGATTTGGCTACCATTTTCAGTCATGGCGCCAAAAGGTTAACCTTTTTTGGGGGGGTCCCTTTGAGCAATGCAGCTTTAAAGTCACAACACACACGGCACCAACTCAAAAAACCATCGAGCCATGCATGTCGGTCCGGGTCATCAGCTTCGGGTCATCGCTTAAGCCGAGGTTCGAGACGGTGCCGCGGCTGGCACTTGGCACGCTTCTGAGTGACGGGATGTGACGGGCACTGGGCATTGGGCTTAGCGATCCCGAGGGCCCCAAAGGCGCCTCCCTGAGTCACTTGTTGGGGTTTGGACCATCTTAGTGGCACAAAGAAGTGTGTTTTGTTTTTCTTGTCGGCCAATCCACTCACGAGCTGAGCAAATCCATTTGCTTACTCCTAAGGGCGTCAGATCACCGAGGGACATCCAGGGAACCAGTTGAGAACTTGTGGTGACTGGTTTTTGACCGATGTTCATTGAGAATCAAGTACCCATAGTACCCACAAAATGGGGTGGTGGCATTTGTGTCCTGTGGCTATCAGGGTTTGGGGATTGGGATGTGGGTTGCTTCTCGTGGGTTTCTTGGCGCTCGATTCTCGCATTCTGCCATGGGCGCTCTGGGTGCATCCGAATCGGAGGATATGCGTTTGGCGTTGTTTGAGTTGGTACCCGTCAAGGGGAAACCAAAAGGAGACCTCCGTTGTTGGGGTCCCCTAAAAACAGACACACCATATTTATGAAGATGATACAAGACAGGCAATCCAAATGTACCTTTGGGGGGACCATCCAGCACCTGACCGTGGATTTGAACTGAATCTGGTTGGGTTCACGCTGAGAATGCCATCCACGGTTATACGGGGGAGAAAAGTTTTGTGCATTGCATGACTCAAACAACTTGTTGAACATGCACTTCCTTTTCGGTATCAGTTGCGGGTTCTTTGCCAGACTCCGGTGTGTAACTCCCAGAAGATAAACAGAAGCTTACATCTCCAACTTGCTCAGTTGCTCCTTGCTTTTGACCCACGAATAAAACATCCCTGAGGAAGTTTGAGTGGGACTTCTTCCCTTTAATGGATCCGGATCACCTGGGCAACTTCCCTTATCAATCCGCCATGTGTTGCTTGCTGAATGCCAGCTGCTGCGAAACCTCTTATGTGAATTTGTTTGCCCTGTGGCCTTGTCCATGGCAAAGTCGGTAACACTTCTCGGGTCACACCTCGATTGCGGCTTGCCTTGAGCGGGTGTGCGTTCGCGTTTTGGCTGAAAGTGCCTTTCCAACATGTCAGGTAGCCCTTAGTTGGTGGTTTGGTTTGTTAGTTGGTGGTTCGGTTTGGGGATTTGAAGCCCTGGTTCTTGTAGAGGCGGGAAACGCGACACCTGCAAACCACCGAGCTCCAAACCCATCAAAAGGAAGCTAAAGCTGTGTGCTCTCGTGGCCCAGGTTACGACTCAGCTTGGCTTTCTGTCGACGCGCCGCAGGTGCCAAACTTGGGATGGACGGAAGCAGGGTCTCCAGGATTCCTAAGATTTCCACTCACACATCACCCTTAGGGAAGCTCTCTATGTTTAAACTTCCAAGAAGGGACATATGTAGGGATGGAAGAAGGTTCTAGGTGTGACATCGTCTAGAAAGGTGAGCAAATATCACTCAGGTAACAAGTTTTCTCCTTGCATGAGTCTGTCTCAAAAGGAAAAACTGTTTTGGATGGGTTCGAAGAAAACCAGGCGTTTGAGGGGTGCCAAATCTTGAGATGATCCCAGCTGTTTGACTACGTTGGCAGCCCTTGGTCCCCTCCTGAATCCAATCATGCGTATACGTATATGAATGGCTATGTCATTCAGTGGGGAGTGACCACATATCTCCATTTGTCCACCTGTGGTGTTTCCAAGTAAAATTGACACCCCAACATATACCTACAACATATGTATGTATTTGTTTAGGAGGGATCCCCAAACTTCATTCAAACCAGCTCGGATCAACTAGGGTCCAGTCAAGCCTCGTTCCGCGCCTTTGCTTCTGGGTCCAATGATTTGCGTAAAACACGTGAGTGGCTGAGACAGGATGTAGTCAGCTACCGCATTACAATCGTTACAATCCACTGTTCCCTATTCTTGGCGGTTCCCATCCGGATCCTTAGGCTGTTAGGTTTCTAGTTGGTTTAGTCGTAGTTCCCAATTTCACCCACATAAAGTGGTCGACTTTTAGCAGTGGATCTGAAAACGGACAGCTCTCAAAAGACCGGGTGAGAGCGGGTGCCCCGATGCCACGGGCATTTCCTGTGTCGCAGTCTAGGAAGACATGCCGTGCGGAAGCTCTACATGTTTTTCTTTTGGCACCCTGTTTGGGGTTGAAAGGGAAACCAAAGGACAACCACCATGTTTGGGGTCGCCCAATCTTAACGACCCATATGGACGTGGAGCGGAGTTTGTTATTGAAGCAAATGTTGCATCCAGTTTTGTAGCACGGGTTGAGGGAATTCATCCTTCAGCGAGAAAGATGAAACCTCAGGATGGGCTCAACTGAACCGGCTTCGGGCTCGTAGTCGTCAAATTGCCAAATGCTGCCGTAGTTCCCGGAACATGTTTGCCGAACAGATCGTTGCTCAGGGGGTAGACACATATTGCACAGCCCCGTCTCATTCTGATCATTTGCATTTGCGATGAGCTTTACGATAGCTTGCTCAAAGCAATTCTGTGGATTGGACAGATGAGCTGAATTGAGAGTCAGACAAGAAGCCCAATTAAACTGTAGGCAGCTGGCAATGAGTTTTAGAGATGATTCCCCAAATGGGGATCAATCCCCAAATGATGTCCACGGGTTCCGCGGCCCCTTGGTCCGGGCCGTGCACACGACGAGGCCGGGAGAGTCATTTGGTTGCTCAAGATTTTGCCCAGTCGGAATGTGTCGAAGTGGGGGGAAAAATGGGCAATACGTTTGGATTTTGTGCAACACACATTTTTTAAAGGGGGTTTCGCGTTAACCCTAGACAGACTACAACTAGCAGAGCGCATGTGTTCTGTTTTTTCCCCATGGCCACTGGGGGTCTGGCATACAAGACACACTTTTTTGAATTCAGGGCGCGCTAATGGTTTGATGAAAGCTCTTTGCGCCTAGAGTCGGAGCCTTTAAGCGCACAGGCAAAGGTCAGTTGAGGGTACACTTTCATGACAGTTCTTGCATTTGCCACCGCCCTGAAATCTATGGATCCGCTGGCTTCAAGGCGAACCAAAAGATCCCTTGCTTTAGAAGGGTGAAGCTATTTTTTGGAGAATCAAATTTATACTCTGGTCAGTATGTGAATGCCATCATTTCGCGTGTCAGGTGGTTTCCTGAGGGCCTCGCAAGTTAAACCGAGACTTGTGATGTCCAATGGGGGCAATGGAACTGGGCACGAACATCACCATCCTGTCAAAAAGAAACCAGACCCATTGACAGGGTTTCGATTGTATGGCAACCGGAAACCCTGAACATGGTGAAGGGTAAGCCCAGTAAGGCAACAGAGGCCAAACAGAGAACCACAACCTGTTTGTTTGGATTTGTCCTGGACCTTAGGTGGACATATCTTTACATGGTTCTTGTCCAACTAGATTGAACGGCGTGCCCCTGTTGGGGGGTCTCCCTATTCTGACATACACAGATGGGTGTGGCTTGCTATTGAAGCGCTAGGGTTACGCGGGTTTTAGTATTTGGTTCCGTTTGCCAAGGTGCCATGTTGGTACATTTTTCTGAGCCACGACCAAATGCCCGCAGCCGTTTTATCAAGGACTGGACTTAGTTTGGCGAGGCATCCAGCAATGGAGGCGAGCGGAAAGGTTTTCGAGTGTGTGAAGATCGGCTTCCATTTGCTTAAGAAAATTATTTTACGTTCCTTGTTGGTGTTGAAGGGAATTTGTCACTGGAAACATTTGTTCCCCAGGGGGATTAAGCAGTTGTAATTCGGTATCCTTTGGTTGTTGCCCTTTTTCTCGGTCGATTGACTTCGACCTCTTTGCAGCCCCCTTTTTCTTTTAATCCAAGAGCGGCTAGGTGGACATTGTTTACAGTGCAAGAGGGCCTGCGACCCCGAAAACAGACAAGCTGTTATTTGGCCATTTCCAAGAGCCCTGCTTACTTGTCGGAAAGGGATGGTTGTGGACCTGAATGATTTAGGCAGCCATGACAAGGATTCCTGTGGAATGATGACCATGATTCACATAAACAGGCTTGACTTTGACCACGTCGGCCATGCTTCTTTCCCACATGCACATGCCTTTCGCAGGTATCTCGCCGTTCCCACGGACCTCGTGCACAACGCACAACGATAATCCAAAAGTAGGAAAACTGTAGCCGCTTCACGGTCACTGCCGAAGAATAGCAACGAAAAATAGTACATCCGAAAAAGAAGAGATGCAGCTCGCTGACCGAGCCTGTTCCACAAGGTATTTCCAAAAGCCGAACCCGCTTCAGGAGGTGCCATGCGCGTGTTTCTTTTGCGCCTATTCGCCCAACAGTCCAGCCCAGTATGGTGGCCCCCGACGCGAATTGAATGATCTACAAGTTGGAATGGAACCCTAAAAGACATAGAGTTTAAGGAGTTTTCTCCTTTGGCGAAGAGGTATATGTTTCGCTGTTCTTGGCACGTGTCGTGGATCTTAGGGCTTTGGGGGTCTGTCCGATTTTAGTCGGGGTTTGCACAGAACATAGGCTAGGAGGCGTTCCCAAATGAGTATGTGTCGAAATAGGGGGACCCACGAACTCATGGGGATCCTTGGTTCCTTTTTAACGTAACCAACCTGAAAAGGGAACCATCGAAAACACGAAGACAAAGATGAATCATATAGGCAACGCCATGACTCTCGACTGGTCAAGAGCTCAGGTAGGTCCTAAGTTCCTATGATTTCATTTGAGATCATGAATGAGGACTTCAACCGAGCTTTGAGGGGTTATCAGGTTTCCTGTTCGAGACGTTTAGTTATTCCTCTGACACGACGTATTATTTCGGTGACTAAAAGTGAATCAATCAAGACGAAATGTGTATATACATATATATATACATATAATACACAACATTACATTACAATACATTCCGTCCCATTCCATACCGTACCATACCATACCATACGTACAGAACAAGCTCTACCTCCAGCTCACGAAAGGTGTCCTCCTTCGCAGCTTCGCCCTTGCATCGATCACACCCCGATTTGGGTAGGCCCAAGTGCAAGCGCTGCATCGCATGGCGGAGTCGGACTGGGCGCACCAGGAGCCTGTCGAGAGAGCAGGTTCAAACACAGCAGGCATATTTCCTCGAGGTTGATTGCTTGTGGTTCCACGGTTGTGGTTGTGGTTGTTGCTGGCAGTGGTGGTTGTGATTGTAATGGTTGTTGCTGCTGCTGGCGGCGGCTGTGGTGTTGGTGGTTTTGTTGCCTGTGTTGTTTCTGTTGTGACCGAACCGCGGACGCAACAAGGGTAAATCTGCAACCCACTTAGACTTGACTTGGGAGAACGTAACAGGTGGGGGAAGAGGAGGCTAGCAGTGTGTGTGTGTGTGTGCAGCAACTTGTGGCAGACCTGACTCGTCCAAAACCACACAAAAGGAGCAGCCCGAGGAGTATCCAAGAGCTCCTTGGAACGCTGGAACCCTCTAGGAACCTGCACGGCCACCTAGTCAGATGCATGTAGAATCTGTACATGGGTCTGCTTTTTCCTTCTAAGGGACCCTCTTTCTTGTTGGTTTTGCAAGGAAAACCAAGAAAGCCGCCATTTTGGGGTGTCCCCCAAAGAATGACACACCCATAGCACTGGAGGTGTGAGAGTGCAGCATGTCGATCTGGAATGGTTCCGTCCAAACCTAATGGCGACTCCAGATGAATCAACCGACCTGGCGGAGGTTAGTACGGAGGTGGTCTGTCATGTGAGCACAATTTCCTTCAACTGTTCAGCAGTTGATTTATCACGGGATCCCTTTGGGGGAGTGCCAACAAGTGTTTGGCTTCCTTTTGTTTCGCGTTGGCCATTTCAAAAGCGGGCAAGGGCCATTAAGGACAGTTGAGGTTCACTCGGCGTTTGCTACCATGAAACCGGCGACATCCTCATCTTTGAGCGTTAGCGTTTTGGATACAAAAAGGGTCCCTTGTTGTGGGATACAAATTCGGGCAAGGATGGTGTTCAAAGGTTAATAAAAGCAGTACAGGGACAGCCGCACGTGCCAATCATGTTGTTTGGTGGACCAATGCACCTGGCGGATCTCCTTTTTCATTTGCGGCATTTGTGGGGATGGCAATTCTGCAGGCAGCTCGTGCGACAAACATTCCATCCGTGGAGTGTGAAGCCAAGCTACACAGCTTGCAGCCCCCAAAAAAAACATCAGGAGTCAACTCAATCCCCAGCTTTTCGCTTTCGGATAAGTCGGATTCACCGGGGTGGATGCAATTGGAACTTGCGGGAATCAACTGGATCCCCAGCTTTTCGCTTTCAGATCAGTCGGGTGAGTTGACTTGGAGCAAGAGGAGACTTGCTACGTGACTCTGCTGAAGATTCTGGGCAACATCGTAGACCATCCCTCCGAGGCTGACTCGATGGGCTGCAATCCAATCCAATGCCTGGGCGCGTTCTATGGACCCAGCCAGTTGGTTGTCCTTCGCCCTAACGGAAACTGGGCGCTCAATACAATGTTGTTGGGTTCCCCACGGATACTTCCCATTCATCATGCAGATTCGGCAAGGGGAAGTCCCGCTTGTTTTAGGTACAACCTTATTTCTGTCAGAAGCTGGCCAAAGCTGCCTGCAGAAGGGCTTGCAGGCATTGCTCTTGGATATGTTGATTGGATGTGGTGGATGTGTCGGATATTGTTTGCATGTGTTGGAAGTGCTTGGATGTTTTGGATATGTGCCGTTGTTTGTTGTTTTTGTTTTGTGTGTGTGTGTGTGTTGGATGTTGCTGGATGTGTTTGCTTTGGGCCCTGCAGAAGCCCTGGTCCTTGTGTTCTTTTGCAAGGCTGCCGGGGCTGTCGCGGAGTAGGCAAAAATCGTTTGAGCCTCTCTTGCATGCACAGATGGCCTCCATGATGCGTGGAATGCCCAAAAAGTGAGCACACCGCAAGACCCAAGAAGCCAACAAAGAAGCCTAGCAGCAGACATACGAACGAGGGGACACACAAGCAATGATGCCAACATGTCCAGTCGATTCGATCGGGCAAAGCGCGCCAAGCCAAACAAGGACTTGGCAAAAGGCAATAATAAGACACTTACACAAATAGACAAAGTGAACTAACGAAACAAACCAGCCAAACAAAGCAACCTCACAAGCCAAAGAATGCAAACCTAACACGTCCAAGAACCACAAAGACAGCTCGGGATCGAGAGGCCAAGTTCCGACACCTGAAGACCAGCAACGCCGCCCTGAAGGCGAAGGCAAGCGGGACGATGCAGGGAATGAGTTGGAACCCGCATGAACCATCCCTGGTGTTTTCCTTTAAGGGAAATCCTAGGTTTCTATCTGACAAAAGGATGCATGGAGGCATGTTTGGCTTCAGGCCTTACTTAGAAGTGGGGTCCTTGTCCAGGTATGGTTGAGCCTGTCTACTGGTCCATTTTGAAGGAACATACTCTTCCAGGACCCCTCGGTCAGGTTCCATGTTGGTGGACAGGATGGTAGTCATGTTTCCTCACAACATTACATATCATATTTCTATCACTGAGCTAGGAAAACATAGCCCTGAAAGCTTCACCTCGGCTTCCTTTCGGCCATCTCTGAAGTGTCTTTGGCCACGGTAGCTTCGAACTCCCGAAACACATTGCCCTGGCCCAGGGAACCACACCTATGGCACACGTCTTACCTGTGGATCACCATTGGTGTTCCTGGTTGCCCTCCAGCGACACGGATTTATTTACGCTAGAATACGGCAAACGGCAACAAAGGGGCAAACATGATGAGTGTTGTCACATTTCAAACACCGCTGCTGCCCAAGTATATCAACAGAACCTTCCGGGCTAAGACCAAGCCTTTGCCAGCAGCCAGACCGCTTGGATCTTTGGGTTTGTCTCAAAAAAGAGGATTCCTTCCGGGTAAAGGGGGACGAGAGGAACCCGGCCATTTTGTGGGGGGTCTATTTTGAGGCACGCCCATGCCAGGTCTTCGACTTGCCGGGGGCCCTGGAGTTCCTTTTGGCCTGCGGCTTCGTGCAAGCCGATGACGCCCTGGCACCTCGGCATCGGTCAGATCGACGGAGGGCGACGGTCCAGCTTCCTTGCGGGCGTGTCCTTGTTTTGGGGGGGACCCTTTCCTTTTGGTTTCCCTTGAAAACCACCAAGAAAAGGTGCCCTCAAAGAACTGACGCCAATTTATGATCATTTGTGCTTCTTTACAAGACATATGATCTTTTTGACCGCCGCCACTCGGATTCGCAACTCGGCTCGGATGCATTTTCAAAAGGTTGAAACCGGGGAGAAGTGGGGGTAGGACCCACACCTCCCAGATAGGACCCCACACCTGGGCAGGTCAACGAGTACCAGCTATCCTGTTGGTCTGTAAAGGGTGGTTCCATTGGGAAAACCTATACAGGTAAATGGATCTGAGTTGGTCCGTGGAACACCTGGCAACAGCTGAACTTGCCTCCGTAGCATGGACAAGCGATGGCATCCAATGTTGAGGGCCCCAAAAGGGTCCCTGGATTGAGAGGCTCCGACAAGCATGCTGCTAGAGTTCCCGGAAACCTGCTTGTCTGTTTGTGGATTGCAGGCGAAGCCTCTTTGAAACCGCCAGCTTTTGAAAGCTTCGAAAGATATTCGCAGTTTTTTCTTGGAAACTGCAAATAATACACAGGTTCAGCGGATCCCTGAAGTCGAAAGCAGCTGGATGTGGGGGCCTTCTTGGCTGTCAGCGAATATTGCCTCGGCAGTTCCATACGCTTCCTTTGACTGTTAGATGTTTAGCCTATTATAGTTTAGGCGACGAACAACAAACCACTGAGTTGCCACAACCGATAGCACCCAGGCCCTCGTATTTTGACCGGACGTAATCACCTTCGCCGGATGGTCAGATGGCTTGAAGCCCTCTTACCGCGCATCCTGTTCCCCCTCTTTGCTTGGCGTGTTACCTTTTTCCATCATTCTGCCAGGCCCAGCGCAGCCAGTGCATCCTCCAGGTACCTCTAAGGTGGGTAAGCACCTCTTTGCCTGGTTGTCTTTAAGGGTGGCGCGGCTTGAAATTCGGGGCCCTTTTCGGTATGCCCGTTCAGGCGGAGGGTAGCACCAAGTTTCCAAGCACACGATCTGAGGATTGCCCGGGCGGTGCCGACCAGATCGCCATGGCCAAGGACCGCTTGAAGAAGCACGCGGACGATGAGCCCGGAGACCCGGATGATCGCCATGCCGCGAGATTTCGCCTGGAAAAGATGACCGATGGACCCAGGTGGCATCCCCAGCCCAAAGGGAACCCCCTGGAACAATCTCCGGAACCGAATCGCGCTGCTTGCTGGCTGCTCCTTGATTGCGATTGGGGAACGGTTTTTTGCAAACTTTAACTTGTTGGTTGAAATATTTTGGGTTGTTCGAATTGAACCCACAAAGGTGATTCGCTTTGTGAAGAGGGGTCAACAGCAACCAAGTTGAAAAGATGACAAGCACAAATCAACACGAGTTGGATCTTGAGTCACTTGGGTTGCCTTGGACTAAAAGTTCGTAAGTCACAAAAACGCAGCGGTAAGTAACTGGTCTGGCATTGTTTACCAGGGATTGCGGTTTGTCTCCAAGAACGACAACCCCCACGATGGTGGGGTTCGGAAGGCTGCTCGCATGGGTGGCTCCTAAAAATATAAGGTGGGTTTACCTTCAGGGGTGTGTCTCTTTAAATGAGAGAACCCTCAAGACTGGGTGGCTCCCCTCCAAATCGACTCGTATGTTTTAATCCAACTGAAAATGGTGATTGCTTTCAAGAACGACGCTGGGCAGTTTGCGGGTTTTGCCTTTTGACCGATTCCTGTTGTACTTTGTACGATACAAGAACTCTCTTCAAGAGGGCCCTTAGTTGAAGCGCTGTTGAACACCACTGGTCACATTCGTCTCAGCCATGGGCGTAGGAAGATGAACGAGCTGCGGAGAGAGCGCGATGCCCGCATTGCAGAGGCGTGGATATGCGTCAGGATCTCACGCGGTGGACTTGAGGCAGTTTTGGGATCTGTCTCAGAATGGGAACCCCCCCGGTATCCAGTGGGTATTTTCAAGACAAACAAATTGCTTAGTATCCTGCAAATTCACTCGGAATCCAAAGGTGGGGTCCAAAGCTGGATGTGTGGTGTGTTTTGTAGCGCATGCAGGGATATGTGTTCAAGCCTTGACTTTGCACACTGGTATTTGTTTCTCGGCCGGCATGCAGAAGCAGAGTCAGATCGGATGATTCCAGCATGCTCCAACAACTGCGAGTTCCCCGTGTTGGAAACCTCAAGCAGCAAACTTGCTGCTTTCGAGCACAGAGAAGCCTCTCAATAGAATTGCCACAGCAAATGCCGTCATGAGCACATCACCAGTCGGCCAAGATCCTGCGTGTTGTTTTCGTTGTTGCATCATGAAGCAACAATCACGACAACCAATCAACAATGTCTTTCGCGGTTTCATTTGCTATTGTGGTCTCGACATGACCACCTCATTCCATGGTGAATGTCCCAAGGGAACAAGCCCAGCCAAACTCGGATTTGGCCTACGGAATGGGTTGCTTCCAGTTTTTTGGACTGGAGCGGCTTTTTGCTTGGGGGGGCTCTGCCCCCTTTTTGGTTGGTTCGAAGGGAAGCCATTTTGGTGGAATGAGATTCGGAGACATTTGAGGAGAAGGCAAAGTCCAAGAAGGACCCCTTCACCTGCCATCATCAGCTTGCCACCACAGCGCCCTGGCCGGGGAATTAGCGATGTTGCCAGCCTGAGGACGACGTTGCTATTTCGCCGTGTGGTTTTTGTTTGTTTGTTTTGATTGGTTGGCGTGATTGGTTTGTGGGGGAGTCGGGGTAAAAGCCTGGGGCGTGGCTTGTTTTGGGACTTTTTCTCCCAGAGGCGCGTAATGGTTGGAGAAGTTTAGGGCTCTCGCAAAGATGATTGTGCAACATCGGCCGCCCCCAAGATTAATCACTAGCCCCATCTTGCAGGTGCATGAGTGGTTGTCGGTTCTTATTTATACGTTTTGGGCCAAGTGCAGCCACATCACACACGCAATAGACTATAGGTTCACCTGTGCAACGGGTTTTGGAACAGCGCCAGAATACGTTCTATACATATCGTTTCCCTGGGAAACAACTCTAACAGAAAGCATGACATATGTTGGGTTTCTGGCATGTCCTAGGAATCAACAAAAGCAATAGCAAAAGGCATGTCCGTTCTTCCGCGCGTGCGATACTGAGTACGGATACAATTGCCCGACTTGCACGCTTCGATTGAAATGGTGAGGCATCGATGAGCGCCAAAGTTGTTCACACGCGAGGCAATGATCCGTGGAACCCACAATGGTTTTGATGGAATCTCCTGGTGGCCTTGCGCTCAAGGCGATCTGGTCGGGTCTTTGGACTTTAACTTTCTGGGAGATGATGGATTTTTCATTGGACGCACAAACAGTTACACTTTGGGTGAACAGCAAGCAAGTTGCATTGTGTTTCATGTTCACTTGGAATTTGTCTTTTTAGGGCGACCCTCAAAATTGTTTCCTTGCTTGGTTTGTTCAACCACAACAAAGGGGCAAGCTCGAAAAAGACGCCCACTTGTAGTGTGGAGAAGCCGGTTGGCCCAAGGAGGAGGAGAAGGAAGCCATCCGCAAGGAGCTTCCACCGCATTCAGCGCATGCGCGCCCATACTTGGTCATCCAGCTCCTGAGGGTGTGAGTTGTTGGTTGTGTTGGGGTGGGTCTGGTTGTCTTTTCTTGACTGCTATTGGGCAACGGATCTTTAGACTTGAACTTTTTGGTTGAAATCAAGGGGCTTCCACAAACCCACAAAAAGTTAAACTTTTTGCAGAGGGATCAGCAGCAACCAAGATGTTGCCAGAGCTTTCTGTATACATAAGCCTGATGGCTACTCCTGAAACCTGAAACCTATATAGGCTAGTGCGAACAAAAATCGGCCAGCCCGGCCAGCCCCTTCCCCAAAGGCAGGTCCAGAAGCCCACAAAACTGTTCCTAGAGTATAGACAAAGGGGGGCACCCCGAAACACACCTCGTGTTTCTGTTTGAAGTGATCGAAGGGTGTTATTTGATACAAATTTGGCCACTTGAGATTCAGAGGATCCACATCCTTGTAAAGCAGGTGCTTGGATGCATCCTTTTGCCAGGGTTTCTGGTCCCTCCCATTTTTTCGTTTAAGGGTACATATATATATATATATACATATGTTTTATATGTATGATATATGCGGCCGGTATATGAAACAGAACCATGCCACAGTTCTTCGAGACAAGCATCGACACGGGGAAAAAACACAAAATTCCCCGTTGTTTTTTTGCCAGTCGGCGTTTTCCACGGTCCAGGGGGGGACCTGCGCAAAGACACGCCCTGGGTCGCGTTTTTGTTTCGCCGCGAGGAGTTGGAGCGGGACAGGTTGGAGCTGGAGGCAGAGTTGGCGCACCGAGGGCCCACCCAGGCCTCCAAGGCGAGCGGAGCTGGGGGCGGAAGTGGGACAAGGTCAGTCCCTTTGGAGGCGTGGCCACTTGTTTGGGTGGGTAGCCCAGTTTTGTTTGTTTGGATTTAAGGGGAAACCAAAAGGAAACAAGCCTTTCTTTGGGGGTCGCCTCAAAAGAGAAGCAGTTCGTAGTGGTGGAAGCCCTGGGAATACTGGTGGATAAACCTGTTGCGAAGTGGGTTTTATGTCAGAAAGGACCAAACAAGGTCCCTGAACATCTCCAATTGAACAAACCCCCGCACCCCCGGTGTTTGGCTCCTCTGGAGATGTTCCTGGCGATTGCTTGGATTCAAGCTCCCTTTTTGGAAATCTCAGGCTTTGGAACTTCAAGTGGCAGTTTAGCAATGGCAACCACCAGTGGCTTGATCAACTTGGGTGGAAGTCCAGTGACTGGGCATGGGGTTCAGGGAATCACCCCGAACCGTCTGCATGGATCTAGGCAAACTATGCTATTAGCCAATAGGTAACCATCCATTTTCCGTGTGTGAACTTGCTGGTGCTCAGTAGGGAATGAGGGAATGAACCTGGGGGAAACGAACAGTTGGATGGTTGTTGTCGGGTCATTGCCTCATTCCCTGAGCGCCAACAAGTAAGTAGCAAATAAAGGGTGGTCTCCTTCGCCTACTATGCCGTTACCAGACCTAGCGGCTATGGTTAAATGACCTGCGTTGGGCTTTTTTTTCTTGTCGTCGTTTTGACATTTGGCGAACCCATTGGTTCTCTTTAACTGGATGATCCTCCCCTATTGGTTCATTCCCCATCACCCGAAATTGATTTCCAACTCGGAGGGGGTGTGGGTGTCGAATGACGGAGGTTGGGGTTCCATATGCATATGACTTAGAGGTTGAAACGGGTCCAGAAACACGCATCCTGATGAGTACCCTCTGTGGGGTGGCTTTGAAAGGACGTCCCGCCAGCTTGACAGCTTTGTTGCTTCCGCTTGAGCAATGGGTCTGGTTGGGGCGGTGATTGATCACCCGCCCTTTGCTTTGCATGCTTCTGGAAGCACTTGTCTGTATTTGTGGCCATGTGAACGTGATCTCTGCAGACAGAAGGCATTCCATGTCAGTCTGTGTGACAAGGTATGGATCCAAACCCGAAACAGGAATTGCGCAATCCATTGATGCGTGCGCATCTCCAAGTTTGCGCGGCATACTAGCACTAAGCTTTTCCAACATGCAATGAGGGACAGCTTTGCATCTGTTATTGTCCAGAAGCCTTCATCGGCAACGCGATCCTGCAAATGTCTTTACAAGGTTTGGATGAATTTTGGTACATGTTCCGCAAGGCGTGTTTCTGTGTCGGAACAGTCAATGGGGTTAATTCACATTTGTGTTATGAGTCAGTGTTTTGGGGTTGAGTATTGATGAGCAGGAAAGTATCTCACTATAGGTTTTTAAGGGGCCACGCACGAGGAACCCGCCCTGCTCGTGGGCGTGAAATGCAAACTTTTTCCACATTGATTCCTTCGATTCGCTGAAACGAATACCCCTGTTAGTTTACACAGGAATCTATCACCGGACATGTGGCTGTGGGTCAAAACCAATGCTACCATTTTGGGGTAGGTGCACCACCCATTTTAGTCTTTTTTAGTGGGGATTGGGATGTTCAGGGGTACGGGATTCTTGATGGCCATTGGTTCTCATGTTTGTTCAGGGAGCAAAAACAACGCAAACGGAAGATTCTGGACCCCACGGAGCCGCCAAGTTTGCTCGGGAGGCGACGGACCTCAAGTTTGGGGCCAGCGAGGCTGTGAGCTTTGACCAGGTGGTTTCCCTTTTGCTGAAAGCAATATGTGTTTCATTTTCCCCTGTTGCACCTGTTGGGCTTTAGAGGAATCTATTTCACTGCTGGAAATGTGTGTGTTTTTTGTTTTTCCAATGGAATTGGTTGTACAGGAAATCGATCTCACTACTGGATATGTTGTTGTTTTTTTTCCAGGGGGCGAATTAGCAAATGGACGCCCTGGTTCCTTGTCAAGGTGGGTGACTCTGGGTGTGTGTGTGTGTGCGTTTTTGGAGTTGGTACCCTTTTGGGGCTGGCTGTTAAAGGGAAAGGAGCAGGAAACCATGTTGTTGTTGTTGTTGTTGTTGTTGTTGTTTTTTTTGTGGGGAAGAGACAAAGCCACGTGCTGGGCCCTTTGGGCTTCCTTCACTTTCGACGAGCAACAAGCTAACTTTTGGACTATGGCAAAGTGAATAGATGGGGCGATCCTGGGATTCCAGGTTTCATTAACCCAACTGGGGTCTCCTCCGTTTTCTATTTTAGGGTAGACTGATTTTGGACCAGAATCTGAACATATGGTTTTTGTTTTGCCGCAGATCTGGGACCAAACGACCACACCACAAGTTGCAATTGTTTATGAAGTCCTATACTTGGATATGCGTTGCCAAGTTAGTAAATAGTGAACGGGGGACTTATAAGTGGGCTACAACCTAGGTTACCAACAACTTACTGTTGATTGACGAAATCCTACACCTGACAAACCCTGGCATGATTTTCTGTACACACCAACAAGCAACCGTTTTATGGTTTCAAATTGGCGCGGGATGCGTCCGTCCGCGAATCGAACCTTGGCGCATCGAAGCTTGGGGACCCCTTCAGCTGGATCAGAGACCTGAGCGTTTCACCGAGTCCGAAGGTGAGCTCAATAGATCGAAGGGAGTTTGTAGTTTGGGGTGCCTTCCTAGAGTCTCCATGACCCTTTAAAAATGGGTCATTGACCCCATTATGTTTGGTAATGACCCCATTTTTTAAGGGTCATGGAGACTCTAGGTTTATGTTTTCTTGTTTTGAGGCTACACCTGTTTTGTGTGTTAATACAACTTTCAATAGGAAGCCAAAAGAAAATCCACAGTGTTGGGGTCCCCGAAAAGAAGACACACCTATGTCCGATTTTGGAATCAACGAACTGATGCAAGACTTGCAACTTGTGCACCGTGGATTGCAAACTTTCGACGGTGAACGGTTGTGTCACACCACTCGAATCCGGGAAGCCACAGACTTGCTGGGTGCAGGGATGACCCCTTTGGGCCATGTTCTCTTTTCCTTTGCGGTGTGTTTGGCTGTTTCCTTGGCACAAATCGGGTGCTAGCCTGCAGCTATGTGAGCAAGCGGAACCAGGGTCTGCTACAAGATGGGATTGCACTGACAAGAGTTGTTTGTTTGTGTGTCTTTGTTTGTTTTTGTTTTCGTTTTTGTTGCAGAGCGTCACTCATTTTGTATGTAATTGCCAGTAGTTTGCAGTGGCTTTCATGGAAGACACTTGGACATCATGGTCGGGATTCCTGTAACACTTGCATGGTCCATCTCTTAAAGTTGATAGAGTGAGCAAGGTAAAGGTATAGATGATGGATGGAGAAACCAAGGCTGAGCTGTCGAGGCCTAGGGGAGTACTGTGCCATGGTGAGACCGGTTCTTATTCCTGGTAGGGATGGTGGATCCCCAGGATTGGAGGGTAAGGATTCCTAGCCATGCGTCCTGGGGGGGAAAAGGTCCCCATGTGCCTACCCACCCTCCTCCCCCCAGGCCCAGAGCAGAAGCAACCGCCAGCATTCGGGAAAAGAGGTGGCAAGGGTGCTTCCCCTGAGTTCATGACATTGACATGTTGCCGCGTATTTCTCGGTGCACTTCCTGACCGTGTGGTCTGGTCCTGTGTTTGATCTGTTCAGTGTGCTTGACTCTGCTTCTTGATCGACGAAAACTGGTGGGTTTCTAGTTGTGTACATAGGTGTCCTTTTTTGGTTGTTTCAGTAGAAAAATAGATGGGCCTGGTTTACCTGTTGGTTTAATCATGTACCAGGGCCATCTATTTCCCATAAAAGGACACCTATGGTTGTGTATTTTTCCCAAAAGCAAGCCGTAGATGGATGTCTTTGTTGTTTTGTTCGCCCCACCCAGCCCCACAAAACCCGTCGTGAGGGTGACACCTCCTTCCTCAAGAAGGGCGGCGGCTGATGCTAAGCGGGCTGCGTTCGCAGCGGCTTTGGCAAGGTATCGATACGTTCGCCGTATCGTCCCTTAGCTTTTTTTTCTCGGGAGGGTATAAGGTTTTCCCAGACTTCCCCACCTTTCCCTTGCTGGATCCTTTCGGATTCTTTCGGCAATTTGACACATCTTTGGGGCCAATATTGACCGAATTTCCTTCGGGTGGGATGATGTGTGAAGGGGGATATTCCGAGAACCCTGTAGGTGTCCTGATTTCTGGAACATTTTGCGTTGTATTGGGATGTGCGCTGTCGGGAAATGAGCTGGACATGCAGCAACCAGGGGGATTCCTCCCAAAGTTGGCGATGTCTCTCGGAGTTTATGTTGTTGTGTTTTCCTAAACATGCCCACCCCGCCGTTCCTGATAGCCAGGGGGATTTCTACGGGACTCCAACAAGCGAATAGACAAGAACAATTCTGAGCTTGCCACCAAAAAATGTTTTCTCAAAAAGTATAAAGTCCGAGAACTCAAGAAGTGAGTGAGCTTCCTTTTGCACGCGTGTGGCCTGGACTCTGGTGCTGAAGAAGTCGCCCGAGCGGGTACCACAAGGGCGCGTTTTGACAGGCAGAGCATTGGTTGGATTTCGTTTGTTTCCCTACAAATCACATGTCCACCGTGCGAATCGTGCTGATGCCACGCTGGAAACGGCAAACTGCTTGAAAGTTTGCGAGAGTGACATTCGCAGAAGGTAACGCCCTTTGACCTACAAGTTGTCATGTTTGTCACTATGGGTGTTTCTCAAGATGGTGTACCCCTTTTAGGTTGGTATTCACAGGGGAGTCAAAGGGAGGCCAACAATTTTGGGGGATCCTGATTTTTAGAAACCCCGCATATCCGCGCAGAGGCAGTCACTTGTCCCAAATCGAATCCGGAACAATGTTTGTTGCGCTGTCTTTTTGGATATAGCTCCACCGGGCTGATTTGGCCAGTGTTCAATGATGTTGGTTTAAACCTGACCGTGTTGGCCACCTTGATGCTGATTTTCCTCTTGGTGACGAAATGTTTACGGGGGAAATCAGGAAGCCTTGTTTCTCCCCAATGACAAACCAGGGACTTACGTTTGGCATGACTGCCACCATCAAGGAACCGCATTTTTGTTTACCCAATCCCTTCAGGGACAGATTCTTCGCAGTAGTTTCACCGATTTCTGACCAGTTCTTCGTAACCAGGGAACCACCAGATGAAATGAGCCCATCTCAAAATAAGGAGATCCCCCCCCCAAATGGCGGTTTTGCTTTTGCTTTCCCTCGCAACATGGCCCAGGAAGGGATACCCCCGAACATGACACCCCGGGCCTCGGGTCGATCCCAGGCCCATGCTGACTCGGCGCCTCTGCTCGGAAGTCGCTCGCGGGGTTTCCATTCAGCGCTCCAAAGGTTAGACTTTTAGCAGATCTGAGGACAGCTCACCGCAAAAGACGTCTCAAACCTCCAAGTCCCAAAAAACATCTGGCGAGTTGATGCAAGTTGTGTGTTGGGAGTTTTTAGGTGGGTATTACAAGGGAAACGAAGGACGCCAAATGCCATTTTAGGGGAGAATGCCCCAATTTGTTTGCAGCCAGTTCAATCTTTGCGCATCCGATGGTGACCCTCGGTGCTTTTTTCACCATTTGTGGGGACGTTCCCCTTTACGTAATTGCTATTGGGTTGGATCTTTAGACTCTAACTTTTTGGGAAATCAAGGGCTTTCCATTGAACCCGCAACAATTTGAACTTTTTGCAGAGCTGTCTACAGCGACCACATTTAGAATCGACTGCCTTTCCATAGGATTGCGAATGTCATTGAGCAACTGCTCTCACAAAGTGCTTGTTGTTGGACAGCCAACTCAGTGGATGCCTTCCTTTGTCGAGATCTTTGATTTTCTACTCCCTTGCGAGTGAACATATATTTTTTTACTGCAGGATATAACCAGATGGCCGGAGCTGGGGAGATGTGGCCAACTTGATTTGCTTGGAGTGACCCCTAAGCTTGAAGGCGAGAGTGTCAGGCCCTCAGACAGGCATCACCTTGCGTAGGCCAATAGCCGAGATCCTAGGCCAATAGCTGGGCGCTTCCCCAAGCAAAGCGATAGGGGATGCATCACGTTCAATTCCAGGCGCCCGATTTGGGACCGAAACCGTTTAACCACGTTCCTTTTGGTGAAAAGATGGTTCCATTGGAGGCCCACTAGAGAGGTGGAATCACTGGCTCTACGACAAGCCAAGGTATCCCTTCGGAATCTGAGAGATAAATAGTTGTCCCCTGCGGATCGAGCCTCAACAGTGCAAGAAGAACCCAGCGCATCTTTTGGAGAACCCCCGTGCCCCATGTGTGTTGTGGGTACCCTGTTCCGGTTGGTTTAAAGGGAAGTTTTAAAACCTTCCGATTGCTGTTGAAATAGTTTTGTATGTTTGTAGTGGGAGTCAATCACTACTGGATGAGTCTTGTATGTTTTCCTCGGAGTTAAGCAAATGGAGGCAACGGAAGAGCCGGCGCCAAAGGGTGGGTGTCCTATTTGGTCGCAGTGGCCATTTTGTTCAGCTCTGGCTGCTGGCCAGCGTCGAACTTTTTTGGGCTTCACTTGGGAAGATCAGTTTGGTTGGTTGCAAGAGCTTACTATCATTGTTCATATGTAGTCATAAGATACATATATATATATATATACATATGCGTATCTACACAATATACACATGAATGCATTATGTATATATGTATATCTCAATGTTCAACTTATGTACACATATATATATATATATGTGTATACATATTTACACTTGTACAAGCAAGTTTGTCCCGAGGACAATATTAGAATCATGATCACTGCTTGCATCGAAGAACATGTCATGCTTTTCCACCGTTTTCCAGACTGCTTTCTCCGCACGCTGCAGGCACAACTTCTGGATCCAGCACCAATTCGAGGTCTCACCACATCTCTTCACGTGCGCCGTCGCGCGTGATGGGAAATCGGCTTGTCCAGAGCAATCCACCAACAATGCCCCAGCAAATCGTTTTGCGGTTGGATGTTGAGACCTCACTTTTCCTTGTACTTTGAGGGTGAACTTTGCTCTGCTCAAGCGAGGTTCGTCTCTCCTTGCGACGCTTGCCTCCGGGTTTCACGTGTTCCGTTTCCTGCCAGTGACGAAGGGGACCGGAACGAGAAGTCTCGCAAGACATCTCGACCCTTCTGAGAGCAAGGACGGAGCGTGGAGTGCATCGGCCTTAACGAAGCGCTGAACAGCTCTTTCCTTTGTGCATTTTGCCAAGGGATGTTGGGACTTTCACTTTTTGCCAGCTAATGAGTTTTCCACTAAACCACTAAAAATTAAACTTTCAGCAGGGCAGCAGAAAGCAACCGAGTTTGTTTTTTGGTTTCCCCAGTGACTCGGAATGGAGTGTTTCTTTGGGCGCCGCCTTGCACCGCGGAAGCAGCGCGTGCTGTCTTCGCGCCGGATAGGGACGTGTCAAGGGGAGAGATGCAGCGAGGCGTGCAGCCGACTCTACAGATTTCTGTGGTTGACAGTGAACCACTAGCATGTTAATGCCATGAGGAGAAAAGTATTTACTCTCCTGTGATCATGAGTTTATTTGGATTTAAGGTAACCCACAGCCCCAATCTATTTTTGGCCGTTGTAGTTTGGGGAAGACACCAGCCAAGGTTGCAACCGTGTGTTCCCCGCCTTGATTGTTCCGACAAGCGAATGCTGTCCGTGGCTCACCCGCCCGCTCACCCAGCAAACCAACCCCACCCCTTGGCACCATAATATTTGGTCTGGAAAAACCTGGGTGCACCCTGTTTGCCATCTTCCGGTGGAACAAGAGAGTCAAAACCCGGGCAAATGAGATCAGTCCGAACCATAAATAGGTGCGGATACCCTGTAAATTATTTGCATGGCTTTGGCAACACCCTTGTAGTACCAGGCATTGATTGTGACTCGACCGGATTTGCGAATAATTGTAAGGTGCCCAAAACAAACAAGACATGCAGACGGCAGAGCGGTACGAATGCTGTACACCTCGTGTGCTGGATCTGGATCGTAGGGCGCCAGCGTTTGAAGAGGGGCCATGCTGGAAGCCGGAAGCATTTAGTTCTGGACAATTTAAATGAGCTCACCTGGAATTAAAGCAAGCACACCCATTGTTGGTTTGTTGAATTATAGCAAAGATGTTTGTTCCTAGGTTTGTTTGGGCATGGATGTTAGTATGTTTGTCCGCCGACAGTCAGATGATCATGTTGGTGGCGATTGGTCGGCCATTCCACCATCGCTAGTGATGAGAAGTACCCAAGTTGCGGGTCAATCATCGGCCAGCTGACGCAATGTTCTCTCAGTTGCAATAAGTTGGATGAACTGTTTTGAAGAGAAAGTATATTGGTTGCCTATAATTTCAGGGTTTAACTTAGTTGACACATATTTAGACAGCCAATGCAATCAACACGCCACGAAAACACAGCGTCTAGTCAACATATATTGAAGGATGTGTAGACTTTTGATATGTTTGTTCCTCACGTTTTTGCGCGCAGTCTGGATGCAGCAGGAGATGTAGAACATCAGTGCTACACTGACGCCTAGGTTCAAGCATCAACATTTTGGATATTGTGCAAAGGTTGTGTGTGTGTGTTTCTGCTTTCACAGAGCACAAGTGCTGAAAACAGAAAAGCCGGGGATGCTCATCAGAAGATGGTGCAGTGTCTGTAGCTCCGCAATACTCCGGGAGCTGAGCCACATTGTTCGATTGAGTATAGAGGGAATGCCTAGCGCAGGAGAAGTGTTTGCTTTTAGCATGGGATCAACGCGAAGCATTGAATTAGTTGGCGTGCGAACAGGCAGCGATGCAGTGGCGAAATTAGGACAAACCTTGAATTTTGATTCTGCGAGGCTTCTCATGTTGCCCCGAGCGCCTCCACTCATGGCGACCGAAGCTCAAGACCGTCCACACGGCACACCATGCCAGGTCTTGTGCATTCAGGCAAGCGCGGATAGTTCCAGTTGCCAAACGCTTGGTGGCATGTCTGGCAAAAGCCAAGGCAGTAGCCAAGCAAACGGGTGGCTTGCGTTTGGGGCCGTGATGCCATTGACATGTTCATTGGATTCATAGAGCATGGATTCTTTCCCGCAAAACGGGGTTGCACTTTTTTTCTGACTGGGTAGCTGGGCAGCTGAGAAAAGCTAAAGAGATATTAAAGCATGGCTGACTCTGTTGATTGAGCACAGCATCGGGGTTTTCCTCCATATTGGGAACCCCTTTTTGGCTGGTCTTCTTCCGGGCGGCGAAAAGGGTGCCGCCCGTTTTGAGTCACTCGTTCATGTGGAACCCCCCCCCCGCAACTCATTTGCCTGGACCTTCAAACTCCGGGAAATTTCTGGGTGTTTTAGGAGACCCCTACGATTTACCGAATTCCAGTGGTTTAGCTACAATTTGGGCAAAAACACATACGAATTGCATCGTTTCCAGTCGCACGTTGGCCATACAAAGTAAATACACCTCGCAGCACTTGCGAACGTGCCACTGAACACCATGGGATGCCTTGGTCATCAAAACTACGACTTTTTCTGATTTGCGGGAGTTTGCGGGTTTTTGCGGGAGTTTTGCGGAAATTGGCGGGCGTTTTGCGGTCAAAATGGGTACGCTTTTTCTGCACCGCACAACTTTGGACCGCCGTTGCATGTTTTGACAAACTTGCGGGCTGCATTAAGTCGTTTACCCCTGCAAAGCTTCTTTAATCTGTCAAAGGCCGCGAGCAGTGCCAATAGTGTGGTTTTTAGGAGTTTCAGGAGTTTCAGGTTTTTGCGGTAAAAAGTACTACGATTTCCCGAATATACAGTCAAAGGCGGAAACTGCTTTTTTTTTTCAGGAGGACGAAGGTCCAGGTGCCTTCTGAATGTTTTGTTCACACGTTTTTCTCATTGAAGGTATCCTCTTCCATGTTGATGTTGTTTTCCACAGAGGCTTTGGAGGTCTCCTGACCTAAGCGAAGGGCCTCCATGTGCCACCCGAATGCAAACAATATAGCTTTGTCCGCCTCTTCAAGAGCAATGGCGGCGATCGACCGAAAATGCGGACCGCGGCTCGATTGGAGCGCGGGGCAAGGGAAGAGGTTGGGTTCTTGGATCCATGATACGGTTGGCTCCAAGCCATCGGCGGCTCACAAGGGTCACTCACATAACCCTGGGAGAGCCCGTATCCCCAGCAAATGTATGGAGAGGCACCAGTTTCTCAGCTTTGGTATCCAACAGCGAACCTGGACGTCTTTAGGTATTATTTGCTGGAAACGAGTTGGTTTCCAGTGGTTTTTAGTTGGAAGTCGGTGTGCTGGTACCACCAGTTTTGTCCTTTCACCGGGTTTGTTCGTTGGCCAAGAGGCTGAAGTCAAAGAAGTCTCTTGGGCTCGTGATGCGTGCACTAGCGTGGATTCCAACTCAATTGTGCGAGGGGGGTATATACCAGCGGACTGCAGGTTTCAATCCTTGGGTTCCATTTTGGGCACCCATTTTGACCCGGAGGGAACAAGTTGCAAGCCCAACGTAAACTCAACCATGCTGTGTGGTTGGCTTGCTTGCAATATGGCAAACAGGGCATCCACCGTTTGATTAGAATGTGGCTTTTCGGGGCCTGGCCAAGAGTTCTAACCAAGGAGGCACCCTCCAATTGCGGAGCTCCAAGAAAACGGATTGGTTTGGGACGTTCAGCTGGGTCCACGTGTTTACACAACCGGCAACCAAATACAAGCCGCGTTTTTCTGAAGCGGCATCATCCTACAGAAAAGACCTGAAAGAGATAGCTCCTAGCCACCAAGCTTGTCCACTCATTTGTAGAATGTTCTTACTGTTCAGTCGAAAGACCATGAGCAAAAGTTCTAGTGGGCGGCCCCAGCGGTTCACGAAGATCCAGATCAGTTGCCCAGGCCATGCGTGGTTTTTATTGTGTGCATGCTGTTTTGGGGGTGGACAATTGGTATGATTTCCTTGTTCTAGCCCACCCGTGCCGTGCCGCGAGCGGCCCCACTTGCCCCACTTGAAGACTTGCCAGGCCCATGGCGGGCGAGGGCGGACGATACGACTCTCGGCACGTCGTCTCTGGCGGGGGTCGCTAAACATTCAGCTGGGGCCGTTTTTCCACGTATGGCCACTGGAGGTCCGGTGAGGTTTGGTGCCCCTTGCAATTACAGTCCTTTCGGGCAATTTCATTGCGCGATCTGGGGGCTGGCGCAGTCAATAAACCTTAGCCTCACAGCCCAAGTGAGGCAAGCAAACCAACAAGTCCGAAAGAAAGCCAAGCTGTCAAGACTAAACAGGCAGGACCAAATCCAAGGCTCCAGCAGAGTTCGTCACTTTAAGCAGAGTGAATCACTTTGTCTCTGAGTCAAAACCTTAGCGGTTGCACCGCCAAAAGAGTTGCATTGGGCCATGTTGCAACACACAGCAAAAAGGGCGCTCGAGATGTGTTTGCGATGTGCTTGCATGTTTGAGATGTGTCTGCTTAATTTCCAGTAGAGTAATGCGTTTGTCTCACCATCTGGGGAAGTACAGTGAGAATTGTCTGGGTCTTGACCACGTGTTTTAGGCTTCCCTGGCAATATGGTCCGTTGCTCTAGCGTCCAAGTTCCCAGACTGAACTGTCAAGTTTCCACATGTCTCCCATGAAGCAGACAGGGTGGCAACGCACTCAAACCCCCCATAGCTAAGTTGACCGTGCGTGCCAGGGTCACGTCTTGACACGACCTACATGGGACGATGGGAATCGACTGGCACGTGGCTCGAGCCCTCAAGCGTAGCATAGGCTTTGTCTCAAAATTATCCGAAATGCGACATGTCCGGTTCCCAAAAATGGTGCCGAGCAGAATCGACACGGCTTTGCCTAGGCATTGCACATGGGACATGCATGTCAATGAGGCTCGGGATGTGAATGTTTGCTGTTTCATGTGCCGAGCACCTGGGAGGAATTCTTTGGGCCCGTTTTTGTTGCAGGTCGGGGCTCATTTCGGAAGTCTTTCACTTTCGGGGTCCCCATCCTTCATTTATTTGGGCTTTGAATTTGGATAATGTCAGTTGACCCAAAGAACAGTGGTAATCTGCAGTCGACACAATCATTCCAAGAAAAGTCAAGGGCATGCAATCCTCCCAAGACCTTGATCTTTCACCCCTAAGACCAACCAGTAGGACCTTCGGGTTTACCAGTGGCTTTGCCAGTTTTCCGAAAACGTTTTCCCATGAAGCCACTGGTCGACCTTGCTCGGGCTTGCAATCCAGTGGCCTGAGACAAGCCGCCGGCTCGCGGAACCCGGCCATGAGCTGAGTTCTCGGATGGCAGGCAGGCAGCAGTGGGGTCGTCAGTTTCATACTTGGATGTTCGGCCAAGTGGTTAGGCAAGCCGTTGTTTTCACCCACTAGCAAGGTTAGTTACCCCCACTTGCGACTTGTAAGTGGGTTATAACCTAGGTTACCCAAGCGAGTACCCTTTGAAGATGACTCGAACCTGTTGGTCTTTGTCCGCGTTTATGGGACTTCAGTTTAGGTGCAAGCACAAAGGTTAGACTTTTTGCCAACTCAGGAAGTGACAGCATCATGGTGTCCTTCTTCTGGAGTGGTGTGTGCTTTACGCGTTGGCTTTTGGGCTGCCCTGCGGATTGACGGATCATGGTCCCTTTTCAACTTGTGGTTTTTGCGTTGGTGCTCCGTTTAACGTGATCCAAAAGTTTGACACCCATTTGCTGAGCTGCCCGCAGTACAGGGAGAGTGGGAACACTTGGCTATCGCCTATCGCGTTTTCGCGGGTACCTGTTTTTTGTTTGAAGGGAAACCAAATGGAATGCCACCATCGTGGGGGGGGCCCACTAGTTTGACGAAGTTTGGGGGAAATTGATATTTTGCAAGTCCGTCCGTGCCTAAGCTAGGCAGTTGTATACCCTTCTTCAGGATTTGGACAACTTAAATAGACATGTCCCTTGCCAATCCTGCGTGGAATCAGGGACTCAAACACTTCTGAACAAATAGTGTTCCTGAGAACCTTTTTATCCTTGCGTCCCGAGTTGAGTCCCCGGACATTAAACTTTTTGGGCGAGCCATTTTAGTGGTAAACAAAAAGTCCAGACTTTGCTTGCCCATCCACTCGATCAGAAGTGTGAACCTAAGGCCTAAGGCCCCTTTTTGGGGTCCAAACATTTCAATCTCTCAGCTAAGTCGATTAAGAGACCCTCTTAGCCCTTGGCGAAGGGAGCCCAGTACCCCTTGGCGCTTCAGGCTGCTGGGTGAACAAGACCTGGGAGAGTTGCTGTGCAGCCGCTCGCGCCAGCGAAGATTTTGTGGATTTGGGGGGGGGGGAATGGTCATTTGGTAGGGGGGGATTGCGACTAGCGGTTGATCTTTTCTATTCATGACTGTGGTGAGGGTACCTACCCACTTTTGGTCGGTTTTAGTAGGACACCGCAAGGAAGCCAACCATTTTATTGGGCGGAGTTCCCTATTTTGGAGAGAGACCTATATTCGTGTGTGATTTTCGAGACGGAACCCGCTCCCATGCCGCGAAGCACCGAGTTAGAGTTCTGGGCAACATGTTGCAGGGATGGTTCCTTCCACATAGATTCCTTGCAGGCCTCCAGGTGCATGGAAGGTGGGGTAAACCGGGTTTCAAGGGACGGTTGCTTCAATGTGTTAGGAGAAATCTTCAGAGGGTGGATTTTCTCACTTCCTGAGTTGCTGAACTCTAGACACTTTTTGGGAAGACCATTTTGGAGGTAAACAACAAGTTCCAGCGCATCCACTCGGGGGTCTTGTGATCAAGCCAAGGCATGCGCCGCCTCAAAGGACCAGCATGAAAACGTTTGCCGAGTTAGCCAGCAAAAGGTGCGTTCAATGCGCCGTTCTGAGAAACACCCAATGCCAAGTGGGTGTGGTTCCTGTTTTCGGGGGGACTCCCCCAAACAAAAGTGAACTTCGTGTTGGTTTCTTTTTGAAAAGAACCCCCTCAAAACAGTGTTGTCAGGGAATGAATCCAGGGGTTTTCAGGATCCCCCCCCTTTTAGGAAAACCACTAGTGATGGCTCAGTTTGGGGTTATTCCAACTCATTCCAAGTCGCAAACAGCAAGCAAAGTAGCCGCCCTCGAGGTGGCCGCGCCGGAGTGGGGCCTCGGCGGTTGTGATGCTGGTCCAGGCGCGAAGCTCAAGGGGAAACGCGAATGGCCAGCGAAAAAGGGAGTGAATGTAAGTGTTGTGTTGTACGTGTTTTGTTTGCCGATGTTCTTTTGGTTTGTTGTTTGGTTGTTTGTCTGTTTATTGTTTTGTTTGGTTGTTTGCTTGTTTGTTTGTTTGTTTGTTTGTTTGTTTGTTTGTTTGTGTGTTTTGTTTGTTTGTTTGTTTGTTTGTTTGTTTGTTTGTTTGTTTGCTTGTTTGTTTGTTTGTTTGATTGATTGTTTGTGCGTGTTTGTTTGTTTGTTGTTTTATTGTTTGTGCGTGTCTGTGTGGTTGTGTGTTTATTTGTCTGTTTGTTTGTTTGATTGATTGATTGATTGATTGATTGATTGTTTGTGTGTTTGTTTGTTTGTTTGTTTGTTTTTTGTTTGTTTGTGTGTTTGTGTGTGTTTGTTTGTTTTCTTGTTTGTTTGTTTGTTTTTTGCTTTTTTGTTGTTTGCTTGATTGCTTGCTTGTTTGTTTGTTTGATTGATTGGTTGGTTGGTTGGTTGATTGATTGATTGATTGATTGATTGATTGATTGATTGATTGATTGATTGTGTGTTTGTGTGGTTGTTTGCTTGTTTGCTTGCTTGCTTGCTTGCTTGCTTGCTTGCTTGCTTGCTTGCTTGCTTGCTCGCTTGTTTGTGCTTACGACCGCACTTGCGACCCCAAAGGTTTTGGGGGTTGGGGGGGGGGGGGTGGTGGTTTTCTTGTTGCCCGAAGGCAAACACGACCCCACAAATTTTGGGGTTGTGTAAAGGGGGGGGGGTTGGCATATCAGCATGAGACAGTGGATGGAAGCATTACAGGAATGAGAGATACAGCAAGTGCAAAAATCACAACCAGCGGTGGCGCTGAAAGCCACAAGACATGATCCGCTTCCTCAAGCGATGATCAGCAGCCCAATTCGCAACCACCGTCGGCACAACGACATAACCAACCAATCCGCATCCTCACGAGATTTGGCTTTTGTACTTATTGTCTACAAGACTATTCCAATTGCGATATCAACTTCATCGCCTACAAGAATATCTTTTCTGCTTTGAGTGAGTCGATAAGTTTCACTAGGACACATCAGTCCTTGTTTTTCATGAGATGCAAAACCATTTGGGCACGAATAGGTGTCTACTGTTGCTGCCGTTTCCGTGTGCGAGTTAGAATGCAGTTGCACTCAGTGTGTACAAACTACGTAGATACAAGACGAAACCAACATGTCCGAGTCGCAAAAGAGAGTGATTTGTTTGATGTGTTCGAAATCGATCTAAATCATGTTCCTCAATGGCTACGGCAATTTAAAATATGGCTACGGCGTAGAGCCTTGAGATCATAATTCGATGCCAAAAGTGAAAAGGAATTTGTGTCTGTTTGTTCTGTGTTTTTGCAGACTAGTGACCTTCTAACAATCGTTTTGACACATGTGCCATTGTGGCCCATGGCCCTTCTCTTTAGTAGTATTGCACTCCTTGCATTTTGCCATAGAAAAGGGAGCTCGCGTGAACCAATACCAACAATACACATACCAGGGACTTCCAGTACAATTGATCCGTCGGACATCAGGTTCTTGCCTGAACCACCTCTCTTCTCCTCTTCTTTTCTCTTCTCTTCTCGTTTCGCCTTGTCTCGTCTGCTCTTTTGTCTTCTCTTCTGTTCTTTTCTCTTCTCTTCGACTCATGGCTCGAGATTCTTGGCCCCTTTAGCCTATCCTAGCACACATTCCTGGCAAAGTGTCTTCATGTGCTTTTCGCATGTTTTGCTGCCAGCCGGTTTGGCACAAAGATCTGCTACATTGTTCTTGGTGTTTGCTGAGACTATCTTCGACGCACTTGGATTGGATCCAAAGATACCTACAAGAAAATTTGGGGCCAAGCACGCCGGCGTCCATTTGGGTCTGAAAAAACTGCAAAACACAACTTTGCAAAAATGGTCTACCCTGGCCAAGCCTCTCCACTGGGCCTCAGGCAGCTCGCCCAAACCAGCCCTGCCCAAAAGCCCGACAGCCCCCGCCCAAACCAGAGCATAGCCTTCCCCTGCGACCAGTCCCTGGGACTGGTCCTGGGCCAGGCCAGTCCTGGCCGGCCCAACGCACGCCCAACCCGGCCAGCGACAAGCCTAAGCAGGGCTCGTACCCCAACTGGCCAAGCCTCTACACCTTGAGGTGTTTGACAAACACCGACCTGTATTCATACTCATGCCATGGATGCTGGCAAAGGCTGAAGATCAGTAAAACCTGCAGGGCTTCTGCCATAGACTGTTTCCATGCACCATAGACCTCCGAACGTGGGCAAGGGCGCTCGACAAGCCCAGTGCCTGGCGCATGGCCTGACTCAGTCGGGCCCCGTCAACTGTACCAAGCTGGCGTCGCCTAGTTTTCTCGATACTGTTGCAAGGCCGCATGCCAAGGAAAACCGGCGTTGAGCTATATAATATGGGTGGCTGGGGTTGGTGGCACCGTCGGGCCCTTTTCGGGCCCCGATTCCACCGTCGGGCCCCGATCGGGCCCGATTGCGACGTCGAGCTTTGCTTATAAAGTTAGAAGGAGGCGTCCTCAGCAAATCCGGCGGCGAGGTGGGTCCCGGGTGGGTTTTGCGAGGATTCTAGGAGGGTGTGGTGCTGTTGGGGATCGCCTGAGCTCATTTTTCCCCCGAGTTCGTTTGCGGCGCGGTGTGGTGTGTGGTGTGGTGTGCGGCGTGGTGCGCGGTGTGGTGGTGAACGATCTGGGCACTTAGAACTCCGGAAGCCTTTTTCAGCCCACTCCGCCTTTTTTGGGGGGAGGGGGGTGGTGTCATGTTACTTTGCGAAGTGGCAACAAACTGCTCTTGGACCGGTAGCCGCCGGCTGACAGCTTTGCGCTACACTGAAGGGAAGACTGGGAACCTCCAATGGGAACCTGCAAGGTTGGACATTACAAAGGTGACCCCGACACACTAAAAAATGATGGTGTGTCACCCTCGCGCCCAACCCAACAACAGCACAGGCCCGCCCGTCTATGTATTTGCCTTGTGTCCACTGTCCACATTTTGTGAACATGTTTTTCTGGGTTACAGGCCACGTTTTCATATATCTGCACCCATTGAATTGACATCCTCAAACCCTCCAAATGGTGGTTTAAAGGGAACCAACCCCCAAATGCCATTTTGAGAACCCATTCAAACTTTCAGTTGAATAGACCGAGTTTACCCGCGCAACTCTTGGCCAAAAGGGAAACATCGAAGAACGGGCGCGGGTAATGGGGAGGAATCCCCACCACCAAAAAGGTCCCCTATTAAATTTCAGACTCAAATAACTACACACGTGACTGCCCCAGTGCCCACTCCGTTCTACTGATTTATGCCCCAGGGCTACTTTCAACAATCGTTTTTTTTTTTTTTTTGAGGGTGCCCCTTTCTTGATGGTTTTAAAGAACAGCAAACACATCCATTTTGTGGGTGCCTTAGGTTTGGCGCATGAAGCTTAGCTTGGCCAAGTCAAGTTGACTCATACCTCTACCGTCTCAGCGGAGGCTACTTTGAGGAGTGCTGCCGAGCGCGGGAGGCGAGGCAACCAGGGAAAAGCCGGTGAAAAGCAGGTTTCGCCGTTTGACATTTTTGTAAGGATCCAAACATCCGCTTCTCCCGCCCCGCAAGAAGTTGAATCATGTGAGCTGAAAGTGTAAAAGATAGGTTCTTCCATCAGAAAACCATGGATCTTGTTGGCAGTCTACCCTTCCTAAATTTGGAATGCCCACCAAGGGGTAATCGATGCCCATGGTTCTGAATCCTGACCTGCTCCAAACTCAGCGAAGGGAAGATCGTAGGGCATTCAGTATTTCGACACAGGCACCCATCTGAACATGTCTTCACAGTTCTTGGCATGTGTTTCTTTGTTTATTTTGGTGGGGTGCTGCGATGCAACACCAAGAGTTGGACAGTTGCGTCTACGGTTAGGGTTCTAAAATCCCACATGACAGATTCGGTTTCTGAATTTCCACGCAGGCATGAGTTTCACGTCAAGCCGTGGAAGGGTGTGTCTCCAAATTTTGAGACAGGCAAACTTGGTTTCGTTTTGGTAATCCTGTCATACTGGTACAATTTCAACATGCGGCTTCCCATCTTGCCCTGGGTCCGTTGGGTGGGCCCCGCAACCTGAGCAAATGTGCCTTCGCTTTGTCTGCACACCAAGCATAGCGTGCTCCAATTACGGCAGAAGGGCAATTGCCGCGTTCGAAAAGGGGTAATTCCACTAGCGGACTCAGGTCACTTAAAGCTTTCGCCCTTGTGGTTGATTAGCAACAAGCTATCCCCACATTGGGTTCGACCCAAAGCAGCCATGTTTGTGAACACGTAAATGCGGGAAAGCAACATTTGGGGGGTTCTAAGTCTGGCACAGAGCTCTACCCGCAGGCACCTCGGCAAATCTTCAGCTGCAGCAAAAGCGCTGAGTGGAGCGCGTTGCGCCGCCTCGTTGCATTTTGCGGGGTTCTCTGCATTGCCTTAGGTTTTTAGACCTGCTCCCTTGTGGGACAAGTGAAAAGTTAGTTTTCTTTTGGGGTGATATTCAAGGGGAAAAGATGCGTGTTTTTGTTCGTTTTTTCTAGCTTATGCGGGCGCCGGAAAAAGATGACATCCACCACTGGCGACCTGGAGGAACGTTATCCTCGAGGGATGTTTTACTATGTTATGTATATACACATATATGTTAATGTTAGGAGCGTATAATCGTTTCCACCTGCACCATCTATATAAGGAACCGCCGCTTTTTGCGGGCAGACGAAAGTCCAATGTTAGTTTCACGTTGGCGCCTGGCTTTGACCAGGTCCACGGCAGGTCTGTTTGTGAAGATCGGTTTTGTTGGGCTGTTAGTAGATACGCCTTGGTATGCTTACATGGAATACATGCATGTAACACCGATGTGAATTGGCCCACCTACACTTTGTCAGGGCAGTCGATTGTAAAGTACATCTTCCGACCAACCCACTGAAAACAGAGGGTGCACCTGCCACGTGTCTCCATTGGATGCTTTCGCACAGAGAAGTTGTTCATGGCACATTTTGGACGCACAATTTGTTCAACCCTTGTCGGCCCATTTGATGCTTGTGGTTTATTAGAAAATCGTGGGTCGGGGGTCAAACACCTAGCCCACGCCAAGGCATTGGCGTAATCTACGCCAGACCCTTCACTGAACTTCCAGATCTCGAGGCGTTAAGGCGCGCATGGAGTCGGCTGAGCTGCTGGGATTTTGGGTCTGTGTGTCCGTCATGTTCCCTGAGGAGCATATGGTGAAGGGACATGATGTTATGTTCCCTTGTTTCAAAAGGGAATCTGTCACTACCTGACATATGATATGTGGTTTTCCAGGGGGCTTAAGCAAGTGGAAGCTTAGGAGCAAAGAGCGAAACTTGTTGCGGGGGTCGAAGTCTGACCCAGAAGGACAACGCGGGCCGCTCTACAAGACCCAACGAAATAGCTGGCGATTGACTCGCTCCATAGTTTGTCCCCGGCTCAAGTAATGTTCCACTCCGCCACTTTCCCTGTAAACCTCAGGGGCACACTAATTTGCCATGGCAAGTGGAGCCATAACAACCCAGTGACCAACCCAACCCAACCCAACCCACACCAAAACCTTTCCTCTATGTCTACTTGGCAACGGATCTTCTGACGTAAACCTTTTTTTTTGGAGCAACAGTTCGGATTGTCCATTCCCGCAAAAAGCAATCAAACTCCTTCTTTTGTAGAGAGGTCGTTGCAGCAGCAACAAAAATTGGACCGGTCTTAGATGGGGGTTGATCAAGAGGTCGTATTGTACATGGGATGACCATTGAACACCACAAGGATTATATTTTCAACATGGGGGGTCATGTGGGGGCTGGACTATTGGTATCAAGCCCTACATGGCCGTGGGTCAAAACCAATGGTACCATTTTGGGGTGGGTGCACCACATATCTCAGTCTATTTTAGTGGGGATTGAGATGTTCACTGGGGGTAGGATTTGGATTTTGACCCATGGCCACATGGACGTCTTTTCTATGGGACACTCCATGGAGAAGCCTCCGGCCGAGGTGGCGGGCCTCGGAGTGTTTCCTGGGCTCCGTGACAGCGGCCTTGTGCTTCCTGGCCCTGGAAGGCTCACTCGGTGAACTCCGCGGATTTTGGGTCACTTTTTGGGGTCTGGACCAGTTTACTGGGGTAGACTTAGGATACATGTCACATTTTACCAGTGATTGAAATTGAAGCAACCAATAAGATGTACATTCTATAACTGGGCCTAACTCTAATCGTGTTTAGTGCAAACACAAGTTTTAGTCATTTTTTTCTGGTCAGTCCACTCAGGAAGTGAGATTTGCGGACCTGATTGTTGGTTAAGACGCAAAGCACTTGCAGGTGTTTGAGGCCGAGAACATGAGCAAGGGGCTATCTGTTGTACAACAGAACGAGCTAACCAGGAAACGGGAGGCTTCCAAACCGACAGTTGTCTTCCCCTGTTGGTCTTAAAGGGAATCTATCACGTGACGTGTCTTTTTTGTAGGGGTCGAAAACGCTCATAGAGGTTGTTTGAATCCCGTGAATAGCTTCGAGTGGCATTTTCAGGGACTTATCTCAGAACTACTCTTGGGAGATTCAGGGTGGCACTTTGGACCTACTTCCCTGCCCCCTTGGAAACTGGTTGGACAATTCCGGGACCCATTAAAACTCACATCCATATATAGCTCACATAGGTGTTGCTCAAAAAAGCGTGGACCAGTTTTCTTGTTTAATGTACTTTTTGTGTGGTAGTTCAAAGGACACCAACCGAAAACCGACCATTTACTAGGTCCCCCAGTAGTGCCCTTGCACCCTTTTTTCGGGGGAGGGTTCCCCTAACCTCTCTACTGGAGGACCTAGTTTAGGTGACCGATTCCTATTTTCAGAACCCCCCCCCCGCTGCCATCTTCGCCAGGCGCGCAGGCGGAGGTCAGGGGCTTGAGCGGGCGCCTGAGCTCGGCCTTTCGCGTGGCGGAGGAGCTCGTGGTGCTACTGCTGAGGAGTGGAGGAAACGGGAAATGGGTTGGGTCAAAATCCCTTCTTTTCCAGGGTCACTGAACAACTGAGAAATTAAACCACCAGGGGACCGCAGGGTTTAGTCCATGTTTCCACTTATACCAGGTTCCATTTTGGGGTACACCTTTTTGATAAATGGACGAACCGAACTCCCGGAGTTCCGTTTCGGACTTTGGTCACTTTTGGGGGGGTTATTTTCTTATTAGTTCATACTGTGGATGAACGAAACAAAATTCTCACCACCAAGTGAAACCATGGTTGAAACCATGACGTTTGTTGGTATTTGATGGCAGGGGAATTATCCTTCCAGGGTTTTTAAGCTGGTGCAGGATGTCGTCCAGTTCATAGGTCTGCCTATTTTATGACGCGAGCTCACTGATTCGGGGGTAGAACGAGCGAAAGCCATGATAAACGTCGTTTGCTCGGGGATCCAATTCTGAATTCAGCTTTGAGAATTATAGTAACATTTGCAGATAGGTGTCCTTTTTGGACAGATGGGCTTCCCTGGTAGATGATTGAACCACCAGGTAAACCAGGAATCGCCCTCTACGTTTCAACCCAACTGAAAAGGACATCTATGCCGGTGCCCGAGTTCCTGGACTGACTCACTTTTTGGGTTTGGACCATTCTTGTGGCAAACAAACAGTTTGGGAAGTGAGTGGACGAAGCGAAATCCCTGCAAGGTCCCAGGTGAGATTTGGGGTTCCAAACACAGACTTGGGTCGAACAAATCTGGCCCCCACCCAATAAAAGGGCATACATTTTTATGTACCCTTTCGCAGACATCATGTAGGTGGGGAATTCATATCCTCCAATCGCTGTTGAAGGTGAACGAAACATAGTTGGCTTTGTGTGAGGGCAACAGCAGAGGTGTGTGGGGTCCACCCTGAACTCTCTTTTTGTTTGGTGGCTTCACCTCTGTGAACCTCTCTACAATTATGGAGTTGACCCCAAAGAAGCTTCAATTGTTCTTGTCTACTAAGGTTCCTGAGAAACGTGGGTGAACCTCAAGTAGCTGCACTTGGAGGGATAGGTTCTCAAAATAGCTTCCTCGGTTGGGGGGGGAGGTCCCTTTAAACGTCATCACTGGGTAGTTTTCAAGGGCTCTCTAAATTCAGGACTCCGCTCCTTTTTCCCCAACTTATTGTCCAGTTTAAGAAAGCGCCGCAGCCCGTGAAGCGTGGCTCAGTTTGTTGTTTTTCAATTTGCAAAGGGCCCCTCAGTCTCAGCAAACCGGGAACCGCCAATCGTGTTGAAGCGTTTTGCCTGCTGACCAGTGAAGATTCGTCCATGTCTACGCGAATGGTTTGTGAGTCTTGGAATTTGGAACGTATGATCATTGCTTCACAGGAGAAGGTCATGAATGCGCCCTTGATTTCTCATGTTATGCCATCGGATGGACAGTTATGTAACCTTCCTGAATTGTGGTCCCTGTGAATCCGTATGTTATCTGCTTGGGATCTGGTAGAGTCACAGAGCCAAGGTTTCTTTGCGGGCTAGAGCCTCAGGGGCGACTCCTTGTCTAGGCTCAAGGGATCCGCCCCATTTTGGCCAGGAATAAAAAAAAATAAAAATAAAATAAACGGAAACCAACGAGAAAAGCAACGAGTGTGGGGTGGCACTTGTCCAGGAGCCCCATCTCTATGGATGAGCTCCTTGGCAAGAGATGGCCAGACTCCACCCGGAGTGGCATCAGACTCGGAACTGCATTCGTTTTTAGTGGGTTTGCTTTTTTGAGAATACCAGAAGCAAGCCGTCCTTTTTGGTCCCCTAGTTTGCACACTTAAGTGACTGCTTGTTTTGCTATCGCTCAGTAGGGATTGCGGTGTTGGAATTTCCCTTGAAGGAAACCGTAGGGGATGGTTTATTGGGGTCATACCCTCATTCCCTGCTGAGAACCAGCCAGTCATTGGCCTGGCCAGTGCCTCGTTTAAGGCGGCCACCGGCCTGCCCGAGGGTGATGCTACCAACCGGGTCTGGGGTGTATGAGTTATCCCAAGACTCGTGGAAGCTGACAGCACTCAGTTGTTCAGTGGCACCCTTTTTCCCTTTTGTTGGGCGGCTGCCCCACGAAAAATGGTCTTCCCTAAAAAGGGTTCCCTTTTTTCCAGGGTGACTGGACAACTCAGAGCAGCAAGTTGAACGACGAAAGCTCTTCTGTTGGGAAGCCCCTGGAACCGTCCAACAAAAAAGGGGCGTTTTCTCCAGCTACTCGTCGTTTCTACCGTCATCGTTTTGGCAAAGGGCAAAGATTCAACGTGTCATCAAACTTTGTCCCCGTTTGCAGCTATGGCTGAATGCCAAGACTCATCTTTGAGGACTCGAAACCTCTGGCTACTCCAAAGTTCTTCGTGTTGGCGGTTTCAACATCACCTTCTTGGCCCCTTGGTGAGTTCCCCGGCAAAAGTGATGTTGGACCATTGACGGTGAGTAAGCCTAGCCCAGACCACAAAAACCAGGGGAACAAGGCTGGTCTTTGGTGTGACCCCGAAGGCCCTATTGGGTTTCACAAATGTTGTGGGTCAAACATGGGCAAATCTGCGGCCCCCTGCTGGTTTAATTTGACCCATACCTAAATGGCTGTTTCATTCCAGAAAAGATCATGGACGCGTTGCTCAGGGCTTGCAGTAACCCTATAAACTGCACCAAATTATTCAGGGCATCCACTGCACCAACTGAGGGGTGTGTTGGAGAGACATGAAAGGGAAAGCCAGTATTTGGGGAGGCGCCCATTTTTTTTTGAGACGCTAATAGTCAGTGCTTTCATTTATTTCCTTAAGAGGCTGTTATTTTCCCCTGTTGGTTTTACAGGGACTCCATCACTACTGCACATATTTGTTTTTTTCGAGACCTTTTATTCCTAGACCCCCTTTTCCCCGTCAAGACCCCCCTCAAGACCCCCAAAAAGCACAGGTCTTTTCTCCAGGAAAAAAAAACAGCAACAAATGCGCGCCGGTCTCCAGGGTCCTGCTGAGCGGCTGGCACCTGGGGGCGATCTTGCTCTTCCTTCGGAGCCTCAAGAGCATTGAGGAGGTGGCAGGCGGAGCGAGCCGTCGATGGAGACATCAGATGGTCACGTTAGAAATGTGAAGGTCATGGGACCCGGTGTGTTTCTCACTTCCCTGAGTTCCTGGACTTGAAGAAACGTTTCGGGTTTGGACCATTTTAGTGGTAAATACAAGGTTTGTGCTTTTGTTTTGTCCAACCCACTCAGGAAGTGAGTTTTCCGCAACAAGGGCCAGAAGCCAATTGTTCAATTTGGGGACAGTTGTCTGTGGCTGAGGTCAAAACCTCGTATCTGTTTGAAACCCATCGGTTTTCATGCCGGGCAGATTCATCAGGTGAAAACCTCGGTATTTCTTCGGGCGCCTTAGGGGACCCCAAGTCGGCTTCCAAGTTTCCTCTTGGGTTTCCGCTTCAGAAAAACGGGCAAAACCCCGTCTGTTTCTCACGCAACGCGTCACGCGTCGTGTCTCGAGGCCCTTGGGATCCTGATCCGGTCGCCGGGTCAGAGGAGTATTGGCTCTTGCGGCAGCTGGAGGTGCACAGCCGCGCCGGGAGTTGGAGCTGTGGCGAAGTCAAAAAGCCGGAAAATTCCCAAATGGGTTGCCCGATCGGTAAGTGGAAACATGGGTACCAAAATTCCTGCGGAGCCAGCCCCTCCGATCGTTTAATTTTGAGCCACACCCATTTGGAGCTGCGGGTTGGGGTGTCGTACTCGTCTCAAAGGACATTTTGGGACTTGGAGGTGTCCAAACGGGTTTTTGTTTCTGGATTTGTTGGATGTCGGCTCCAAATTGTGGATTCAAAGGACTCATGGACGTGTCCAAGTTGCTTTTTTCTCAGCCGTCCGGAAGTTTCGGTTGGTTTGGATTCAGGAAACCAGAGGCGGGGGTGCCCCGATTTGGAGAAAATCAAGCATTTGCACAAATATGGGGGAGGTGCTTCCTGACTGGACTTTAAACTTTTTGGGTAGACCGGTAGACCGTTGTAGTGGTGAACAAATTGTTCAGATGTTGTTGGGCCCTATCAAAAAGTGTTTGCGATCTCTCACCCATCATGAAGTTTCCTTTGGCTTCCCTTCCTCAGCTTCACCCAGGCAACCCTTGTTTTGTCAAACCTTAAGCCACCAGCGCACGCCTGGCTCTAGGACATCAGCTCCGGATGGTAATCATGGACCATCCAAACAAATCATTTTTCGACATCCTGCAATGCGCACAGAGACTCAGAGACCGGTCCCGGCCATGTGTCTCCTAATCTTATGGCATGTGACGTATGTGTAACAGGCTTGCTCCAATCCTTCAACAGTTGTAACCCAAGCGTTGAAAATCGGTGTGGTTTCCCTGCTCCTTGCAAAAGGGGCCACGCGGGGCCACGTTTCTACCCAATCGGGTCGTTGGAGCATCCTTTACGTGTGTGTGTGTGTGTGTGTGTGTGTGTGTGTGCACCAAGTATCAAACCATCCAGACGCGTCCCCATGGGTCAGGGGCTTCGTTTGTCAACATCAACGTGCGATTGGCAAGCGACGCCTGTATTTTTGGGTTGCGAAGGGTGTCTTTGTGACGGATGTTGCAAAAATATGCGGAACATCATTCGGTCACTTATTGTGTTGGTCACCATAAACATTGGGTTCCAATCGAACGGCGCTCCTGAATTGTCTTCTAAGAAACCTGGGATTCGGGGGGAGTCGTGCCCGAGACAAAGCCGATTGTCACACTTCAGCGTTTGTGAGCGACATACTCAACTGCTGAACTTACAAGATGACTCCAGGCGCTGCCTGGCGCAGCCACCCTGCGGGTGCACCAGGCCGGAAACCGACAACGGGGATGGGGCTGGGAATGCGATAAAGCTTTTAAACCTGGATGAATAAGCCAATAGGAGGGTAGGTGCATCAATCCGGGAAACCCACTATTGCCGAGAAGCTGCATGTTTCTTGAGATCAGAGGACCTGGAGGGGTGGATGATTGGGAAGATGTTTTTTTTGGGTTTGGCGCGAGACCAACTTGCGATCTTGATCTTGGGTTTTTGTGCTGGTCCCTTCAGCAGGTGACAGCCCAGGAGAGCTGCGCCGAGTTTGAAGAGCACGAGCTGAACTTGGCCCATGAATTGGTGACGATGTTCTTGCCATGTTAACGCGATTGAACAGAGCCACAGATGCGCAATCCAATGGGGATAAATCACTGGTTTACTCGTGTTTGCCACTTTCTTGAAACAAAAGATGTGCCCTCCATAATTAACTCGTGTTGAAAGAAGTTTCGCTTTAGCCATTTCTGAGATGCAGGTCATGTAGCCGTCGGCAACTCAGCGTGGTAGTTCCTGACTTTCCCCGAACAAGTGTCACGATGTGATAGCATCGGCAGCCAGTTGCACCAGTGGCAATCCACATCGTTCGAGTCATTGGCATTTCAAGGGCGGGTTCAACGGATTCTATGGGTCCCACCTTCTCAGGTACTTTCATGTTTGACTCCCAGCCTCAGTCGTCAAAGGATAGATGTCCAAGGAAGTTCTTCTAAAGACCATCCTTACCAAGAAGCTCGGAAGCCGCTGGGTCCGCAAAGGGTACCAAGGAAGTGCTCCTGAAGACCATCCTTGGCAAGAACCTCTCTGGGTGTCAAGATCTCGGCCCGTCCGGCCGTCCGCCGGTCTCGCCAGGATTTGGCGTTGAAGGCCTTGGCGCATCCGCAGTCCATGAGCCCGGAGGCGGGTTTCGGTTTCGGGTTGCGCTGGCCGAGTATGTCTTCTGTGGGTGTTTCTGGTTGGCTTTGAAGGGAAACCAAAAGGAAACCCGAAGCCAGTTTGCGTGGTCCCCTTAAGCGGGGTAGGGCTTTGAGGAGAATGACAAGTCTCTTGGGAGCTCGTAGATCCACATAGATTTGCGTGTTTGAATTTGCCATTCCACTACCTCAAGCCACAACTCGCTGGAAGGTTTTATGAAATATGCAGCTACGATGCATAGCCGATCTTCCCTTCCTGGTAGTGGCTTGGAAGCCATCTTAGTTCAACCTGCTTAAGCTTTTGGCGGATTGTGAGGGCTGGGCCTATAGAGTCCAACCACAACCCCCGGAAGCCCTTAACAAACATCCAAATCACTCTGTAAGGACACAAGTTGGAGTGTATTTGGGTCAATAGTGGCATCGCGGGGTTGCGCGGTGATATATGGGTGCGTCTTCTTTCAGGGTGACCCCCCCCCACAAAAACAAAAACATGTTTCACCCCCCCCAAAAAAGAAAAACAAAAACAAACAAATAGATGAAATAAATGAAGTAACGTGTTTGGTGGTTTCCTTGGGTTCCCTTTGAAAACCCCCCCGCGTGTTGAGCATCGGCTCGGCCTCCCTGGGCCCCTCAGCTCGCCTTCGTGGTGGTGACCTGGTCTGGCGCCTATCTGGCACTGCTGGAGCTCTGGCGCAACGCCGGCGCGGAGGCGTCTGTGTCTCAACGCTTACTAGGTCCCCCAGTATTGCCCTTTTACCTTTTTATTTGGGGGGGAGGCTTCCCCTACTAAAATAGACTGCAGAAAAAAGGATACCCTTATTCTAACCTCTCCACTGGAGGACCTAGCTTAAATTGTTGCTGGGGTCATTGTGTTGTACTGGCGGTTATCAAGGTCAGAAAATGGGTTGTTTCCATTTAACCCGCCACTTGGAGGGTGACTTTGATCATCGTAACCGCACTTACTAGGTCCCCCAGTAGTGCCCTTTTACCTTTTTATTTGGGGGGGAGGCTTCCCCTACTAAAACAGACTACAGAAAAAAGGATACGGCTACTCTCCGCTGGAGGACCTAGCTTATTTTTTTGCTTGGGTCATTGCGTTGTACTGTTTCTGTGGAGGTGTCAAAGTCAGAAAATGGGGTTGTGTCCCTTTAACCCGCAACTTTGGTCATTGTAGAATAATGAGGGTTGTGTTGGTCGTGCTTTTGTTTGCCCTTTAAAATCAACTGAAAAGGAGTTCCCCCAACAAAGAAACACACCCATTTGTACCAAGGATCCCTTTACTTGGGGCTGGGGCTGGTCCTGGATAGACGACCATGGCCATTTGGCCAATCCTCGGTTCAGGGTAAAACGCAACCCAGCCATCAGTTTGCCATTCTCAAAGTCACGACAACAAAATGGCCGGTTGAAGGGAAATTGCAAATTGATGCTTTGATACCCCCTACCCCTGTTGTGCATGGTGATTAATATAATTCATGGAATCCAAGGATGAATCAACCCCCAACCCCTGCTTGATATCTGTAACTTTGAGGGAACCTTTCTATTTTGGGGTACAGAGGGTCCCAGTCATACTTGCACAACCCGAGTGGAGGTTCTAAAACTGGTCTTTGCCATATACCTGCTCGCTTGAATGCGCCAAAACATCGGGGTCCTTTTCTTCTGGGAAACCACTGGCTGCTAGTGAGGCGCAATGTGCTACAAAATGACCCACAGATTTGTTGCCTTTCGCAAAGGGTCTCCACAGGGGTAGATAGGTCTGCACCCAAACTGTCAAGCAATCCCGTTAATTGTTAGATTAACTGCCATTGACAGAGGCATTGAACCTTTACAGTCGGTTGGTCACTATACTTCCATTTGCTTGAAACAAGTTGTTCCCCAATCTGAGAATCTGGGAATCTGTCACTACTGGAAATATGTTTTCTTTTCCTGGGGACTTAAGCAAATGGAGGTATAGTTTAGCCAGGCTACCGTTTGCCCATTGCTATACTCTGAGCCATGGTTTAGCAAAGGTCGTGTCACCCTTTTGCCAACCTTTGCACGACCATCCTTGTGACGACATGGATGTTGTGAGCAGGTTGTAAGTATAGTTGTCAACACATTGGCAATTCTACAACAAATAGGTTGCACATCCAAGTACTTTCAAGCAAGCATTTGGAACTGGCTTCAGGGCTTTGCGTGTGTCGGAACAGAAGGCCTTGTCACTTGGGGAGTAATCCAATCGCACTTGGGAGCCTTGAGAGATCCTGGAGACAACGAAATGCACGGATGGTGTTCTCTCCCTTTGCCTAACACTGGAAACGGGTTCCTTCAGGGAGCCAAACAATGTCCAGCATAGGCCAACATTACTTCGGAACCTGATCAGAAGCCGCCGCCTCTGTTGAAAAGTGTGCACCCCTTTTTGTTTGTCGGAGGCTACCCTTTTTGGGATGGCCGTCAATGGAAACCAACGGGAAACCCACGCATTTTGGGGGTACCTTATTTGGGATATCAGGCCATGCGGTCCAGCTGAGTATCTCGCTTGCTTTTCTGCTGGTTGGACGGCGGACGATACGTGTTGTTTGCGCTGTAGTTGAGTGTAACCCTGTTCTGCGTTGCAGACAAAAGTCCTGCCCGGCTACGCGCAAAAAAACATGATGCTCAGTTCTTGGCAGTCGCTGGCGGCTGCGCCCGAAACCCGCGAAGGGGCCATTTTAGTACCCGTAAACCGACTGACCGGGGTTGTTAAGATGGTTACAAAGCTTATATATGCACTGTGCTATGGTTCCAAGATGGTTACAAAGGTTCTATGCACCATTATGCACCTACGCCATATCCCTATTCAACCAGGCAATAGAGCCATCCACCAAGCCGGAGAGCAGCCTCCAGTCCGCGCAGCGCGCAGGGAGAGGAGGCCTCTGCGCTGCTGCGCTTGGGCGACGCCAAGCTGCGAGAGGAGCTGCTGGCAGGCGCCGCGGGCCACGGGTGCCACGGGGGGGCGGTGGGGGGTGGGGGGGGGAGGTCGTAGCAAGAGGTCGATGACTGGGGCGGCAGTAGCTTGGTGGCTTCCGAAGGCCCTGAGCTGATTTGAGGTTTTTAGCTGATTTGTGTGGTAGTTTCCGAATTGAATCCACTAAAAGTAAAGGATCTGCGGGCAGCCCAGGTCCCAGGTAGGCCTGTCAATCCTAGGGCTTCGCCATCACTAGGCAGGACCTTGTTTCAGAGACTGACCTCCGGACCTGCTCCGCACAGTTGTGACGACCTCGCGCAACCTTCTCGAACAGCCTGTCCTGCCAGCGTGAGTAGCGCACAGCAGAGGGATGGAAGGAACCGGATGCACACTGGAACCCCCACACCTCGAGCCCACCCAAGCACGGGCTCGCTGCGAACCCAGACGAGCAAGAGGCTGCAAGGTTGCTTGCCCAACCCCCCTGACACTGAGCATACACTCACCCACCCTAGCTTGAGTGCATGTGCCTGCTTGCGTCCGGCGCTTAGGTCCGGCGCACGCGCCCGCCACATGGGTCTCACAGCATCCCCGGCAGCCCGTCCCAGCCCCACAGAAACCCGTGGGAAAATGCAGAAAACACGGTATGTGCGATGTTTTCCGCGCAGCGGCGGCGGCCGCACTTGCGAAACATTTGGACCCCAAAACATCCCCGGCCTCCCTGGCTTTGCGACGGGCTTCTGATGCCACGTTCGACCTTCAAAAACACTGTAAATACCGAGCAAATCGCCCCGGACAGTCGCCAGCATCCTTGCCAACATCCTCTGCATCCTAGTAAACTTCGCCAGCATCCGCGGCACTCCTGCATCACCAGCATCTGGGCGTTCCAGCATCCCTTACATCCCTGCGTCCCCCCCTGCGTCGCTCAAACCCTTCAAAAAAATGGCTTCCTGAGAGTAGCAGGCAATGCTGAGGAGGAGCTTGGGGTGCAACAAAACACGTCAGCGGTATACCCTTCGGGTATCGCTCTTCGAGCTCGAAGACGCACAGCGCAGCTGGATTTGCTGGCAAAAGACATTTGTTGCCTTCCGTTGCTGCTGTTAACTTGCTAACACATGAGTGACATGATTTGGCTCCTTCCAGAAAAAGCATGGAAACCCATTGTATTAAACAAAGGGCAGAAGGGAGTAAGGGGTGCGTATTCGAAGTTAGATCATGTGCGAGACGATTGCGGCTGCCCTTGCTGTATTGGTGTTCCCTGGATGCTGCAAGATGTTGCAAGTGAACCAGCCACAAACCCCGTGCAAAAGCAGTGAGCGGCAAGGTTAGCCAACTTCTTCCCCTTTGATTGGCCCATCACCCCAAGTCCATTTCAGGAAAACAACCCTATGTTTTTAATTTGAAGATATGTCCAGAGCTTTCCCTCCCCTGCGCCATTTACAGCTTTTGGAAGTTGACCGACAAGTACAGTTTGCACGAATCTGAAGAGCCCACTATCTATTTCTTCACGGGAGGCGACAAGCCGCGCCCGCTTCGGCAGCTGCTGCTTGCTCCACCCTTCGTCTTGCACCTGCTGCAGGCGTTTCGCCGCGGACATGGCAAATTTGGGGGAGTTTGGGTTGCCATTTTGCGGCAGCAAATGAAATGGCTTTGAATGGATCAAGTAATGTCCACCTCCGATTAATAATAGGCCCCCCTGCATGACCCTAAATAAAGTTAAGGGGGAAAATTTCAGGGTCAGGAAAAGTTTAGAATGTGTTTAGTATTGGGCTCTGTTTTTTGGTTTCTGAATACAACTTTAGAATTGGGCCAATTCTAAAGTAGTACTGTGCCAAGAACTGTTGCATGCATTCCAAGAGGGATTGAGAAGGACATTCATGAGGGTTTGCGTGGCACATTCCAGAATAAATTGAGAAAGACACTAGGGATTGAGAAGGAAATTCATGAGTTCATCAGTGAGGATTCATGGCATGAACTTCGTGAGTCAGATTTAGGGGCACCATGGAGATGCAGAGCAGGCCGGGCAGGAGGAGGCTGGATTAGAGCTGGGGGTGTCAGAGGATGAGGATACAGCAGTGAATAAGGATGCATCAGTCCAGCAGTACACCAGCCGTTGTTGGGCCAACCAGTAGACTGCATTGGTGGGCATAGGAGAATAGGCGTCCTGTTGATGTGCTCAATCCGGTTTGCATTTGGGGGCATTGATGCTGCGGACACATACTGGTGCCTGCATTATGCAGGCAGTTTCCCTCAGTTTGTCCAGCTGGAGAACCCTACATATTCAAGCTCATGGTGTGAGTACGCATCAATCAAGGAGCTTGAATGTGATGTTGGAGATGTGACGTCAGGATCAGAATCAGCATCAGGCACCATCAGGCCCTTTCCTCAGCATCCAGGTTTGTAGATTAATTAGGCTCAGTGCACTGGCAAGTGAGTATGACAGAAAAAGGGTTGGGAGTTGGGGCTGTCATGCTGTTTGCTTGCTTGCCTGGTGGTGCTTGGTTGTGGTGGGTTGTGGGTGGTGGTGGCTAGGACCAGATCTTCATCACGTGCTGCGCCCAAAGAAGGATGATGAAGCCAATTGGGGAAGGGAAGGATGGGTGAGTAAGCAATGAGAAGCTGCAACCCAGTGTTCTTCGCAATTGGCATCAGGTTTGGGTTGCAAAAGTGAAGGCGCACGCAGGTCTGGACATTGGTGGGTGGGGTGGGGAGGGGGCCAAACATAATCTTAGGTTGGTACCAAGAAGGCACACGGCAGTGATTTGTTGTTTGGCGCCGATTAGCACCAGCATCAGAGCATCAATGACACTTAGAAGGGAATGAGTGTGGATGACTTGGCCAGCCAGGATGAGGAGGACTGGGCACAGGTGCGAAGATGACAGACTACCACAGGGATGTATGGGTGGACTTGGGCCAGAAAATGGCATCACTGCTCAGGAAGCCTTGGATTGGAATGGAGGTGATTAATCAATTGGGTGCATAGCTCAGTAGTGAGATCCAGAAAAGAAAAAGTGCTGGCTGTCAAAGAATGGTCTGCCATAGGATCATGCGCTTGACTAACGAGGTAGGCACTGTGGGATCAGAGCCTTAAAGATAAGGGATCAGAGCAATTTTAGGATCAGTGCAAATGAGCTTAGCTTTATTAGGGTCTGGAAAATTTTTAGGGTTGCAATTCCATGCCACGCTTTGGTGGGAAGGAGCATCATGAAGGAGATGATCAAGCTGGAGACAAGTTGTGATTGTTGAAGGTTTCCAGATAAAGAAGTTGATGAAGACTCAAGAATTTGCGGATCTGATAGAATTGGAGTCATTTTTGATGAGCCAGCTTGAATGGAAAGCTTGCCCCTGAACAAAGACAGGCTCAGGTGATATCCCCAACAGCATGTGGTGCTCTTCTTGAGCCAGCTTGAACGGAAAGCTTGCGCCTGAATAAAGATGAGGGATCAGAGCAGGTTGGGTGTCCTAGCTTTGTTTAGGGTCTGCAAATTCTTTAGGGCCAGGAGCTGCCAGCAACCACCTTGATGGGCAGGAGCATCATGAGGAAGATGATCAAGCAGGAGACACCAGTGGAAAGAATGAGGACTGGTTTCAGGGAAGGCTGATTCTGGAAGATAGGAAGGAATGCCCTCGAATAAACAAAAAGGGATCAGAACATTTTTAGATCAGTGGCAATCACCTTAGCTTGATTTAGGTCAGGATTATTTTAGTGCATGAGGCTTCGGCTAATGCAGAGGCTGCGGAGGCTGCGGAGGATGCAGGGCTTCGGAATGCGGAGGCTGGTGAAGCGAGGCGTTCTGAAGAAGAGAAAGCCTCGCAGTGCGCTGCGGGCTGTCAAGGATCGAGGCTGCAGAGCCTGCACAGGCTTCGGGGACTGCGGATGCCGAGGTGCAGACGGAGGACTTGCCGGATTCCAACCAGCTACTTGGCCGGCATCAAGCAAGGGCCATTTTTGCATTTCGTGGGAGATGTGGGGTTCACATCTTTCTTTCTTCGTCAAAAATCAAAAGGGAAGCAGAATGTCTGTGGTTCCAAACGTGTTTGAGTATCCGTAATCACCTGAGGCTGCCATGCAACAAACATTCCTCAGGAGTGTGAAGCAAAGAAAGCTTCTCTAGTCGTCTTTGGCTGTCTGAGCTGAGGGAGCCTTTGTTATTTTGGGACAAAAAACATGTGACATGTGTGTGCCCGCGCGTGTGTTTCTAGAGGCAAGCATTTCCATTGGTTTGGGAACTGGATCGCCAAACTACCGAGCCAACCATTTCTTGGTTGACAGACTCTTGGAAGGGCTCGCCGTCTGCCTTTGCTAAGGCGGTACTGTGTCTGCATGGACTCGGGAGTGGCGGACCAGCTTGTGGCGGAGGAAAGGCCGCGTTTGCGGTGGCCGGCACATCCACAAGAAGGGCTGTGAAGGATGCGTGTCTCGGCATTTTTGTCATTGTTTTGATTGAACCAACGTGTTTCTAATGTGTGTGTGAGTCTGCTGTTGGACGAAGCAATCCTAAGGTGGACACTTTATTGAAATTTGAGAAGCTGAAGATAGCAAGTGATGCACCAATCGACTGCACTGATCTTTCTTTCTACGGATGTCCTTGAGCCTTTGGACTGGGATTCCATACTGCTGCCTTATAGTGTTCCACAACTCCTTCTCTGATGCATATGACTCTTTGATCCAGCTGCATAAGCTAGGATCAGGCGGGGTGGACGCAAAGGATGCAGGTAGAAGAAGCAATCAGCCAAATATGTGATTGAGGGAGAAGGAAGAGAGAATTCAATGAGCAGGGGATGAGGCAGAAGCAATGGCTAGCGCATCATGTATCCAAAAAGACAAGATATTTGACGAGTTTTGTTGTTTTGTGGCTGAGATGGCCAAAAAGTGCATGATGAGGGCAAATTCGGATGAGCCAGATGATGCCTTGCCATTGGCCACAAGCTCAGCAAAATAGAAGCCAAAAGAATTTGAGAGATCAGGCATTGTCGCAAATGCAAAGCAAGTCATCAGCAACCGAATCAACATGGCAATCACAATGAGTGATCAGGTGCCAATGTGGGCCAAGCTAGTTCACAAGAGCATTATGTTTTTTGAAGCAGAGCTGAGGTATGTTGAAAGGAGGAATTTTGCAGAAATCAGAAAGGAGATTGAGGCAGCTCAGAAAGTGGTGGCAATGAAGCAGGAGCAAGTGATCTGGACTCACCTATGAGACAAACAATCTATGGAGTAGTAGATGGCAAGCTTCACGGAGAGGTGGCGGCAGGCTTGCTTGTATTGCAGGACCTCATCAGAGACTATCAAATTTGGATAGCACAGGCAAACACTTGGAGGATGATGAGCTTGAAGTACGAGGAACCAGAATCATCAACAAAAAGGGCGATGCAAATCAATGAAGGCTATGACCAAGCTGCGCAATTTGAAAGGTTGACAATCATGACACAGCCATCCAGCAATGCAGACAGCATCCTGATGAAGTGGATTGCAATGGATCAAGGAAATGCTGAAGTATCAGGAATCAACACCAAGGACAGCAACATCCTGGATCAAGCGCCAGCATACATTCTGGGCCATATAACAGCACAATTGCAAGTGACTGAAACAAATTGCAGCAAGGCGTGGAAATCCAACTTTAAAGGTGACAGAATGAGGGTGGCACACAGGAGCATGGATCACACAAAGAATTCTGAGCAAATGATTAAGGCCACCATAGCCAGCCAGGATTGCACGCAGGACCTGAATGAGAGCAATGGTTGGGTGGTATGAGGGGCCATCAGGAATGAATTGCTTGCTACAGGGTGTCGGAAGGCAAGCTGATCAGAAGGCATACCGATGAAGGTGCCATGAGAACAAAGAGGATACCACCAGATTGGCTTGATGCAGAATCTATCATCAGAATCAGGAGACAGTTTTTTGAGAAGGACAAGGCTGGATGCATGGCCCTTGGTGCAGGATTGTGCAAAACCCATGAAGTTACCCAAGCAGAGGGCTATCTTGCTGCATGAGACGAGCGAGAAAGAAGCGCTCCAATAAGAAGAGGCTTGGCGCGTCGTTACTTATTGAAAGCCAGCTTGAAGGAAAACATCAGCAAGCAGCACGCCTAGCATCAAGCTCAAGACATCCATTGCAAAGAAAACAGCCAAGAAGGCAAATTGTGAAGAAGATTGTTGATAAAGAAGGCAAGCTAAAATTCACAGATGCCAAGAAGAAGGCCTCAGAGGGAATGAAGATCAAGGATGCTGGTGAGGATGGGAGTCATGAATGGCAGGGAATGGAAGTTAGAGTAGTATCAGAAATGGCAGGGAATTTTGCATTTGGGAGACCAGGAACATAAGAAGGGCATGGCAACAGAGTGTGATTGCCTGGCATTAGAAGATGCAGCATTGCAAAAACCCCGACAACACAGGAACTTCCAGCGCATCACAAGATCATCGATGCAACACATCCTAAAGTCAATAGCTGCTGATCCAGAACCATTTGTGGATTCGGTGCTCCCCATTGCTTGAAGTAGAGGCAGACACATACCTGGAAGATCAGCATATCTTGCTGGCATGGTCATGGACAGTGCACCTGACTGAGATGGAAGAAGCTCGTTGTATGAGGTGTCAGCGCTTTTGATTCCAACTCCAGGCAATGGAGCGTCCAAGCATTCGACCCTGGTGGTCAAGAGCATTACTATGACACCTTGGAGTGAGGCATGGTAAGTGCATCAAAAATGCCAAAGCCTGCGTACATTGAAGCATACGTGTCAGCATCAGGTTCAGCATCCGGGGATGGCCATCAGACATCAAGAAGCAGCGGGAAGAGAGGCCAGAGGTCAGCCAGTCCCCACACACCAAATGCAGATTTCAAACAGAATGCATGAGGCCACATTGGACAGGAAGGAAGCATTTGAATCCGGCAAGGTGTCAAAGACGGTGGCAGTGTGGTGGCGGTGGTGCTGGTGGTGATGCTGCTGCTGCTGCTGCAAAGCCAATTAGTGGTAAGTGTTGAAATCCATGCAATTCCAGTGGGGGTCAGGGTCATGCAATGTTTTTGGGATCAGGCCATTGACGCTGAATAAAGATAAGTGTTGGAATCCATGCAACTCCAGTGGGGATCAGGGTCATGCAATGTTGTTTGTACGCTGGTTTTGTTGAAGCCCCTGCAAATTCCGGTGAAAATGCGGGTCCAGGCCATTGACCCTGAATAAAGATAAGTGTTTCAAATCCATGCAAGTCCAGCGTGGATGGGGGTCAGGCAATGTGTTTGGAATGCTGGTTTGGCTGAAATCCATGCAAATTTTAATGGGAATGAGGGTCCAGGCCATTGACCCTGAATAAAGATAAGTTGTTGAAATATATGAGGGTCATACAATGTGTTCGGAATGCTGGTTTGGCTGAAATCCTGGCAAATTCCAATGGGACCCCTTGACCCTGAATAAAGATAAGTGTGATTAAAGCTAAAACCAGTCAATGTCCACTGGGATTTAGGGTCCGTGCGAGTCAAAATTAGCTGTTCTGAAAAGAATTTGTCAATTTTTGTCTCAGCTAAGAAGGTGATAGTTTTGAATGATCAGTTTTGCTTGCTCTTTTTTAGTGTTTTCTAAATTCAGCATTTTTGGTGTGGACTTTGTTAGGTTAATTTAGGGGTAGTTTATTATTGTATTTGGGAAAAATTATTTAGGGGCAGCTTACTAATCGTAGGTGGACAATAGTCATTCTGGACGATACCCAATTCGCACCACACAAATATGTTCCACAGGATTCCGGGTGTGACGTGGGAACCAAGAGGAATGCGTATATTATGGGGGTCCCCTATTTTGAGAATCTTCTACATGTGAATGGACCTATCCATTCACAGCGCGCCCAACTTCTCATACCTTTACAAGTTGATGCCTGCATCGGGTGGTCTCTGGTGTTGGGCCTGAATCTGCTGAAACCTGCCCTTCGAGAAGTTGGCTCGGCACATCCGGCGTTTTTTGACTTGCATTTCAAACCTGACGTTCAAGCAGAACCCTGGGTCAACGTGTGGGCCCGTCAACCATTTTTTACGCCGGGGTCTCCTCCCATTTGGTTTTTGTGGGTAGACCATGGTCATTGATCACATGCAAGATGCTGTGGCCGCTTAATTAGAAGTTTCCAGAAAAGTCGCTGGCTTGTTCCTTCTGTTCATCCGTGGAGTGCAAACTTGGTTTGCCCATGGCCCAAAGGAAAAAGGGTGTTCAACCAAAGTCAAACCTAAGGCAAACCAAGGGAAGCTAATGTTAACCCCGGATGAACATCTATTTGTTCATATGGGAGTGTCCCTGCTTGGTGGTTCCCAGCCATTCTGTTAGGTTTCTAGAGTTGTTTTTGGGGTTTGGTTGGGTTTCCATTTAACCCACAAGTTGCATTTGTTTTTTCGCAGATCCGAAAACGGACCGCCCAGATGCCGGTCTTTTCGTGGGGATTCCGGCGACGTTTTCGCTTCACCGAGTCGAGGCCTTGCACCTGAGACCCGTGGTGCACGCCGACGTGTCGGCGCCTTGGCTTTCCAATGGGTCTATGGACACCCCGGTTCTCCACCGAGTCCCTAAAACATATGGCTGTGGGTCAAAACCCAAATCGCACCCCCAGTGAACATCCCAATCCCCACTAAACTAGACTAGAATGGGTGGTGCACCTAGCCCAAAATGGAACATATCTAAAAATGGAATTGGGAGGGTTTTGCTGACGCTCCATGTGGGGAATAGTTGATAAATGGACTTCCCCCGGATGGATCTGCCATATTGCAAGTAAACCAACCACAAACCTTGATTGAGTTTACAGGGTTTCTCTTGTTCCCTGCTTGAACATGTTTCCCTTGTTCCCTACTTGAACATATTTAGCGTCCACCGCACCATCCCCACCTCCTAAAAAAATGGAATTGGAGGCCAGGGGGTGACCCCAGGTAATCTCCATTTAAATGGTTCGATTTTCCCAGTGGCAGCAATATTGGATAAACGGAATGGGCGGACCCTAGGGTAGGGGGGATGATACTTAACAGGGTTTCGCTTTCAAAACCAGAAGGCCCACAATTTCCAAACACACTTTGAACAACGCTGACTTCAAAAGGGCCCATTAAGGTGGTTCCATTAATGATTTGGTTTCATGGGCTTTGTAGTCCGGCCAGCCAAGAAGATCTTTTTGACGTTGGTGGAAGCAAACCTCAATGGGTTTTGGGCACTGCTCATTTGTTGAGGTTGCTTCCCATTGATGTGGACTCTGAGGCTGGAGGTTGATCTCCCATGTACCACTGTGATCGGGCACCGGCCCTTTGCTGATCCCGCCGGGAGAAAGGAACATCGACAGCTCTCTGAGTTGGACTAGCTGTTTGGAAAGACCATGTTCTAGGTCCCCCAGTAGTGCCCTTTTGCTTTTTTGGGGGGAGGGTTCCCCTACTAAAATAGACTGCAAGAAAAAGGGCACCCTTATTCTGACCTTACTGGAGGACCTAGTGTTAGTGGCAAGTACGAAGTTTGGACTTCGTTGGGCCGGTCAATCCACTCAGGAGGTGAGAACTTGGAAGCAACCCAACTCCAAATGGAGCATCCGCTTTTCGGCACGGCCCTTCAGGCCACGGTACGGCGGTTCCACCACACCCTGCAGCCACCGCACACTTGGCGAGGCGGGCAAAATGGACATGAGTACTGCGTGTACCTTTTATTGACCTTACCACGGTACCCCTTTTTGGAGTGGTTTTAAAAGAAAACCAATCGGAAACAAACCTTTTTTAGGGGTGTCCCCTATTTGAAGGCGCACCCAGATTGCCCTTATTGTGCTTCAACACGCCACTTTCTCGGCCAATTGAACGTGAGTTGCCTTTGTGTAGATTGTGCCCTAGACATCCTCAAAATGGCAAGATTTCAGGTTGGGTTGCTAATACCAAGAGAACTCCTCTTGTGATAAAGTAGTTATGCTATGCCACAGGTGATTTTCAACAACCATCAAATATCGATTTTCGGGGAGGTCACATGTGAGGAGGCATCCGGACACATCTCGTTGGCGCTTCACGTTTGAGGACCCTTTGCCCAGTGGACCGCAGTGGCCAGTATGGGAAACCAGCCATTTGGCATTTGAGTGAAGGGTGGTTCCCTTGGTTTTCCACTAGGGAAATCGAATCACTGACTTGACCTTGGAGACGTGCCCGGTGCCGGATTTCTTTGAATCACAATTGTACAAGCTAGCCAGGCACTTGGGATCCGCCACTGGTGCAAATTTTGGCCATGAGACTGAGCCTTAGACCGACCCCCAAAGCCTTTGACAGCAATTGGAAGTACCGTACTGTCAGGATCTTGGTGACGTTTTGTGACTGTTTAATCTGCGTCACGACTGTCATGGAGTGGGTTGGGAATGCAACAAGGTCCCCATTTAGTGTCTAGCAACAAACCGAAACATTTTTCTGCAAGGATCCCCGCGCCAATCTGGGTCCGAAATAGCAATCAAATGTGTTTTGATTCCCCGAAAGGAGACCATCATCAATTGAACAGACATAAGTTTCAAGGATAAATGAACATAGTATCCGGGATGGATGGATTCCCTCCCTGCCACATGGCGCCTGACAGAGGGTCCCTTGAGGAAATTGATCTTCCAGGTGCCCTCGAACTTCCATGTTAGTCGGAGGAAAGGTATATTATTTTTTTTGTCAGACCCTTTATATATATATATATATATATCCCTTTGGTGGCTCCCAGCCATCCGGTCCCTTAGCTTTTTGGGTCCTTTCAGTGTTTGGTGGTAGTTTCCGAATTTAACCCACTAAAAGTTTGTCAATTTTGGCGGGGGATCAGGAAACAAGACGCTTGTTGGCGGGCAAGGAATATGTGCAGCTCCTAAGTTTGATCTGCCCTTTTAGCGGAGGGTCTGAGGGCAGCCCAGATCCTTCCCTTGGCACTGGGAGGCACGTTGCCACTCCTGGAGCTGCACCCGATGCCCATGGACGATGGCGTGAGCCTCTCGCCACATGCTGTGACTTGTTATGTGCACCTTGATCCACTAAGGTAACACATGCACATATATATATATACACACGTGTGTATATATATATATATATATGTCCATATAATATATATATATATATATTGAGGCATGTAGGCAGATACACATACATAAATGCATCTCAGTATATATATGTATATATATATATATGCTACCCCCCCCTTGAAATACTCAGGTTTTTGGGCAGAACTGAGGGTTTTAGCCTGACTGGGGGTGACAAATGCCTTGAGACTCTGAAATGAACTGGACACTGAACTCCATGCAAATTCTAAACACGCAGAAGATAAGCTCAACGTTGATTAGGAGTTGCGAGTTGTGTGACCGTCAAATTGGCGTGCGCGAAGTGCACTTAAAGTCACATTCAAATATACAAAGTGCAATTTGGCAGCTCCAGCTCAAAAAACACAACTGTTCAGTACAGGAGTAGTGCGCGAAGTATGTTTTGGCAGCTTCAACGCGCCTGTAGCAGCCCTATTATTTGGTGTTTATTATTTTTGTTTGGCAGCGAAATTCAGCAAAACATCAACTCGGGGAAAAGGATCTCATTCCTAATCCTGTCCTTGCGCAGTTGCATTTACATGCTAACTCGAGTTGTGTGCATAATTCCTGACATGCTAGTTCAGTCTATTTGAAACATATGTTGCAAAGCAACTATCCCACGTGTGTGTGTGTGTGTGTGTGTTGCTTGTCTAAGTTGGTTCCATCATCGCCAAGAACAAGTTTTGAAATTCAAGTAAGGGAAGAATATCCAGTTAAAAATGCTTTCGAGTTCAAACCAAATTCAAGTTTACTCGTTTGCAGTTTCTTGTGCATTTCAATAAGCAACTGGAGAAGATAGCTATTGTCATGCCCAAATGAATTTGGAATCAAACTCATTTTTGAAAGGGTTATTGTCCTTGTCGAACTCCATGTGGTTTGAACCAAGCAAGAACTGAGCCAAGCCAATGACAGGAACGGGTTTTCAATCATAGATCCTATTCTTTGCATAAATGCTGTAAAACGCAGTGCTTGTTCAGCATTTGCTCAGATCGTGTTGCCCTGGCTCGAAGATCGAATATACAAGATTCCACAAACATATGTTTAGAATATACTCAATCTTGGTCCCCCAAAAACTTGACAGTTTGTTCTAGACTAGACACATTAAGGTTTCGCCCCCTGCATTGAAGATTGAAGATCTACCTAGATTTTCTATTTGAGAATCTTCCATCCTGGCCAGCCCTCAAGTCCACAAAAAACTGTAAAGGTGTCAGCAACATTTTTCCCCCTGGCCAATTGCAGGCAGTGCAAGTGCACATCCACATTTTGATTCTGACAACGTGCACTCCCGGTCTGCCTTTTACATTCTTCAAATCCGCACTTAAGGCAATCCATGATCTGGATGGGAGATTGAAGATCCTCTGACAACTCTTTCTGAAATTCTCCAAGTATGTACTTAGAGTAATCCAGGATGTGCTAGTGCTATCACATCCTGGATTGAAGATTGAAGATTGAAGATTCTCAGACCACTTGTTCTGGAAATCTTCAATCCATCGTGAGGACAAACTGGTATGTGCTAGCACGTGCTAGCACATCCTGGATTGAAGATTGAAGATTGAAGAATCCCAGAGAGAGTTGTCAGAGAATCTTCAATCTTCAATCTTCAATCCAGGATGTGCTAGCACGTGCTAGCACATATCAGTTAGTCCTAAGGACGGATTGAAGATATCCAGAACAAGTGGTCTGAGAATCTTCAATCTTCAATCTTCAATCCAGGATGTGCTAGCACGTGCTAGCACATCCTGGATTGCACTAAGTACCGATGCTAGAATTTAAGTCTAAAAACGAGTGCATTTTTTAGAGCCTCATTTTAGAAGCTGGAACGTGTGTTTTGCATGCATGTTTACAGCCAAAATGTAAATTTATGGCCAAAAACCTGAGTATTCCAGGGGGGGGTACCAGATATATACATATATATATATATAGAGGTACTGTTCAATTCTGAGCGTATGGCCTTTGAATGGTTTATTGTTGTTCGCTATGCTGTGTAGCCATCGGAGGACCCGGGGCTGATGAGTCGTGGGCTTGTCATGAGTTAAGCCTCAGAAGTGTGGAACGCCGGCGGCTGTGGGTAGGGAGGGAGTTGTCACAGATCCTGCACCAGTTGGTGTGGGGGGTTGGGGTGGGTTGGGGGGGGGTTGGGTTGGTAGGTGGTTTATCCCAGGTAAAGCACATGGTAAGAAAACCCTCCGCAGGACTCAACCCTTAAAGGCCTGGAATCCTCCTGTCCTAGGCTTATCCCAGGACCCACCAACCCCCAAGCCAAACCTGCAGATCCATGACATGTACTTCACAGAACGTGGGTTGGAAGTGGATATGTCAACCATGTGGCAAGGTCAGATTTTTTTGATTTTTTTTTATTTTTTCACGTGCCTGCTTGTTGGAATGGGCAATTTGCGGTTCTGGGCCTTTGGAGCCTGTGGAGAATCCCATGCTTTGCGTCGGCTCGAGGGTTGGATGGGACATTTCTGGATCCTGGCTCGGCAAAGCTGGAGTGCAATAGGGAGGTGCTCCCACACACACGCGCACACACAAAAGCAAAACAACTTCAACATGGGAAGCAACCCGGGGTTCGGGGGCTGTTTTTTTTTCTTCATGAGTGATGAACCCCCCACTAATTTGGGGAGACCCGCCCTCCAATCAACAAACCAATTGGTGTGTCATTAAAGTTTGTTTCCAATGGGCAGGATGGTTTTAGCCTTTCACGATTGAGGGTAAACTTGGCATGAACTAAAATGATGTATTGGATAGGAGCAGAGGCTTTTTTTGCTGTTCTTGATTCGGAATACTGCCTGGACAGAAACGCTGCATGGCAACCTTGTCCGGGCATTTGAAAAACAAAGTTGGCTTTCAGTGACCAAAGGCACCCTGGAAAACAACCGTGGTATGAGACTCAACCATACTCAACCACTTTGGCACAGCAAGGACCCAGCCCATTTTCCAGAATGCCAGGCACTATGAGCCTGGAGCCATAGCTCATTGCCCAGTTTGGATCCCACCCTGCAAATCATGTGGCTGTGGCTCAAAACCAATGGCATCCCATTTTGGGGGGGTTTTCGGTGCACCCATTTCAGAACCCTTTTATTTTGGTGGTTGGATTGGGATGTTCACTGGGGGCGAACCGATTTGGCTTTTGAGCTTTTGAGCCACGTGTCTCGTGGCTTGCCGCTTCTTCCAGCTGGGCTTCTTCCAGCCGCGTCGGGCGAAAATCCCTGGATCGATTCGATGACCGAGGCAACGCCAACAGGGCCACGGGGCAAGTCTTTTGCGGGGACCTGCTCTACTTCACAATGCCGCCAGGCTCAGAGACTTACTGTGACCAGTGCACACCCGAGCTGGGGAGTCTCTTTCAACAAAGCCAGATCCCAGATAGGTACAAGAGTAGGTAACCAGAATTTTCGCCTGTCTTTTAAAGGGTGGGTTTAGTTTGGAAATGGCACTGGGAAAGTGACAACTGCTTGGCGCCCGTGGGCCCGGGATTCATACGACACATATGAGCTGGGGGCGAGAGCAGTACCCGCAGCGCTGGGCGTTTCCCAGCGAATCGTCCGGTTTCTTTTTGTTGTCTTTAAGTTTGCGGGTTTAGTGGTTGGGTTTCCATATGTTTCCATTTAACCCACCAGTGGTCAAGCATTTAGCGGATGTGAGGGCAGCCCAGCATTTGTCCTCCAGAAGTGAAGATTACCTTTGAACATGCGGCACCCGTGAATCCAAAATTCGTATATCCCATGGAAACACCGTGGGGATTGCTCGAAAGAGTGCACGGCATACCTTTCTCCAATGCCGAGATGGAAAACCTTTACACTTTTAGCAGAGCGGAAATGGCGTTCCATTCCCTGGGTATGAGGGTTTTGTGTGACACCTGGAGAAGCGAGAATGCTGGGTCATTTGGGCGGCGTTGTGTGCGTGAAATCCGGAAGTGCGAAAGTCTAAGACATTCGGGGGTCTTCCGTACCAACCCTATCTTGGTTAGAACTGGGTGGATTTTCAGACTTCAACTTTGTGGGACGTGAAAATCGTCAATCTGTCTGGAATGACTAGCGCCAAGAAGAAAACATACATATACGTGGTGGCCGTAACGACCCTCTGCAGAAAGCGCTACTTTTTGCGGGTGCAATGGAACACCCGAAATATGTCAGCTTGAAAAGGTAAGCCTTCGTTCGTTTGGTCCCGAGAAGTCGAGTCACTTTTTCTAGTCAGCTCAGGCAAAGGTTGGCTTAGATTCCTACCATTGTGACTGTCTCCGAGTTCCTGGCGTTACTTAGGAAGGTCACTAAACGTGGCAAACAAACGTTTTAGACTCTGCTGGATGGTTCCCATCTGGTTCCTTAGCGTTTTCGCGTTTTGGTTGGTTCAGGTGTAGTTTCCGGATTCAACCCACTAAAAGTCAAGGATAAGTTCAGGATCTCAGGGCAGTCCAGGCAAGTCAGTCAATTGGCATGGGCAGCCGGTGTACTGACGTACTCCATTTCGCACCTCAGAAACCCCGGAATCAGAAAGCCGAAAGCGGATCGGCCCAGCCTGGGCCAATTCCCGCCCCGGCCTCGGCTCGAATCTGAGGATCGCCGCCCTAGCGAAGCGCCGCATCTCCCAGGAGCTGCTGGAAGGTACGTCGCACCCCAGACGAAATGCGGCGCGTGCGCGGAAATGAGTGTTTCTCCAAGTGCGCGTGTGTGTATGCATATAAATATATATATATATATGTATATATATATATATATATATCAACACCTGTGTTTGTAGGTTATATATTATATATGTATATCTTTTTAGGTCCGTGTTATTTGTTTGCGTGGTTTAAAAGCAACACAAAGAGCAACTACCATCTTTACATGGTCTCCTGTAAGAAAGACACCCACATGGTGGACTGTAGCTTGGTATTCAAAGGCAAGCCAGGTAGCATTTCAGGACACCAAGCATTTCAGGGACTCCTATCTTGAGAAGCCCCCAGATTACTTGAGCAAAAGGGTTCAGACCCTGACCCCCTTTCAAGCATGTGTTTGTTTTCACGTTTGCCGAGGCCCCCAAGGCCAAGGAAGTCGGAGGCTTAGGTCTCCAGGTATGTTTGGGATGTTTGTTGGGTGTCCTTGCTTCCTGTGGCCACTGAGGACGGAGTTAGAATACATGTTGTTCAATGACAAGTGAGTGAAAGTGAATGTGTGCTTGATAAACAGATTTGCTACTGGTGAAACAGTTCCCTTGCTCTGGTCAATGATATGGCTTTGTGATGACCACGGCCACAAAGGTTTCTGGTACGGGAACATCGGGAACCATGTCCAGATGGATTCCATGTAGGCTGAGATTTTCCCGGGACATTCGCCACTTTCTCCATGTGAGACCAAATGGCCCAACACTGGCGACCCTCAAACAGGTAACATGTATGCGTAGTGATTTGGACCGGGACCCTGATTTGTTTTTCCGGCTTTCCTGGCTTTTCCCGTGAACCTAAGCTGGCTGAGGTTTGTGGGCAAGTTCTGATTTGAGTCCAAAGGTGGAAACGGCTTTCTGCTGGTCTCGTCTCTCTCTCACGACTCCGAGGCAGCCAAAGCCATTGCTGCGGATGTGGGAGGTGGGTGCGAACCTGGGTGATTGCAGCAGCTTGGCAGAAGAGCTGCTACTTGGTTTTGCTGCTTCTGGGGTATCAAAGTCAGCAACTGAGACGCATGTTTCTGTTCAGTAGGCCCCTTTGGGGCCTTGGAGGGTGAGTTATTGATGGTAAACAACAAAGAGGCGAGTTTGAAAGTCAGTCAGAAGGCTTGCACTGAGAGCCTCAAAACAAGGACCAAACCGCCAGAATGTTCCGCTGGCCACATGTTGCTATTGTGCTTCCACGGGGTTGAGCAAGACTCGTCCTGCGAAATGGGAGAACCAACCGCGGAAGGAGTTGCTTGACCTCATTGAGGGACCTTACTGCCCTAGCCCTCATATGTGGATGGACGACATCCTGCACCACCCGACAAACCCTGGTTTCTGATGATTCCCCTGGAAATACCAACAAACAATGGTTTCCCGTGGTTTCAACGTGGTGCAGGACTTCGTCCATCCTCAGTAGAATAGGCCCGCAACCGATGCAACCGAGAAACAGATCTGTTCAGGGTCCCACACGTTTTCTGCTAGTAGTGGCAAGGGCTGGACAGACACAACGATTCTTTTCAATTCGACCAGCGAGGTCTGTGGGCCATTCACATGATCTCCTCCTGGGGCAGTGACAGCGCTCAGCCGCTGCTCGGATTGCGTTTCATGGGGTTTTCCGAGGATTCTCTTTGGCCTCGGTGCCCTTTTTGGGCTTCTACTGTTTGGCGTTAAATCAGAAACCCAGGCCTTGTTTAATCCACTCGATGGGAAGTGAGCCACATTTTGGGGCAAGCCAAGCCAGAGCGAGGAGTCGAAACCTCCGGAAGCAAACAAGAACCCGGCCCAAGGGCGGAGTGACCCGCGTGGCGAGAGCAGTTGTCCGGACCCGCTGTGAACGCGGCTGAGGGACTTCAAAGAAAACATCCATGTTCACCCAGTTTGGGGGGTTGTTTTCATCCCTGACTTTTCAGAAAGACGAGCTGGGTAAGCTTAAAAACGTTTGGTCGACGGATCGGCAGGACGGACATGGGGTTCACGGAGATCAGGTTCCTGAAAATGGAGCAAGCGAAATCCTCGTGGGCGAGCTGCGGCATGAGGGTTTTTGCTAGGGGGAAGCTAAAAGGAAGGTAACTCATTTTCAGAGGCCCATGTCGCATAGTGGAGCAAGCGGAACCGACCCAGCGAGGTATTCAAAGGAACCAAGGGAACCCGTCTTGAAGTCAGTTAGCTAACAGGGGATTGCTCTTCAAGGGGGCCCTGGATAGTGCCATACCCGCGCGAAGGTTTTCAGACCTAAGACCTCAGAGCCAGGAACCTTCGAGGACGAACCCTTGAATGGTTCTGTGGTCAGCGAACATAGGAAGCCTGGTTCAAGGGGTTTTGGAAGAGAACCCTACGGTGGATGATAAACTCCCAGGGATGGAGTGAGAATAGAAATTTGCATCAGTGCACACACCAAATATCACCAAATTGCCAGCAGGCAAATGACAATCCAATATCATTGTAGCACCTGTCAAACACCAAACAACATCATATTACATGTACCCTCAAAAAAGCGACACACATATATGTATATATTATTGTATACAATACACATACCGGGATGCGTTCGGCGTCATTGTTTGTGGTAATATGCCAGCCCTTGTTCTAGGGGTTGATTCCCCATTCTTTTCAACCATCGTTCTGTTCACCAGATCTTTGGGTTTCCGGAAGTTTTCTAGATTGAAGTATCTCCAGAAAGATTGGAAATGGAAGGTAGCCCAGGTAGCCCCAGACTTGTACCAACGTTCAAGGCAGCCCCTCTTCGACCTCGAGGCGGCGCTCTTCGAGCCCATCAGCGACGCCATCACGGCAGCCAAAGCTGCCGCACCTCGGCGAGGGCAAAGAGATTTTGGTTTTGAAGAAGTGGACATGTGAGCTACCACCAAATGGTTCGGAACAAGGGATATATGTTTTGGAGTGGAATAGGGCCCAAACACCCTCAAAGAACGAAACACGGACCTGGAGTCTCCATGGCCCTTTAAAAATGGTGGTCATTTCCTAAAATAATGGGGTCATGGACCCATTTTGAAAGGGCCATGGAGACTCCAGGAAGAAGTGGACATGTGTTTTCGCGAAACAGTCAATGTGCCGGACAAGACACGTGGGGAGAACCATCATTTGCGGGGGTGGCCCTATTTTGACACATGGGAAAACCATCATGTCTTGTGGCCGCCTTAGTTTGACACAACGGAAAGCCGTCCTGCTTGGTGGCTCCCCGATTTTGGCAGGAAAGCCATTATCGACTTGACACACGGGAGAACCACATTGTTGTAGGCACATAGACACACCATCTATGTGGGAACATATTTTTTTTTGGACCCCCTCTATTTTGACACATGGGACAAACCATCAACATTTGTTGGCTCCCCTATTTTGAATGACATGGCCCCTGTTTTGGCACATAGGCAAAGCATATTTGGGTTGAGTTCCCTAGTATTGGACACATAGGAAATAATGTTTTTTGAAGTTCCCATATCTTGACACATATTCAAACCGTCATTTTCGTGGTTCCCCTATTTTGACAGGCAAACCATCATATGTTTTTCTTGGGGGGGGTTCACCTACTTTGACAAATCAGCTGCAAGCTTTGGGGTCTCAGCCCAGATAGGCCGCGGGATGGTCCCCTGAGATTTTCGAGGGTTCCCGGGAACCATTTCTTTGTTGCTTGATTTTGTTTGGGGGGGCTGCTTTGACACATGGGAAAACCAATCATTGTAGGTTCGCCTTTTTGACAGGTGGGAACACATGCATTCCGTTTTTTTTGTCCTAATTTTCTTGGGGGGGGGGAGGGGTGATTGCCCTACTGTGGATGGACAAAATCCTGCACCTCTTTGAAACCATGGCAAGCCAATTGCTTGCCAGTATTTGCAGGGGATTCATCATTCCAAGGTTTCTTAGGTGGTGCAGGATTCCGTGCATCATTTTCGGTTTCACCATTTTTGAAACCTGGGAAAACATGATTTCGTGTTTCTTTTTGTTTAGAGTTTCTTTTGGGGGGGAGGGGGTTCCCCTATTTTAACACATACACTTATGACAAGGGTCCCGCCGGGTTGGCGCCTCCAAGGTCGCCGCCTTGCGTCGCCGCAGCTTGGTGAGGAAGGTGGCGGTGAAGCAGCTGGCGCTCGGGGAGCAGGCGGCTCCGCGCGTTTTTTTGTTTTTTTTTTCAGGGCGCCCCGTGTTTTGGGTGGTGGTTTCAAAGGGAAACCAAGTGGAAACCATAGATTGCGTTCACGCAAAGCCATGAAAATGTTCATTCCAGTCAATTGAGGGCCATGTGTTAGGGGGTCGCCTGATTATCATAAGGTTCCACAGTTCTACCCTTGTGCGAGAGTCTTTGGGAGCAACCCTGGATACAGCCTGGGCACTGAGAAACGCGAGCTCACCGATTTGGGGGGGTAAAACGAGCTGAGCCATCAAGGTGTTTCGCTTGCGGACTCTGTTTGATGTTTCCCTGTGAGCGCCGAACCTACGACAAGGACGCCCCTCAAGTCCCTGGCAGCCCCAGAGTGGAAAGGCGCCTTCAGCGATCTTCGGCAGGTGAGTAGGACATACCGAGTATTGTTCGTCCATTTGGCGGGGCATGTGAGAAACTGGCAAAGGGTTCATCCTAGTTATTTAGACTTTTTGAGGATACTCATTTTTTAGTTTTAAAGGGGAAGTTAAACGAAACCAACCATCTAACCCTACAAAAGAGACAACCGTACTGTGGATGGACAAACACATTGTTGCACCACTTTCAAACCATGGTTGAAACCATTGTTTGTTGGCATTTACATGGGGAATCGGATCAAACACCGAGAATTCTGTACAGTGCTGCGAAATGGATTTCGCAGTATCCCTGATTGAACCCTCTGAAGCCAATTGGGGGTTTGGAAAAACATCCAAAGCACCAAGCCAAACCACCAAGTAGGAGAGTGATTCAGCATGACCATGTCACGCGTGTCTCTCTCCCTCCGCGACTCTCTGGAGGTGGGGCACCTGGAGATCAACATCAAGCGCCGCTCCTCTGCGGAGGCAATGGCAAAGATGGAGGGCTTGTCAAACGGGTGGCCCGCGTTTTCGTGGGGCAGCCTCTGGTTTGGCTAAGGGGGAGCTACAAAGAAACACTTGCCCATAGGGTGCCCAACCCAAATGTCAACTTCTTCTTCGCGGCTCCAAAGGGTCCTTGCCCTGTGCCCTGGAAACGGATGCACCGCGTCCAGTTAATCCAAATGTCAACTTCCAATTAATCCAGAACCACCTCAAATTAGTCCACATCGAGCTGTGTTTTCTTGCTTTCGTTGTTTGCCGCGGCAGGGTTTCAGTTCTGGGTGGGTCCCTCTAAGTAGGGACATGAGCTATTCTCGGGGATTCCTTTGACTAGGGCTATCCGGATAAACAAAGTTTACATCAAAATGGACGCTGTTTCTTGGTGTACCTTTACATGCCAACAAACAGTGGTTCAGAAACATACCGAAGATCTCTTTATACAGGTGGGGCTGGCACCCACCACGAGTCATGGCATCGCAGATCTCGGCTTATTTGTGTGTGTTTTTTGGGTCGGACCCCCAAAAAACGGCGCAGTTGTTCCTTTTGGTTTCCCTTTTGACGGTACCGACTCAGAAAACCAAAACCGAGCCACGGCCATGCTCCACCCTGAGGCCTCCTTCCACGGGTGTCAGGGCTTCCAGGGGGACTGTGAGGCGCGGCGCTCGTGGTCCCTTCTCGTTAGGAAGGAAGGGTTGCCTTGAACTCAGTTCAAGCGGGGGACGCTCCCCCCAATTTTGAGAACCCCCCCCCAAACTGGCAAAAGGGTCAGACCACTCTTTGCGCTTGGTCGTCAAGCCCGGGGCTCTTCGGGTTTGGACTGAAGAAAGAAAGAGTTGCCGGACTGTTGGGCTTCACTCAAGAGTCAAAGGGAGGTCTTCCCTCAAGTTAAAGGTGCCAGTTCATTGCCACTCTGCGGAGGATGCCAGTGTGAGAGATTTAGGGGAGATCCAAGGGAACCAAGGATACCCCCAAAAGGACGCCCTAAAATCAGAGGGAGAGGGGGTGGAGGGTCCTTTTGTTGTGGATCGCCGGCCAGGTGCACCAGGCCGGCCTCTCCGTGCGATCGAAACCACGCGCAGATTTGTAGAGTTGTCTTTGTGTCGTCAAATTTTGGGGATCCCACTAATGGGTAGGTGTCCTTTGGGAGTTTGCTTTGGGGGGTCTTTGCAAGCAGCCCTTTAGTTGGCACGTGGCATAGCAGACGCGCTGTCAGGGTATGGGTTGCAGGGTTTTCGGCACACCGTTGACCGGTGTTGCAGGTTGGTATCGGTTTTGGGTGTTGACCTACAGGTCCACGGCAATATGGCCACCTCTAAAAATGTAAACGGACAGACAGAAAAACAAATGTGTTTTTTTTTGGGGTTATTGTCCCAGAAGTTGCTTACATGTGCAGCCTATACCATTAAGCAACACCATATTGCTTTCAAGCTGAAGATGTACCCCGTAAAATGGATGTATTTGGTGGAAGTGCTTTGCGGAAATGCTTCTCTCACTTCAAGGCCTCTTGGGGCTGGGTAGTCTTTGTGATCACCCTGTTTGGCCATTTGAGCATTCACTTCACGGCTGCATTCCCAGTGCTTCCAGCATATTTGCAATGTGTGTTTCCATGATTTTGGTGGTTTGGCGTCTGTGTAGACGTGCGCTTTTATGATTCTGGTGCTTTGACTGTTGAGAAGAGACCGAATCAAGCAATCATGTAAAGTCCATGTGTCTGTCTGTCTGTTTGTCTGTCTGTCTGTCTGTCTGTCTGTCTTTCTGTCTGTGTCTGTGTCTGTGTCTGTGTCTGTGTCTGTGTCTGTGTCTGTGTCTGTGTCTGTGTCTGTGTCTCTGTCTGTGTCTGAGTGTGTGTGGTGTGTGTGTGTATGTGTATATGTATTAATAATAATATACATATATATATATATGTGTGTGTGTGTCTGTCTGTCTGTCTGTCTGTCTGTCTGTCTGTCTGTCTGTCTGTCTGTCTGTCTGTGTCTGTGTCTGTGTCTGTGTCTGTGTCTGTGTCTGTGTCTGTGTCTGTGTCTGTGTCTGTGTGTGTGTGTGGTTGGTGTGTGTGTGTGTATGTGTATATAGGTGTATATATTTGTATATATGTGTATATATATATATGTATATATGTGTATATATGTGTATATATGTATATACATATATGTGAGATTGATGGTGCACCAAAGGTTATGAAACTTAGCCATTTAGCAGGGCAGGTGTGCGTGCGGAACAGGCATCAGGTGCTTGATTGCACGTTGATCAAAAGTGTTGGCACTACAGCAGCGACAGCAGCAGCAATTTCCAGCAGCCCCTTGCCTGCCAACATGTCAACCTTTTTGGATAAAGCGGTTTGTCTCTACGACTTGGCTTTGGCAATTTCCCGATCAAATCAGCTGCGCTTGGATCACGGCGCAAGGTTTCACACAGTTGCTCCGAGCCTATCATGTTTAAACTAGGGCAGAACATTGGTACATTGGTCAGGTTTTGTCTGGCTTCCCTCTGTCAACTTTTTGCCAACTGGCTGTGTCGAATGGGAGCAACCTGTGTTGGTGGTTTGATTGTGGGGGTCCCCCTTTTTTGCGTTCATCGTCGCGAGGTAAAGGTCGAATGGGAGTAACTTTGGATGAAAAACAAAGGTGGAGATGGAGACGTTGGATCACTTACTGATCGGCGGCTTGGAGGTCGTCGATCTTCTGAAGATCCATGTTCAAGGCATGGTGGGGTGGGTGGGGGTGCGGTAGCATCTCCCGACAAAAGGGCAGGGGTGAAACCCAACTCGTCAAAGGGCAAACAACACGGGCTGATATCTTCTGTCAAGAAGCTTTAGTGTAGCGAATCAGAGGTCACCTTTCAGCCCTTTCTTTGTTGACAGCGCGCCCTGATTTGGACGGAACTCAGAGTCAGACGCGCAGCCCCCAGGTTCTTGGCGGCTTCCCTTCTCGAGCCTCCGAAGTCGGATCACAGTTGGGGGCTGCCTTTGGCGCTGTTTCGTTGCGAGTGTTTTTGTTGGCAAGATCAATCACCTAGCTCAGCTACGCCCAAAGTGGATCGACCGGATCTGACCAGATCTGGTGTTCCTGTTGATTTTAGTCAAGGTTTTGAAAGGTTAACGGTTAACCTTCATTTCTGGGTCCTTTGGGCAATTGAGCTGGATAGACAAACTCACTCCCCCTGTTTCTGGAAGAACCCTAATCAAACCTCAAGCCCTAAACCCTGGGAAGACCTTTTTTGTGGGGCAAGTTCAGACTTTGTTTGGTGTGAAGGGATTGGGAACTCGCCTCGCCAAAATGCTTCTGGGGCAGCTGGATGCAATGTGCTTGTGGTTTTGTTGAGACGCAAGAGGAACCGAAATCCATTTTGGGGGGACCAAGTCCGCTAGCAAATGGGTCTGTCATTTTTTAGAGATGCCCTTTTTGGGTTGTTTCCAAGGAAACACCCAAAGGAAAGCCACATGTTCGAAGGGTTCCTCTTATTTTGAGCCAAGCCCACATTCGCAAGTAGGATTTGGAGCGTTTTCCCAGTGTTTTCTGTTTAACCGGCCTCCTTTCGGTTTCCCTTTAAAGGAATTGGAGCAGGGGGTGGTTGCATTTGTTTTTCATCAGACCGACATACCCCAAACTTGCTGGTGCTCAGTAGGGAAATGAGAGAATGAGCCCTATAAACCATGCAACTGGTGGTTTCCTTCAGAAAATTTCTGGGTTTATTCCCTCATTCCCTGCATATCGCAGCAGCATGATTCACAAATTTCTGCTTGAAGCGAAGGCAGCGAGCTGCAAGTTCTGCATGGGGCGCAGCACTCGCTGGCCACGGTGGGAGATTTGCTTCGACTCGGATTCGGCTTCGGGGCGACTCGGGGGGATGACAAGTTCATACACAGTGGATCCCAGTTAAACTTATACATATATATATATATGGTAGAGGTCTGGCCCCCCCCCAGCTATCGTCTTGGTAGCCTTAAATAGGGCCCCACCCCCCACCCCCCCCTCCCCCTGTGGGCCCGCTGGTTCAGGTTCTGGTCATCTTGCAAAAGGCCTCTCCCCCCCCCCTGTGGGCCCGCTGGTGGGTCAGCTTAGGGCCAAGGATTCGAGAGTCGTACCCCTGTCGGCGAGCGGCCACCACCCCCCCCCCATGTGGGGGGGGATACCATTGGGGGGCGGGGGGGCGGCCGCTCGCCGACCGGAACCATTTTTTCCTTTATCTATATGTATACGGTCACTTCCTAAGTTCCTGGCCTTCTTAGTCACTTTTTGCAAAGACCCACTTTAGTGGTAAACAACAAGTTGAGACTTTGTTTGGCCAGTCCACTCAGGAAGTGAGTATTATAAGCAACAAGGCCGTTACCGCGCCTCTTGTGCTCAACTCTCTGGTGGAAATTCCACTAGTGGTTACCCCTGGTTAGTAAAGGGTACCTCCCCACCACCTGGCCCCCCCCCGTCTTCAAGGTCGACAAGGTTTGGACAAATCCCCCAAAACTGCACCACCTAAACTTCCCCTATAAATACCAACAAAAAGTGGTTTCTCGTGGTTTCAAAGTGACGCAGGTTTTTGTCCATCCACAGTAGGGCCTTAGTATTGATGAGTTTAAGCAGCGGGTGTTTTGGCGGGCGGGCTGCACCGTACCTTTAATGTGGGGGCGGGGGGGTTGGGGAGGCCCAGAAAGTGATTGGGTTTGGTTGTTTTGTTTTGGGCAAACCTTGTTGACCCTTTGCTTCAGTATTGGCGGGATTCTGGGAGGCAGGGGAAACCTTTAATCGGGTTGAGGGGTTACAAAACATGCACTGGCATAGCTGGGGGGGATCGTTTGTCAAGCCTTGACAAGCATCTCAAAAGCATTCGTGGCGGGAGGAGAGTTTTTGCAATGGCTCCAACTGCACACCGGAAAGAGATTCCGCTTTTGTTAAGTCAAGTAGTCTCCGATAGTGCGCACACACACACACGCACAACCTGTTCAAGCAGCCCCGGCTATATAAGAACCAAACAAACTGCCGGACAAGAGGATCCCCACATTTCCAATGATAATTCCGATCAATTCATGGTGTGAGGATGCTAGCGCGCGAGAGCCACCAATCTCAGTGAGGTGGAAGCCTGGAAGCGTCCCAGGTCGTCATGAGCCTGATCAACCAAACATGTAAGATGGGGGGTCAAAAACATTCTTCGGCTTGCCAGGGACCGGAGTCCAAGGGAAAAACCTCGGCTCTGCTTGAGGTGCCGTGCATAGAAATCCCCCCAAAAACGGGCTGCTTCCAAAAAAGTGGCAATTCCAACAGCCCAAGCTGAAGAACCCCAACTCGGTCACGTGCCATCCAACTCGCGAGGGCCGCTTCTGCGTGGTCTTCCTGCAAACCGACGCTGCGCGCATCGGGCAGCGCGAGGAAGTGACCAGCGACCCTTGGCGACTGGGGAGGGCAGGTGGACAACGACGCTTTGAGTTCCTGGCGATACCTGGACCCTTAATTAAACCACGCCCCCAAAAAAAACACGGGACATCACCCTCTGATGTTCGGGGCAACCCATTCTTATGGGTAGTGTTGTTGGTCCAGGCAGTCGCTTTGTGGGAAGACCTGTTCAGTGAAGAAAAGTTTGGGCGTGGCCAATCTCGAGAGGATTCAGCGCAACCGGACCCGTTGAGCTCTTGAAAGGAAGGCCGATGGCTCAAGCAGAGGCTTGGCGCGGTTTCAACCCAGGATCTAAGGTTGGTGGCAAGTCTTGCCGGAATGATTCGGTGAAACGACCCGGACACTGGGGCGGTCCTTGGCCGTTGAAGAAAAGGAATTGATCAATGTTTCAACCCCAGTTTATTTATGCCAGGGCGGTATTCCCCTCAAAAAGTGATGATTCCCCACTAAATCCAGGGACACCCCCATATTAATCAGCAGGGGCTTTATCAGGGGTTTATCAATATGGGATCAACATTATGCCTCGTTGGCTTCAGGTGTGCTCCTTTGGCCAAAGGGAGACCTATCACTTGGGGCCTAGCCGAAAAGCACGAAGGTTTCTCAGACCCTGGCAACGGAAAGCACAAACGCAGTTCAACAAAGGGGGGTTGGCCCAACCCGAGCTACGACCCCCCCCCCCCACATTTTTGTTCAGCAAGGTTTCATTGGGACCGGCCAAGCGCTTTGACCGGGCAAAGCGAACGGTCAAAGCGATCCCCACCCCAAGCACATGCCTTGGCATCATGACCCCAAGCCTTGTGCTTTGTTTGCCAGGGACAGGGAATAGGAATTTGTGTTGTCCCAGACCCCCTATTCAACACCCGACAAACGCAACGTGACTACAATCTCTCATGACCTTTATGCTACATTGAAACGTCTTAATTGTTGTCCTCTCTTCGCTAGTATGTGTTGCCGTGTGTTCCAAGTTTCATGTTTCTTGTGTAGATGTGTGTACTGCCCATTTGTCCTTTGTCACGTTGTCCTTTTGTTGTTTCCTTCTTCGTCAAATGTTTGTATGTGTTCCCGTTTTATCTCTATGCTTTGCATTTTTTCAGTTTGTCCTTTTCCGTGCTCGTAACTTGTGTTTGAATGGTTCCTTGCTTTCATCATTCCAGTTTCTTGCTGTCCCTTGGTTTCCACATGTCACCATATTTACATGCTGCCTTGGATTTGTTTCCCCGATTTGGTTGTTCAGACATGGTGCCTTCGTGTCTGCATATCCTTTGATTTGTCTTGCTTGGTTTGTTCTTAGCGTGTTGTTCCACGTGTCATGTTTGCTCACTTCGCTTTGGTTCTATGCAGGTTATATATGTTATTATGTCCAATATGTATGTCCTTGTTCTTTTGGACTTCTTGTGTAATTGTCAAGACCTTATGGCTCCACAGTTGTTTTTCTCGCTTCTTGTTTGCATTACTACCTGTGTTTGCATTTGTCAGGTGATTTTTCCCCGTTGCTTATGAGTTTATGCCTTTTCTTTGCATGCTCTTTTTGCGGTTTTTGCTGCTTCGCTTGTTCCCTTGTCCTCCATGCTTCAATGCTTTTTGTGTTGCGCATTTGCTTCCTTATTCTCCGTATTCAGCCACATTCTATTTCTCGTTTCCCTGTTTTGTTCTGTCTTGTTCGGCCCATTTTGGAACGCAACTTGACACACTTTTGCACAAGCCGAGCGCTGCTTCAAGCGAGCTGCCTTTCTTCGGTGCTTCGCTTGGTCCTTACATCAGTGTTTCATGGGCCATTCTCATGCATCCGCGGAGGTATTGCATGTTACTCTTACCAAACAAAGCCAGCACGGGCCAGATGGCAAGTTTCCCCTACTCCCAACTCTTGACGCCGTTCAGGACTACATCGTGGAGTCCTTGATGGAAATTTTCAGCCGTGCCCTTAGAGGTGAACTGGCCCTGCACATGCGTCCCACGGTCAACGCACTCCACTTGAGGGGTTGTCGGGCTGGTCATTAGCCTAGCAAGGCCGTTGGAAACCGCGGGACATGAGCAACGGGTGGTGTGCCATTCTTGCATCGGTGTTGCAGGTTAACGGGTATCGGTTTCAGGCCCGTATCAGTTTCTGGGAACCCCGGCCAACTATTTGTTTTGCAAGCCTTACATTCTTTGTACGGCCAGGTTACTAAGTTGTTGCCTCATTTGTTTCCTTGTACATCAGCTGGGTTTGCTGCTGTAGATAGGCTGAACTGAGCAACTTGGGAAGACACGAGTAGTTGTTGCTCGTTTGGAGCATGAAACGTTGTAGTGGGTCAACGTTTGTCCTGAGCCTCAAGCGCATCCTACACGCTCGTAAAAAGACAGCAGTTTGTTTGTTTGTTTGTTTGGTTGTGAGGTATGACTGAGACTCTAGCATGAAGGTCCAAACAGTTTGGATTTGCCACATTACCTCGAGGGGTCGGTTCAGCAACCAAGACATGATGTTCAGACGCATGAAGTACCCATACCGTGTCTGTCTTGCTTTTTCCTGAAAGGATCGTGCTTTTTTTAACCATTCCATGACTTGCTGCGAAGCCTAAGAACCCTGTGTCCTTATGAATAGGTCACACACAAATCACCTACTGAGACTTGATAATCCTTAATGAATATTGACTGGTTCAGCCTTGGGTTTGTTTGATAACTCGACAGAGCAGGGTACTTGGCAAGTGGTCTTCACAATGGTTACAACCCACTTAGCGAACTTGCAACCATGGCAAATGGGTTACGACCAGGATTACCAACCACTGGAGGGTTGCAACCATGAGTGCAAAGCAATTCCAATCGGCCCATTTTGTCCATATTCTGGACACTTTTTGGTTTCCTTTTGGTTTCCTGTTGATTTCCCGGTTTTCAATGAGTTCGCAGTCGCGACATGAGGCAACTACTCCGCGGTGGCGGCTGATAGCCGCGGCGAGGCGGTCGTCCCCCTGTCGAAGCTGAAGGCGCGGCCGCAAGGAACTGGCGGGGGTGGGCGTGTTTGTTTTGGGGAGCCTACGTATGGTTTTGGTTTGGTTGCTTTAGAGGGAAGCCAAAGGGAAACTCACCTATCTTAGAGGGTTCAAGAGAAGGACAAGCCCATTCATGCCTTGCTGGTGATTTTTGAAGGAGTCCAGTGTTTCCCTTTTGGGTGGTGCTGATTGTCACCATGTTTGGCCCATCTAAGATGAGTTCCCGCCTGATGGTTTCAGGGGAAATGAAGGCAACCCTGTCTTTGGACGCAAGGGCTGTGAATTCACCGACTGGAACTGGAATGACCCAACAACAGTTTCCAGTGTTTTTCCATTGAACAGGTCACTTCTTGCAACTGGGTCACCCGTCGGATCTGTTTTGGATAGTTTCTGGCAGGAGGACATGCGGCCTGACAAAATATTTTGTCTGCTGTTGGTTTGGCGTCGACGAGATGGGCGGACAACAAAGGGCCAAGGCCAACTGTCCCATGCCACCTTGGGGAACAAATAATCTTGTCCGTGAGTCATACTATGGCCGCATTTCTCAAAATATCCAAAATGGTGGGATACGCAGAAATGCTTGTAAATCATGTCCACCATAGGCATGTCCAAATATGTAGTGAAAGGGTGCATGGATTCACGTTGATGCGCCTTTTGCCGGGAGAAGCACGCGACGAAACCACACAACGGCCCAACCATCTACGACTCTGTACCGTTTTTGGGTGCTGAAAAATGTTGCTCTTTGAGGTTTTGGAGGGGTCCGCGGCTCCATGGTTGGTAACTTGGTTTGGGGTTGATCTTTGTTATATGGGGGGTTGATCATTTTTTGTCTTATCCTCAGGGCCATCTGGTTGAAATGTCACCTTAGTGGAAACAACAACTCCAGGTTTTTCCGGTGCCACTTTCGGATACCAAGAAAATCCCCGTGAAAGGTGACAAATTGATAGAACGGAGTTGCCCAAGCCTGTCACGTGTTGCTGCCAATTCCTTGTGTCAGAACATGTGGACATGTTGGATATCGGCTTTCTGATCAAGTCATAGTTACGCCTTGCGATGGATTTTCCAACAGGAAGGCCTGGCCCTTTTTTTTGGGCGGGGGATTCCTTTCAAATCAATTCAACATCAACCGACATTGCAGAAGGCAATCGCATTCTTATCATGGGAATGCATCGGGCGGTTTATTGCTGGTGACAGTTTCCGGGTTCCTTGCGGAGACCGAAACCAAGGAGGGTGCAACTTGAAGCGAGATTCCCAGTTTCAACTTGGATCAAGGAACCACAAGGGCTGGATATGCTGTACTTCCCCAATTCTTTCAGATTAGGGTCAAGCACCTCGGGAATTGTGGTGGCTGCTGGCTTCTTTGCTGTCTCATGAGACGGAGAGACAGCTTTGTCAAACTGTGTGTTTGTTCTAGTGTTGGGAAATGGTCACTGATAGACAGGCTCACATGGAACACCCGCAGAATGTTGGTTTTCCTTCTGGTTTCCCATTGAAATGATGTGCTCCAAAATCTGGTCCCCCAGTTTGTCCACCCAGTTCAGTCGTGTTGTGGCTTTGCGTGCGAGGCTAGGTTCCAGCAGAAGGACTGGGCGAAAGCGGCGACACAAAGCGGCTAGTGCAAGGATCAAAAGGACTCTTCAGAGACCAATGTTGGAGGTATTTCATGGAGGTTGTGTACAACTTCCACAAGGGGTACTGCATGACAAGCTTAACTTATATTGGTGGAAAATGAGCATCCACATCTTGAACATGTCACCGGGAAGTGCAATTGAAAGGAATGTGATGAGATGTGATGAGTCACACCCAAGACCTCGCTGCGTCGCTTTTGTTTGCGTGGGAGCTCTCTTTTGAGGTTGATCAAAGGGAATCCAACGGGAAGTCGTGCTGAGGGGTCCTTGAAGTTTGAGACAAGCGCATTGGGGTAGTTCAAAGATCAGGATGTGCCTCCGACCATAGGTGCCCCTATCTGTGCATTGGCAAGGCTCCCGAAGAGGTGTTGACGATGTGCTTGCAAAAAACAACTAGTGGATGTCTGAGTCGGGACCGCTTTTGGACACTCAAAGGAGCGGTTTGTGGAAAAGCACCCCATTTCTGGAGCGCGAAAACTAGGAGAATGAAACTGGGGAGCCCGCCACCCTTTGTCGCTGAAATGTGCTCAGAGCCCTTCGATTAGAATTGTTGGAGCTGCTTTTGGGGAGCCGCAAGAACAAGTAATGTGCTCGGCCAACAGGTCCCTCACTAGTGGAAACAACCAGCTGGGTTCCAGTTGTTTGTCTGAATCCCTTCTGTCCACCAACATGGAACCCACCACTAGAGGGTTTGTTGGAAAATATGTTTTTCAGGACCTGTCAGTCAAGTTCCATATTGGTGGACAGGAGTGTCACTGAATGGTTTTGGGTTTCTCCTTTGGGGGTGGCATTGAAAACCATTGCTTGGTGGGCTTACAGAATACCAGGATTGACACAACCTCCTACTGGGGTATGGGGGCATTTGTTTTGACTTTTGTGGGTTCCTTGTGGAGAGGGCGACATGGAGATTTCTCCCAATCTCCTCACCAGCCTTCAAATTGGCGCGTCAAAGGTCCGGGCTTTCAGTGCGAAAGATGCTCTTTGTTCTCAGAGAAGGGGTGGCCGAGTGGCCGGCGATGCTGCTCTATTCGGCGAGAGGAGGGTTGCATGCTCGAGTGGCATGTAGCTCGCATGTGAATCGCAACAAGACCACTGCCAAGAACTTCTCGCAGGACGATTTGGAGGATGCAGTACTGGCGGAATACTCTTGAACGTGGGTTGGACATACACCGTGTCCATGTCAAAGGGGGGGGTTCTCCGGGCTTTAAAGAATAGGCAGTAAGCGGATGTCATTCCCTTCACCTACCACTTTGATGAAGGTACAGACAGTATGACAGTACGTTGGATGCCCCTGCCATATTGCAAGTGACCCACCCAAACGGAACAACTAGAAACCAGGGGTTCCTTGCTCCAATGATCACGGAGACAGGGGGGTTCCAATAGTTCCCTTACTTGCAATATGGCAGGGGCATCCATAAACAATGATTGTGACTACTTGGGGTTATAAGAGTCAGTCACGGTTGTTTCCCTTTACCTGGGGGGACTTTGAGTTATACCAGACCAGCCTCGCTTGTTCAGTGGCAGCTTTAAAGACCATTGGCTTACAGACCCAAGGACTTACTCCCTATACCATTTGTAGAGGAGACTCCTGTTGGGGGACCCTCTTCTGGGTGACCCATGTACGTATTAGCGCCACTTCCTCAAACCCGGGGATTGCCCCGGTTAAGGGATGGTCCCAACTGCCACAGATGGGTGCGGATGTCCGCCTTCTTATTATTGAAGCATGGTTGGTTCACTATTTTATTACCGGCTTTTGGTTATAACTCATACAGTGGACCAACTCCTGCACCGCTTTGAAACCATGGTTTAACCATCGTCAAACCATTGTTTCTTGGCATTTAGAGGGGGATCATCAGAAACCAGAGTTTCTCAACGGTTGTGCGTTGGATGGATTTCGCAACCCACAGTCTGCAGAGCAGTACACGTTTGGTTGGTTTTTAACCAGAAGCCAAAAGGAAAACCACCATTTTTTGTTGTTTGGGAGGGGGGGGGGGGGGCGGGAGGGCTCTAAAAAAGGACACTCATATCGGCATGGCTCAAAATTAAATAGCTCGGGGTTACGCGGGTCTTAGTCTTTGGTTCCATTCACCAAGGTGCCATTTTGGCTCCACTTCTTTGAGCCACGGCCATACGTCGCAGGATCAGAACTACTACGTGGCGGCCTGGCACATGGGCCAAAGATGCGCCCACCGCGCCTCCTCCTTGGCGGCGGAGGAGCTCTGGGGCCAGGCTCCGTGCTTTTTTTTGTTTCTCGTTTTTTTTTTGTCTTCTTCTTTTTCTCGGAGTGGGCCGCAAAAAAGCGGGGGCCTCACCAAAAATGCCGTTGTCTTAGTTTTTTAGTTTTTTTGAATTATGGGGGATCCCCTAAATCAGGTTTTGGAATACTAAAATGTGCACATGATTTCCTGCGGCCACGAATATGAGTCTAGGGGTACCTTCCATTTCCATTCTTTCCAGGGATCCTTCTTTCCAGAAAACCTCCAGAAACCCAGGGAAAATGGCAGGTTTTTGAAAAGGCCGATAATTGAAAAGAATGGGGAATCAACCCCTGCAAAAAATGCCATTGGCTCAGTTGCTTTTATGGGGGATCCCCTAAATCAGCTTTTGGGATACTAGAATGTGCACATGATTTCCATTGATTATGATTGATTTATTTCTGTTGGTTTGAAAAGGCAGTTGGGAGTATATTGTGTGTTGTTTCTAGGGACTTAAGCGAATAATTTGCATCATGGGGTGTTGAATTGGCCAACATAGGCGTCCTTTTTCTTCCATTTGCTGAATATGTATTTGTTTGTTTCTTAATAGACCCCCCTTGGTTATATAGGGAAGCGATTTCACCACTGGATGTTTGTTTGCGTTTTCCAGGGGGCAAAACCGCAACCGGAGGATTAGAACGGGGTTTGGGGGTCAATCAAACCAAATCACCTCCGATTCATGGGATAGTGCTTGTAATTTAGCTCCCCGAGTTCCCCAGACGTTCGTCACTTGTCGGGACCTAGACTGAACGTTTGAACTGCATGTAGCCAATCCACGGAAAAGGCCGAGGGTTTCCATGTGCCTGGTTAGTGAACCAATCTTTAAACTCGTAGGGAACATGGCAAAGGGTCCCCTAAGATCGGTTGAGGATCCAGATTGCTTCTTAGTTGCAGAAACATACCTGTAGGTCGCTTAGTTACTTAGTTGTCTCTCCCTGGATGGTACATGAGCTCATTTGCCCATATGCACATGAATTTACGAGTTTCACACTGACTGACGTTTGACATCAGTGGGGGCTGTCAATTACGTTGGTTTCATTCAAGCATGCTCAGAGTGCACATTCGGTGTTGGCTTGCCAGGTATTCGAGCAAAATGTGGAACAAAAGAGAGCGGATGTGCTCGGGCGCTTGGGCAGCATGCGCGGATCCGGCTTCTACTTGGGCCTGTTTCTCATTAGGGACCTATGGCATTCAGAAGCTTTGGCAGACACGGGGCTTTGGCAACCTGGGACCCATGTGCAAAATGACTGAAAGGATGGATGCACATATTTTTGGGTTTGGCTGGAACATGTCTTGTTTGAGTCGGACAGCCCTTTGCGGCTTGCAGCTTGACATGCGACTGCAAGCAGGTGCTTTGCTTGCATTGGTTGGGCTCCCAGCCAGAGGGAATCGAGGCACCAAAGCATTGCTGAACCCTGACAACGAGCCGATTTCAGGTCAGCCAAGAAGCACCGCTCAAGCAAAAGAACCAACAAAAGCAACCTGGCTAATGAGGTCGTATTTTCGGAAATATGGGTCAAACAACAGATGCCGACCACACGGCCAACCAGTGCGTTCGGAAAGACCACCAAAAAGGACCCCCAAGAATCTGATAGTGGCAGGATGGCCAAGAAGAATCTGATTAGCGTTTGTTCCTTAAACTGGAAGGCAGCACCAGAGTTCTTTGGACTCCCCCGAAACCCCTTGCGATAAGCTATGGCCATGCGCCGGCGCTGGAGCGTTGTAGCGCTCTCCTTGCTGCTGCTGCCAGCGCTGACGGCAGTGCCTGGAGAGACCGACACTTCGCGAGATTTTCTTATTGGTGAATTCGCCTATGGAATTGTGTTACGCAGGAAACCGCCTCAAAACTCCAATGGGATCGAAATGGCTGTGCACGTGCAGCTGCAACGTGTTATTTGTTGTTGGATTTGTTTATAATTTTGGAGCTTGCCTGCTTCCAACCTAAACTTCAAGCCACGTCAGGAACTCCGAACCTCCGAAAGAAGATCAAACAATGCTAGTTGAAATGTGGTTCCCTTCACCGGGTGATTTGGCGCGGGCTTCCTTTGAATTCCCGGCAAAGGGTTCCTGGCGCCAAGTGGTTGTCCACCCTGGCGATGGGGCAACCCTGATTGTTGCTGTTGCCTGGTTAAGCATTTGGACTTGCGGTGACGTTTGAAACAAGTCGCACCCGTGTGATTTTGAGTGTGCGCATGTTTGTTGTGGGTTTGAAGGAAATCAGAATGGACAACCACCAATTTTTGGGCTCCCTAGCAAATGACGCATCGGTTTGATTTCCTGTTTCAGAAGGAACCCACAAAAGTTGTTTTGGGGTGGCTCACCAAGTTACAGCAAAGCTTTGTTTGGAAAGGTTCCCCAGATAGCTCCTCCGTGTATAGAAAGCACATGTTTGGTTGGAAGGCGTTGTTTTTTTGATAAATCCGGAGTTATGATTTGATGTGGCCCAGGTCGGGCCCTGTCGGGGCAAGCAATTCTGTTGTGGCCTGGGACGGGAGGCCGAAACTGGAATTGCTGCTGAACTGATTGTCAGTTTGAGGTTGGGCCTGAAATATGCATTATATAATTATATATATAATGCATTGATTATATACAGCATGTTGGGTTGGGCCTAAAGGATGAGGTAGAGAGGAAACTAAGTGCTCATTGTTGGCTTTGAAGAAGCTATCAGAACTCCCTCGCCCAGCAAACCTCTGCAGGACGGCCACTGTCGTCGTTCATTCGACGAGCAGGACCCAGACCGAACAGCCTTATCTTGTTGGAAAGGTGGTCGTTTCCATACGCGGCCTTATTTGTCTAAGCCCAGCCTGGGTGTCACAGATAGACGCTAGAGGCACAGAGGCATCCACTCCATGTTCGGATGTTCCAGCAGCTAGCAGTTGCGTCATTCTCACCATTGCCGTCAATTGAAATTCACAGAATACCCATTGGTTGGTCCAAAGCGTTGTTTTTACACCCAAGGCGAATGCACTCAACGACCTTGACAACCTACAAAATTCCAGGGTTCCTTTGAAGCAGACAGGCTTTGGTTGCATGTAGTGTTTTTTGGATACAGCAATGTGTTTGCTGGTGGTTCTCAAAGGCATTCGGTCCCATTCGCGATAGGACTCCTCCCGCTGCTTGCCAGCCCTGCCCTGGCTGAAGCGTTCAGCCCTTTGCTGCGGCCATTCGAAGCTTGACAAGGAGTCGACGACGTGGTGGAAAACTGGGGCTGGCCCCTCATTTCCTGAGTTCCTGAACGTTGATCGTTCAGTTGTTCGGGTTAGTTGTTTTTGTTTTAGCAAATCCACTCAAGAAGTGGGTGCCAAGAGAACACCCCGAGACTTGCCTAACAAGCTAAGTGGAATGGCCCACTTTGGTATGGCAGACACGATGAGTTTCCGCAACCATGCAAGAAGTGGTCAGCTGACCAGCTGTTCGGTGGCACTAGGTTCTTACTCTCACTTGCCGTGGGTTTTGTTCCTAGGAAACAAGAATGCGTAAGTCGTATAGTACATAGACTCTGACACTCCTTCTTTTCTTGGTGGGTCCCAGCCATCCCCTTAGGTTTCAGTTTTGTCTGGCTTCATCGTAGTTTCCGCGAAACCACTAAAAAAATCAAGTTTTGACAGGGGAGCTTAAAACTGACAGCCCACCCTAAGAACCGGCTCCTCTTTTCAGGTTATGGATGGTAGTGAGGCACGCATTGCAAGATAAAACCAAAGGATTGGCCACTTTCGGCAGTTCGCCTCCCCCAAAAACAAAATTGGAACCTGAAAAAGTTCCCCTAGAGGGAAACAACACCTAGTCTTCCAGCGGGTCCCCGCAAGTTTCATGTTATTTTGGTGGAGCGACATGGCAATCCGGCCATGGAAGCTCGTGTTTTCCCTCTCGAATATCGCAGGAAGGCGTTGGCATGATTTGGACACATTTGGACACGCATGTTTACACAGGTGATTGAGCTGAGTGGAGGCAACGAGTGGCTTGACAGGAATCACATGACGCTGAGGAGTGGAGCTTCTTCTGGAACGACACCCCCGCAGAAGGTGCCAAGAGGAAGGTTGACATTCGCTCACATGTTAAGGTTCACAAGACCTGAACCAGACTCGAGCATCAATTATTTATTGGCTGGGGGCACAAACTAACGTAGGAGATGTCAAGGTGTTGCTCAAGGAAACGTGTCTGCGCAAAATGCAGATCTGAAACGAGCTCATGACGTAGTGCCTCAAAGCAAGTTTGGGGGTGCCAGGGCTGTGGTGAAGATGGCCGGCCTCTTAACGGCGCATGTACGCAGCAACATATCATCATATCGCATCACCCCTGCCGCATGAAACGCAGGCGTAGGTCATGGTCATTTGGGTTTCAACGAAAGAAGCGTGATCACCCAACGCTGGCCGGATCTCCTCCGTGCACGCATCAGATGCATGCAGAGAAGGCATGGCATGAGTGGCCTTGAGAAGTTTTACACTGACCCCAGTGCCAATGCATTGGTGAGTTTGAGTTGGGTTGCTACAGTTGGTGGGGTGAAGTTGTACAGTTTTGTGTTCCAGTTGAGTTTTCGAGGGCTTGCAAAGAAAGCAAGGTGCTTTTGCCCATATTTACCGGAGGTTAGGAAGGATAATCAGTTGAGCGTCGCCCTCCAGGTCCCTTTTCGCCGAGCGCCAATTCTCTCAAATTGGAATTGACCAATCAAAACCAAACGGGTCACTGGTCACTGGTCGCAACTGGGCGTTTCCCACCACCTGTGTCCGGAATGCGGGCATGAGTCGGACATGCATGGAGGGGGGGCCCCAGGTATTTAAACCAAGTTGCGGGTGGTTAATCTGTGGGGACAGAACAGGACTGGGCTCGATGCTGCGGCAGTGGCCGAGATTTTGCGGCGGGACCTAGCTGAAGGCGGGGGCGGCATCTAAGATGGTTTTCTTCACCCCCAAGCTGCTCCCCCAGTCCTACTCCAGGGGAGAAGCTGGAATCTATCATAGATACTATCTCTTCCTGCAGCTTCGGTCCATTGGTACATTACATTTTGCTAGAAGCATCGCTCGAGACTTCATTCAGCAAACATCCCCGGAACTTTTTTGTATAAACCTATTTTGAGTTTGGTTTGCGCTCCGCTTGTTTCGTTGACGGCTCTTCCCAAACTCACTTTTCGCAAAGGACATGCACCTGCCAACTTGACTTCTGATGGAAGCCCGAAAAATGCTCGAGAGCAATAGTGGAGCAAAAACACTACAACATGTCACTTTGTGCCCAGGTGGAGGCATCATTCTTTGCTACGATGACTTCTGGTTTTATCAAGGTTAGTGGCTATATGCCCCATTTCTTCCGGGGGTGGATGAATCTGAAATGTGATCCCTACTGTAGATGGACGAAGATTTATTGGTGTGTATGTGCATATAGCAGGCTTTTTAGGGGGCATCGAATCATAAGCCGGGTTCTGAACAGTGGTGTGACAGGGATTTTGCAGCCATCCATAGTATGAAGGTTGCCATGCCTTGCCCCATGAATGCACTCCCATAGCAGATTTCGCCGCTTCCCGATCACATATGAGTCATATAGTGGAATCAAGCCAAAGGGATGTCTGGGTCCAAGCTGGGCAACTGAGTCGCCCATGAGCGCGGTGTCAAAAGCGTCGCCCAAGTTTGGGCCTTGCGTCACGAGCAGTGCGTATCCCTTGACGGAACTATTGTCATTACTTGAACATGGTTAGTGCGCCATCAGGGTTTGGTATAGCTACAAGAGGCTTTGGTGTTTTCCTTCCTACCAACTCAACGACACACCATGCTTTGCTTCCCAAATGTTTGGTATCACAAGCAGTGGGTAGTGGGTTCTCTGAATTTGGCACTGGGATCATGCTTTCCTCTCGAGTCCCGTTTCGGACATTAGCCACCAGGCTCGGCCCAGTTTGGCAAGCAAGAAGTCAACTGGCCAACGCACTCGATCGGAAGTGAGTAATGGGGGTTCTCCGTGAACATGGGGTTGGCATTGGTGTACTGTTTAGTTTAGTTTGGAAATTGATGGCTCTGAATTGAATTGGTTTGCCTCATTTACCGGGAAACCCATATACTTTTTCCAAAAGGTCACCTACGGCAAACGACACCCAACAAAAAGAGAGAAAATAACAAAAAGTAAGACAACAACAACAACAACAACAACAACAACAACAACAACAACAACAACAACAACAACAACAACAACAACAACAACAACAACAACAACAACAACAACAACAACAACAACAACAACAACAACAACAACAACAACAACAACAACAACAACAACAACAACAACAACAACAACAACAACAACAACAACAACAACAACAACAACAACAACAACAACAACAACAACAACAACAACAACAACAACAACAACAACAACAACAACAACAACAACAAAACAACGCCGTGTTACCACTCAACCGTCACCCAGATGGGTTCTTTGTTGCTTGGCTCTCTCAGGGAAGTACATCCTCACGGGGAATCTCACGTCGGAGATCTTCAGCGATGAGTGCCGCTTCGTGGACCCCAACAACGCTGTGGATGGATTGGCCAAGTACAAGCAGGCGGAGCCAAGTTGAGCGCGCGAAACGAGAAGAAAGAAACACCTGCGGGTGATAAGAAGGTCCTGTAAACATGGGGTCACCGGTAGGGAAACCACAAAAGCAGATTTGAAAATTGACTTTCACCACATGGACAAGCTACCCATGGTCATTTTTGGGCCGAACGGAATACTAAGTTGGCCGTTTTCGTCGTAGCTTCTACCTGGTTGAACTTGGATTTCTATAGCCCCGACTATAAATCCGTGCAACCATGTTGGAACCAAGAGTCAATACGCTTTTGGGCGCTCAGCTAGGAACTGAAGACGCGAGGGCCGTCGCCTGCTGCCATGCCCCATCGTTGTTGGGGATATCTTCTCTGGTTGGGGGGATTGGACGAACAAATCGGGGTGCTTCTCAAACTGGGATTTCGAGAGCGTTGGGTATTTTGGGGACCCCCGCCCCCTCCGCGCAACCCAAAAAAAAACAATTGAAACAAAGAACAACACACAACACAAATCCAAACGGGTTAAACGGAGGAAACACAAAAATACCAACAACGGGGAAAGACAAACATTTAGAAAAACGGGTTATTTGTTTCAGGTTTCGGAGCGAATCCAATGTTGAGAACACCTTCTCGCCTCGGGTTTCGGAGCCGAGGCGCTGGGCTTCCTCTTCGATCCCTCGGACGCCCGGAGTAAAGGTCTGGGCGTTGCGCTCCAAGGCTCACTCCCTGTCATGGACTTTTCTTTTGGTTGGGGGGGAAGACCATGTTAGTGGTAAACACACAGTTTGGAGGTTTTTTGGCAAGTCCAGTCAGGAAGTGAGAAGGAGGGTGGCCCATTTTCAGTGACGGCCTCAAAAAACTTGAGCTTTTCTTGGTTTCCCCTTCTGCGGCCACAAAGTTGACTTCGGGCAGCTTCTCCAGGATCCCAGGTCACGCAAGTGGCTCAGGAGAGTTTCCTCGAGCTCCGGCAAATCGAGGGCGACGGAGGCGCCATCCGCGCGGAGTACGTGGCTGGCGGGGTCTTGAAGCTGCCGGGAGCCCCGGGCGCGCGCGCCGGGTGCGCCGGGCCGGTGGCGCTCTGCCCGGCTCCAGGTGTAGACGGCCATGGGTTGCATAACCTATGGCGATCCCATTTTGGGGTGGATGAACATCCATTTGCCACCTGTTTTGATGTTCACCAGGGGTACAGGGTTTTGACCCACAGCCAGATGGTGTGGCTCAACAACAATCAGCTGGGGTTGCGCAGGGTGTAGTTTACCTTTCCATGTGCCAGGGTTCCATTTTGGACCCTACTTTTGAGTCACGCCCAAATTGGTAGCCCTTCGCCATTGTTCTCTTAAAGTGTTCGAAGGGTTCCATGGGGTTACCTATGCGGGGCAATGGAATCACTGGGTCGTTTCAGAAATCAGGACGCGGAGCAGCTTGAAGTGCGTAAAGAATCAAAGAAGTGCATTAACAGGGTGTCCCTCCCTTTTGTTTGAACTTATACTGTTGTTTCAACATGGTATGATTGGTCAACATTGGTCAACATTGGTCAACATTGGTCAACATGGTATGATTGTTGTCCCCCCTTTGGGCGCCCCCCCTTCTGTTTCAACATGGTTAAACGGCTATTGTTTCAGAAACCCCCTGAAACCAGGCAGAACTACCGAAATAGGGTGGACGCTATACTTGCCGATTGAGGCCATGGCGCCCGCGCATCGCGCCCTGGCTCCGGCCTCAGGTCCGTACTTGCCCGCAAGTGAGGCAAATAAGGGAACAGGGTAACCCTCCCATGTGCGTGGACCCTCCAAATTCCACGCACACTGGGTTATAGCCCCAAAATAATGGGGTGTCCCTTTTTACGGCAACTGGTTTACCAGCGGCAAATGCTGTGATTGATTGGAGGTGAGTGGCCAAGCGGAAGTCAAAGCGCCCAATGGCCCGCAGGCGTGATTGGCCTAGTTTCCATTTACCAGGGTTCCGTTTTAGGTACCTATTCTTGACCCAAGGTCAGGAAAGATCGTCTACACCTTGAACAGTGAGGGGCTGATAGCTTCGCAGGTGGACGAATGGAACATCACTCGCTTTGATGCCATCCGTCAAACCTTCACTCCTTGAGACGGGCGAAAGAAAAAGACCGCGGCGGTCGAAAAGGTGCGCGAAGCGGTCCTGGTTGACTCCTTCCCAAGCGGTCGTGACTAGGAAGCGGTCCCCAACACTACTAGTTTGGGATCCAGAAGTGAATATGGGTGGGTTTCTGACAAAATTGGGTTAGTTTTTCCAGGCCTATCTAGTACCCGGCTTACTGTAGGCACCCTGTCTTTGACGGCGTTCACTTCGGAAGGAGGGCCTATTAAGGGTTCAGGTAGAGTTGGGGCTCTCAAAATGGCTTGTATCAAGGACCCCTTTCGTGTGCTGGGTATGGGAGACCCTGGATTCTCCAAAATCAGAGCGCAGGCTTAGGGTACCAAGCGTTGTCAATGTGCATACCTCGGCACCCCAAATTATTTTTCTTGAAGATTTCATGCCTTCGCAGGTCTACAGCCCGTGTTCGCGTCTCTGTGCCAAAAATTGAGATTTGGACATTCAATTGGTTGAGGCCCGTTTGGTTTCCCAAGAAAGTGAGAAAAAAAACGGAAGCCTCGCAAGTTCCTATTTTCTCTCAAAAAGACAACCAAGTCGCTTCACCCGTCGGGAAACCGCTTTGGAGACTGAGGACATTGGGACGTCTGACGCCTGGGCGGCCCGAAAGGGAGGTCAAGAAAAGCGGCCGCCGATAGGGTCAAAGGGCAGCGCCCTGCTTGATTCCCAAAATTCCCAGGTTTCGCAGGTCCTGTCTGCAGCTTTCAATCGGGGCTTGAGAGAGCCAAGCCCTGAGTTCCGGTAAACGTTTTGGGAAGACCCGTTCTTGCAAACAAGAGTTCAAGACTGTATTGGGTCCTTTGATTTTCCTTTGTCATAATTTGGCTCTGGATTCTAAATAGCCTATAACTTTAAAATGTAAAGGGAAACCAAAAGGGGACGGGTACTTGTTGAACATATCCGCACTCCCCATTTGGCTGTGCCTCAAAAGTTAAACCACCAGGGGACTGCAGGTTCTAGTCTTCCATTTTCCCAAGTGCCATTTGGTGTTCTTTTTTTTGCCAGCATTTCGCGCCTACAGTTCAATATCTATTTGGGTGTGTCGAATGTTTGAGGGACCCTCCAAAAGATTTGGTGGCTTTCCTTTTGCGCTGAAAGCCAAAAACGGTACTAGGGTACCGTAAAAAGACAAGACGGGCCCATTTGAACTCCTGTTAGGTGCTGAGCGCCATGCAGCGCTTTGCCTTTCCAGGCAGACAGGGAAATGGTAAGGAGTTGACGTCGAGGCAAGTTTTCCAAAAACGTCGGAACCTCACTGGGGGTTTGGAAGACAGCGCTGAGGGATGAGAAAAGAAGATCTGGTGAGGTCCATGTTGGGCCTAGACTGGACCCCTTGTGGTTTGTGGAAGGGTTGGCTGCTAGTTGTGCAACGGTCAGCTGAATTTCGCTAGTTGCCCAGCACCACATTTCTGCTTTAAGTCTCTCTTTTGTTGAGCCCAAGATTCGTGAGGTCATTCTTCGGTACGTGTCAGCCCTGCCGTATCATTCATTGCATGTCCACCTTTAACTTCTGGGGACACGCAACTTGCCAGTTTTTTTTGGGTCCAATGCCAGGCTACATTGGCGCGACCCGTACTCGCCTTCGGCAGGCGAATGGGCTTAGTTTGGTCGCTTGCCGAAGCATGGGGAGACTTGCGAACTGTGGAAAACAAGTCACTTCCTGAGCTCCTGGATTTTAGTCACTTTTTGGGTTTACACCGTTTTAGGGGAAAGCAAACAGTTTCGACTTTTTTGGGCCAATCCACTCAGGAAGTGAGACAAACCAGGGACTCACTAATTGTGCCATGTGGCTCAAAGAGATGGAAACCAAATGGCACCTTAAGGTAAATGGAATCAAAGACGAACACCTGATTTTTCCGGGTTCTTCAATTTTGAGCCAGACCCATGTGCCTGGGAGAATCTTGGTCAAAAAGAGTGCCCCGCCTTACGGGGATACCAACAACGACCGCTGATTTTGGCAGCCCCCACATGTTTGTGGCGACTCGTGCTTTGGGGGCACTTTCTGTAAGGAGGGAAAGGTCTTCAAAGTGAGCAAGTCACACTGATCGACTTGAGCGGTGCGAGTTCGTTGCCCGGCAAACGGTGACTTGCCCAAATGGACCTGCCCTACCAGGTTGTTTGCCTGCCTGCCTGCCTGCTTGCCTGCCTGCCTATACACTTGCTTGAAGCTACCAAGAAGCCTTCACGTAGATTGGCCACCAACTTGGCCGAGGACAACGCAGGCCAATAGAAATGGGGCCTTGAGTCTAAGACTGTGTTTTTCTCCACACAAATATTAGGTATACAACCACCAGATAGAACCATCCGTTGAGAGTTCTGAATCCATTTGGTTTTGACAGGATCCCTCTCATAATTATTGAGGTTCAGTTCATGTTGCCTGACACCGCGGCCACGTTGGGTCAAGGGATTTATGTCTGAAACTGGTCATTTACCAAGGTTGATTACCATGGAGTGACAAAGTAAGCATTTTACAAACAGCGCAAGCTAACTATCCATCGCTGCCGTCTGACTGACTTCGACGAGCAGGAGAGTGGGCGGGAAAGGGACAGCCACAGACCAGTGTTAAGTACTGAGCCTGGCTGGGCTAAACCAACCGACGTTTCCTTAGTTGCCCACCTTGGATGATCCGAAACCATCTGTCAGCAGAAAGCCGGGAGTTGACATGTACATGGAACTCCGAACGAATGTTACGAAAGTGATCAACCTGGCGTGTCTTATCGGGTGTTCCCCCAAAAGCCGATCCAGATCCCACCTAAAATCTGGGACCCCTGTATGAATCTACCAGATTGCTTGTTCTTTTATTCCCGGGTCACCATAGTAGACTGCAAGTACTTTTCTTTGGGAAAATCTTGGAAAAGCCTGGCTTTCCATGCGACATACCTCTTTTTTTTAGTCATTGGTTGATGGATATATGGCGGTGGAACATGCGATGGTTACCTTCAGTGCTTGGAATCTGTGGGGGCAGTTCCACAGAGGCGCCGAATCCTGACAGGTGCCTGGACCCTTTGTTGCGTATTGGTTGTGCTTGCCGAGGCAAACGGCGCCAAAGTGAAAGCGGTTGTTTGCATTTTTGAAAGGCATGTTTGCAGTTCCCGCTTGTCGCCGGTGCCTGGTTTTGCCACTTAGTTGTGAATGTGTGTGGATCCAGAGACTGGTTTTGCTCCTGTATTGGCAGATTCAAGTCTTCTCAAGTATGTGCCCGCTCTGCAAGGAGGTTCGTTAAGACTTTAGATGGTTCTTGCATGCCTGTAGTGGATGATTCCTGGTACCCCACGATTCCCAAATGAGTGACCTGTAAGTCTAGCTGGTTGTGTCATCCAGGTGTCCCAACTTTAAGAAGCCCCATTTGCAGAATCACACACGTCAAAGGGACTTTCCGCATCGAGAGAGAAGAGACCTGCACCCCGTGGCTTGGGGGGCAGCCCAGAGATTTCCGCAGTGGACCAAAGGCAGCCGAATCGCCCAAACGCAGACGTACAGCGAGACCCGTGAAAGGATTTGGGGGCGGCAACGGCACGAATGAAAGGAAACACCTGCATCGCGAAAGGCCGGCGATTGCAGTGCAAAACGGTTGGAAAGACAATCCTTTATCAACAAACATTGTGTAGGCATGACCTTTGTAAATCATTTGCCCCCGCTAACGGAACACGAGAGTCGACAGGAGAGCGAAACCGCCATGATTCGGTGAATTCCAAGCACCTTCATTTTGAACAATCCCCATATAGTGTGACAGCTTGTGATTAGTTTTTGAAGCTCCCCCAGCTTCCATGGAGGACGGTTGTTTACTTGATTGCTATTGGGTTGGATCTTTAGACTTTAACTTCTTGGGAAACAGCAGAGTTTCCATTGAGTCCACCAACAGTTAAACCTTTTGCAGAGGGGTTAACAGCAACCTAGCCTCTTGATCCCTGTCTTGGCTTGTCAGCTACACACCCCATTGGGCTAGGTTCAACCTCCAGATGAACATGGCGTCTGGCATTGGGGAAACCTAAAGGGGGAACCAAGCGGCATTCTCGCGACGTATTTGCTGCACGCATTTCAGGAGGGGCCCAGCGCAAAGGCATGGCGCCTTTTGCTGCATTGAGCAAAAGGGCGTGCTAGATGAGGATTGATCAGACTCTGGGGTAGAACCAGCTCCTGAATCCTGGTTCATAGGTCCTTTACTGAAGCATACTGATCCGACATTGCCTATGGTTGACGCCTGTTTATAGTAACTTGCGCCAATCGGCAAACACTACACACTACGCTTCTCCATTTTATGTTTCATTTCTCAGGAATTATTTCGGGACACGTTAGACATCTTGCTTGTGCTTGCTTCATACTCTTCTTGGGGTCGTTGCAAAAGACTTCCAATCAAACAGAAAGCTGCCCTCGTTTGCGTATCACATTTTCAAGAATCAGATATCTCCTGGTAAATACCAACTTGTCTAGTCAGTGGCTGACATCATACCTTAGAACAACTGTTGTTGGGCTGTGCCTATGTTGTTTTTGTTGAGGAGGGTGGTTTTCAAGAGAAACCAACAGGGAAACCAGCATTTGTTGGTGGGTCCGGGGGAGCCCTGGGTTTCTGATACGCTCGGTGCCCAAAACATCGACGCCTCTGAGGCGAAGTTCTTGGAACGCAACGCCAACGGGGAGGATTCCAGGTTCTGCGTGATTTTGGGCGCCCAGCGCCTCGATATGAAATCCATGGACTTGCTGTGTGTCTTTTTTAGGGGATCCCCCCACCCAAAAAACAGGAAACAAAACAAATGCGATTTTCATGTTGGTTTCCCTTTAAAAAAAAGAAAATATATCCTGAAAAGCATGGTTCTCAGGCAATCAAACCCTAGATTCTGGGAATGAACAAGTCGGGATGCCCCTTTTATGGAAACCTCAAGTGATGGTTATTTTTGGGGGTGTTCCAACTCAGTTCCCACCGAGGACCAGCAAGCCGAAACCACTTGATCAAAGCATGCGATCCAGGACGGCCCCCGCAAGTACGGCTGACGCGCCGTAAGGCTTTCGCCTGACAGGGGCCCTTAGGCATTAGGCTTTTATAATTATTTTAATTTGAGGTTGCAGAAATGCCTATATGAACCTGAATAGCCATGAGGACCACAAGAGAGTGGGTTTTGGGCGCTGCTCAGTTTTCTAGGCGTTGGTTCATTCCCCATTTGTTTTGCCATCGCTCTTTTCCAAAACCATCGATTTTCTGGAGTCTCTGGTGGCTTGGTGGAAAGACGGATGAAACCTGAGAACCCAGGAAAGTGAAGCTCAGTCTCGGGATGTTCGCAGCTCCTCGTGTTGTTTTTGCTGTTCTTTTTGTTCCATGGGTTCCCTTGAAGTCAGCTTCGAATACCTTTTTCATGGATCGAGTCACTTGTTTGAATGTCAGCTTCCAAACGACAGCGGGGCGCCCAAATCAACGTCCCCCGGCCGAAGACAACTTGCGGCGGCCAGGTGGGGCGATGAAGGCAGCTCGGATGCGGAATTTGGCACAGACGCCCCGGAAATCTCTCCTAAGAAAACTCAGTCGGGGTTCATCAAAAGGTCCTTTGCATGGGATGACCATTGGGGAAAACCGGAAAACCAACAAAAGCAACTTAGACTCTTAACCACAAAGCTGGGTAAATGCCAATCTGACCTTTTTAACCTTTATGGCTATTTGGTACCAGCTCTTTGGACTTTGCACGTTTTCGTCGAGATAGTTCGGATTCTGCGAATTGGACACACAAAGGGTTATTCACTTTTTGCAGAGGGGTCGTTACAAGCAACCAAGCTTTAAATCTGCTGGCTTTCCCTGTGCCCATCTTTCGTCATGCCCCAGGTTCACCTTTTCTTTCCAGGCGGAGGGTTTAGGTGCTAGAGTCTCTCTCTCGGATTCTGAGGATCAGGGGACCAACGCCCAAGGCTTTCTTCCCTCAAACGAAGTTTCGACGTCGCGCAACGCGATGGGAGGGTTTTTCCGATTCCAATCCAATTCACGTTACCGCTATAGTATGTAAAAGCAGGTATGGCTACCTCTAGGCTTTAACATCATTGGTCCCCTTGGTTACCTACTACAGTGGTAACTGGGAGCACTGGGATTCTCATTTCAGGCTCAAAAAGAATGCAGACCCATGAAGGTTCACAGGGAAAGCCTGGTTTGGTGAAACGTGAATGCACCTGAATGCACCTTTTAATCCCCAGCATGAGCCTTCTGGTTTGGGCGGAATAAGGTCGGGGCGACACTTCTCCGTGCCCCAAATGTTGGATGCAAACCAAAGGGAAACGTGTACGCCCTGTATGTCAGATTCCCACAACCGCTCAGTTGCTTTCAAGCATCATGTCTAACCAGGCTTTTCGCAATATACCGCAAAACTGTTTTGGCATTGAAGTAGGTGGTACTGTCATTCACACACCTGAAGCACGGTCGTTTTACCCCGGAATCAGTCGGGGTGTTTTTAAATATGAGGTGGTTTTCGAAAGGGAAACTACGAGGAAGTTACTCATTTGTTCATCTCCCTTTCTTGGCATAGGGTGCAGGAAATACACTGATACCCAAGTGGGTCCCTAGTCTATGGGCACACTGTGCCCTGTGGCGACCTGCGGGTAACGGGTTGGTTCCCTCCTACAAATTAAGGGGAACTGATTCGAACTAGCCAAAGAAGCCACCAGATTACCAGATTATTGCAAGGGAACGGCTGGATTCCCCTCCAATTACGATAAAGAAACATGGGTTGGTGAAAGAAGCCTCACGCACACAAACACACAAACACACACAAACACAAACACAAACAAACAAACACACACACACACAAGCACACACATACAAACACAAACACAAACAAACACAAACACACAAACACAAGCACACACAACCACACAGACACAGACACACAGACACACAGACACACAGACACACAGACACACAGACACACAGACACACAGACACACAGACACACAGACACACAGACACACAGACACACAGACACACAGACACACAGACACACAGACACACAGACACACAGACACACAGACACACAGACACACAGACACACAGACACACACACACACACAAACAAACACACACAAACACACACAAACACACACAAACACACACAAACACACACAAACACACACAAACATACACAAACAAACACAAACACAAGCAATCACAAACACAAACAAACACACACACGCACACCCACACCCACACACCCACACACCCACACCCACACCCACACACCCACACACCCACACACGCCCACACCCGCACACCCGCACACCCGCACAACCTCACACCTGCACACCCACACACCCACACACCCACACACACCCACACACCCACACACCCACACACCCGCACACCCGCACACCCGCACACCCACACACCCACACACCCACACACCCACACACACCCACACCCACACCCACACCCACACTCACACGCACACGCACACACAGAGACACAGACACACACACAAGCACACAAGCAGACAAGCACACAAGAACACAAGCACACAAGCACACAAGCACACAAGCACACAAGCACACAAGCGCACAAGCGCACAAGCGCACAAGCGCACAAGCGCACAAGCGCACAAGCGCACAAGCGCACGCACACATGTGCGGGCATGGGCTTCCCCTGATGATGTTGGCCGCCCTGTTTATTAATAGGGGGTTGCTTTCTTTCAAAAGTGGTCTGATTTCAACCACTAAACCCAGGGAAAAGCAACCCCCCATAAAGCATCATTGGATTGGTTCATACGGGGTCAGGTCAACCTCAACTGTCCTCTTTGGGTTCAAGTTCCGGAGGCAAAGCCTCAAAGTTATCTTTGGTCGCTGGCCCTAAATGGAATATTGATCAACCCTACTGTGGATGGGCAAAATCCTGCACCACCCAAGACACCATGGGAAAGCATTGTTGGTATTTATAGGGGGAATCGAAAATCCTTGCGGGGTTTCTTGAAGGTGCGAAATGGATTGCGAATCCTTCCGCAGTAGCGCATGGCCATGGGTGGAAATCCCGCCCAGTCAACATCCGATTCAACCCAACCACTACAATAGGTTCTAAATGGGTGGTGAATTCACCAATCCCAACCAAACTGGGATCCCGTTTAACGGTATTGACAACCACAGCCAAATGGAGTATTGATGAACCCTAGCGGTGTGAAGGCAAGGGCAAGCTGGTGGACATCCTGGCGCAGAACGTGCAGCTCTGCGCCCGGTTCAACGGCGGCGCCAACGCGGGCCACACCCTGCGCCTTAGAGAGAGGGATACCGCGGGGGGAATACCGCGGGAACTGGGGGCTCCTCGAGTCCCAGGACCAACTGGGGGGGGGAATTGCGGTTGGGGTATTTTCCCTTTTTTAGGGGTGTCCCAGGACTTATCTTGCCTTTTTTGGAGGCTTTTCTTTGGCGGTGATGTGGCCTCTTTGGGATCCGAGGGTTGCGATGTTTCTGTTTTTTGTTTGGGGAGGGTGCGTTTGGGTCAAGACTACGAGTTTCGCCAACATGGGTGGGGCCGAATCGGAATCATGTTGGAATCCGTTCGCATCCTTGGCCGGTCAAAGGGTTCAAGTCGACCTTTCTGACCTTTCTGGGGGCCGATCGATCCATCTCATTCTCTGAGTTGGACTTTAGTCACTTTTTGGGATCTTTGGTAATTATGTTTAGTACAACTCCCTATTAGTGCAACTCGCTTTGGTACTTATGGTGTTTTAAAGTCAACCTCACTCCATTTTAGTGGAAATATCAACTTTGGACTCAGCCAATGCACTCAAGAACAGTTGACTAGACCCGGACCCAGGTCCCTTTAGGGATTGGACCTGAGGCTCGGACAGTGCCTTAGAGTTCACGAAATATGGATCAGAATCGTCGTTGGTTTGTTTTTGCCAGGTCCCAGAGGTACTCAAATGTATTTACAGGGCTTAGCAGGTGAGGTCATGGGAACTTTCTTTGGACTCTCTTTGAACACGAGGAACTTGAGCTTCCATGTTCCATGGGCCTGGAAAGAGAGTGGTCTATCGGAAAGAGACTGGTGATCAAGACCAGATGGAGTGTCTCACAGCAATCACCCTTCCAGAAGTAGTCATGTGAGCTGAAATCAGCCTCATGTGATTGGTTGACAACGTGACTCAAGGACCGAATTCAGAGATCTGCGTTTCGCATCTTCCCGTGTGTCTGCTTGAAACACAGTCATAGGGATGGTGCACTTCGGTATCAGAAGAGCCATTTCCGAAATTCACGAGTAAGGAATAGATTTGTGGGGTTCAACCGCACTCGTTACAAAGTAGCAGCTCGCTCGGCGCGCGATGAACTTTCTCGACAGCGGCGTCTTGTTTTCCTGTGTCCTCCTTCATACGCCGACCACTCGTGTTATCTTTGCTCCCAAGAGCCAAACCTGCAAATGATTGCTGTTCTGGTTCCCATTTTGAGCCTCATCCAACATATAATCAACACGGCAGAAATGGGTGTGTCCCGAAGATGGGTGTACCTGTTTGATCCCCTGACAGCCAACTAAACAAGTCGGTCCCGGGTGGGCACTGGGTGAGAAGGAAACTCACTTCCTGAGTTTCTGGGTGTTTATCTTTTGGGAAGACCATTTTAGTCGCAACCATCAAGTTTGGACTTTGTTCTCCGATTGGTGGAAGAGTGGAAACCAACATGACACCAACACTCAATCAGCGTTGATTTGACGGATTTGCTTATTGCATTTGTTTACATGGCACTGGGGTCTCCTCCGAAAATGTGTCATATGCTATTAGGGCAGACTACATATATGGGCATGTTTTTGATTTTTTGGGTAGCCTCAAAAGACGACGAGCCGAGTTCCTGGACCTTAAGCTTGGGAAGAGCAATTCGGTAAGCAATGTGGACTGTGGGCCAAATCTACTCGGGAAGTGAGGAACAGAGTCAGGCGACATGGAAACTTCTGCACACAAAGGCAAAGTCTCCAAGTGACTTCCTTGGGTTCGTTTCCGGAACTCCGGAACCCAAGTGCAACATGGAAACCCTATAGGAACCCAATCCAGGTAGCCAGGAAGGTAATGTTTACCACCATTTGACCCATTTGGAGGGTAAGCGTGGGTAAACACTCCATACATGGAGTGAGGCATAGGAACTCATTGAAAAGCACCGAATTACAACTTCTCAGATCTCTCAGAGCGAGCGCGCTCCAAGGTTGGTGGACGGCAAGAAGTGCCTTGACCGCACGGGTCGTAGGCAGGTGACTGTCACCCGGAAAGCTCGACCCAAATCCGGGCCTCGAAGTGGATGCAGCTCCCTACGCAAAAATAGGGCTGGCCACGGCTTGCTTCTTCCCAGGCACCGGGAAGATCAATCCCCTGTTTTGGGAGCCTCTGTCAGGTGCCAGGTTGGAGGGAGGGTGGAGGAAATCTTGAAGATGTTTTGCGAACATGAGCCCCAAGCTGCTCACCAGCCCACTCTTGTTGGAGTTGGCCGCAAACAAATGTCCAAGGCCACCTTGTGTGTCAATCCTTTTGGGCGTTGGGCCTTTCGGCGTTAACGAGCTGGTGGCTGCATTGCCTCGAACGAATCTCCGGGAGACGCGGCTTTGGATGTTAGTCAGCTGTGGTTCGCCTTCGCTGCGTTCGCATTTGGCAGGTATGCGTTTCATCTTCTTCCTTGCGGGATGATCAACAAGGCCCCGAGTTGTGTGAGTGACGCTACTTCCTGGTTCGATTGGCAGGGAATGAGGGGGTCGCCATGAGGGAGTCGCCTCGAAGATCCACGAGGAGAAGGATCCCACCATGGGCAAGCCGACATCAACCCCGCGATAGTGGGAACATGTGGGAACCCATCGATTCCTTCCGAAGGTTTCAACTCCTGGAATTCAGTTGGATTGCCTTCCTCAGGGCAATCCTCCCTTTCACTGTGCAGACCTCGGAGAAAACGGAGTTCGAAGAGCGGTTTCCTTTCAATGCGCCCAACCTTTGCTGGAGATTAATCTTGTAATGCCCAAGCACTGAATCTTGCAATGTTGTTCTTCCATGGATGGTTGCCACCTCTAAGTTTGACGACAAGTGTGACAGGCAATTCATGCCAATCGGACTAGCAGCATCATTGACTTGTGATTGCGTGAAGAACCGGGTTGTGAAAAAGGCCAAGCCATTGGGAAATGCGCAGTTGGTTTCCTTGAGCTACCCTGGGCAACCATGCTTCCCGCCTTTTGTCAGAGCAACACTCAAGGAAGGAGCTCACGAAAATCTGTCTGGCACAATGTTTGGCTTTCTGTCTGGGAGGTTCAACAATAGCTTCCATGTGCTTCAGACGATGTTTGCCTTGGGAATCTAGCACTACTCGACGTTTATGCCAAGGGGCTTAAGCAAATGGAAGTTAGAGATGATCAACCCCTCAAAGGGCCCAAAGGGTCTTCGGGCAACTGGGAGAAGGTCACTTTGTCAGCCCTCCACCTTGGCTGTTAGCCATAAGGCAACCAAGGGAATCGCCCTAAAAAAAAGCGAGGAAAATTGCTGGTTCCCTAGTAGTTCTACTGGACACTGGGATCCAGTGGGATACTGCTAGCTCCTAGCTGTCTAAAACTTGTTGCAGAGGTTGGCCAAAAATCAACGAAGCAACAGCCGCGGGAAGGAGAGACCCGGAGTTGGTCCAAGGCTTGCTCACTTGTCGACAGCGATTGGACCGGATGTGCCCTTTGGTTTTACTATGGTCCTCTTTTAGTGGCCTCAAAAGGTGTTTATTCCCTGGCCCTTTGGGCAATGAAAGCAGTCAACACATCTCTGCCACAATGGAACCTTTGACAGTGAGGACACCTTGGCGCCCGCAACAGTCAGGCCTCAGCTGTCTATCGGCAGCCCCTGTTTCTTTTCTTGTCCAAGTAGTGGCCCACCAGGCAGGGCCAAAAGGGCGGGGGCGCAATATTTCCCATGCAAAACTCCTGCCGTTTGTTTGTTCACGAAGGGCTTCCGACGTGTTTGAGCGAGGTTATTTGGGGATCATTCTAGGTCCAGGCCACAGGATCCAAGGTCCAGGCCACAGGATCTACTTTGCCCAGAAGTTGTATGGGCAAAAATGCAACCAGCCCCCCCCCCCCCCAGCCGACGGCTGTCTCCCATGTTCAAAGTCTCTCTCAGGTACTGTGCAAAAAGATGTGGGTCTAACCACCAGAAACATTCGATCAACTTTTAGGGACATCCAATGACGCCTGCTTGGTGCCAGGCCTGCAAGAACCTCATCGGCAACGGCCAGGGCCTCGAATCCGCTGCGAACTGAAATTCGGTGTGGCGAGCGAGGTGTGTGTCTCGTGTCTTGCAAGATTTGTGCCAAGCTTTTGGGGAGTGTGCCTTTAGAGATAGGGGGGGCACTCATGGTGTGAGTGTTTAGGGACTTTAGTCCCTTTTGGGGGAAGGCCAGTTTAGTTGTGTGTCTTTTTTTGGGTTGCCCTTGGTTTTTGAGGGAAACCAAAGAGGCCTTAAAAAAGACGAGCCAGCCATATAGAAAGTTCGGAAAACTTTTCCCGGCCAATCCGCTCGATCTCAAGGGAGGAACAACAAGCATCATGGGACGAGCTTTAACTTTCCTGTGTCCTACTGGGGAAACGAGCAACGCTCACACCAACAGACCCGTCCAATTCATAGAAAGGTCTTCCCTCCAAAAGTGATAACCCCACTATGAATTGCAACCTTTTTGGGCGACCGAGTTGCGAGTCTTTGCGCGGGAATCGGAATGAGGCGTCGTGGTACACATCCCAACGCTGATGAAGGAGTTGCAGGCGCGAAGGTCGTATTGATGTGTCCTGCATCAATTGGGGCCGATTCCCCAAGCCCAATAGGCCAATAGGGCCTAGCGACTAATAGGGTCTCGGGGCTAATAGGGCCCTCTTTGTGGGGCGAACGACCAAGAAGACTGCTCTAAGAATGATAAGACTTTCTGAGTTGCTCATTCTTCTCTTTCCGGGCACGATACATTGTCTTTCACTGCGCAGCCAGCATGAGCCTCGTTTTCTGGGTCGGATTCCGAATCTGCTTTTGTCCCTGGCGTGCGAAAGAGGCCCCCTTTGCGGTTTTTCGGGGTCCATCTGTTTGTGAGTTTGTAGCCCTTCCTCATCTTAGGACACACCCATCAGGATTTGTGATGAAGATCTTGGCCGAGCCTCCAAGCTGAACAGGTAGGCAATCTACTGGACAAGATGTTGCAGTTGGGATGGAGAAAGCCCTTTGACACCTGCGAACCACCTACCAACTGGAGCGAAGCGGATTTGGTGCATCTGTGTGTGTGTCTTTCTCGGGGACCTCCACAATGGTTGGGCTTTCCCTTGGTTTCCCTGTAAAACCATCCCACACAAGAAAAATGGACCGAACCCGAGCCCTAAAAGTAACAAGGACAGACCCATCAGTATGAAGACCCAAAAGACCAAAAGCACGGGGTCCCTCACAAGCCGCGCTTCAGGAGCTTAAGGAGTTCGACCCGCGGGCGCTTGAGAGGATCTTTATCTCCACGCGCCGATGGCCCAAAAGAGTCAGGTGTTGAGTAGGGATTCGGTGTTCTGTTTGGATTTGGTTGGACTTATTCCGATTCCCTTTAAATCAACCTCAAAAAGGATAGCCTCAGAAAACCAAAAACACACAGAGACATGAGACGTCGAAGTTTTGGACCATGTGCACCCCTGGTTCTTGTGGAGGGTTATTGGGCAATCGCCACCGGAACAGCTTGAAACCACCACTCCAGACCACCCTTTTCGCGGGAAGCTGAATATGCGTGGAGAGCTATCATCGCAAGCTGCCGGCGGCGAGTGCCGCTATTCAGGCGCGCACGTGCTCTTTGACAGCCACCAGGCGGGGAGGAAAGGGCTTGGCAGAGTTCTGCATTTGCCAGCGCCTGGGTAATTGGAATAGGCGGGCCACTTCAAACTTTGGGCTGTTAATTGGAAGAAATGGCCCTTGGCACTTAATGCAATGGTGCACTTTGGATGGTGCTGGCTTTCTGTCTTCCCCCTCACTCCCCGAGTTGTTGGACTTCAAGCTTTTTGGGAAGACAGTTGTGGTAAGTATAAAAGGTTTGGTTCCTTTTCTTCGCCAATCCACTCGATCGGAATTGAGCCCCAGAGAACCCTCTTGTTTCAGCCTTGCTCCGTCAGATCATCGACGGCATCTTGGAGGCCGAGCAGGCGCATTCGTTGGGCTCTCTTTGGGTGCCACAAATCTCTACCCTGGGGTTCAAACCAACATTAAGACTATGTGGGTTCATATCACCACCATTGTTTTCCTAAGGATTGTCATCATCGAAATTGGGTCAACCTTTCTTTTAATGGGGCTTGAACCTTAGGGTCTATCTCTTGCGTCTTTTGCGTGCGGCCCATTTGCGAGTGGTTTGAATAAAAAGGCAGCCAAAAGTACCCGAAGCATCTTGGGGATACCCACCATTTATGCAACAAGCCGATGGCAAGCAAGCAGGCTGAGCTTTTCTGGCCCAGTTTGGTGGCGCACTCCCTTGGTTTGGGACCATAATCAGAGGTCCGTCTCGAATTGGAGGATGCCGGGCCCTTGGACCTGTTTGGCAATTCATTGCCAACCTCGTCGATCTCACCGGCCAAGGAACGCCGGGCCCAGAAACCAAGAAAACAGAAAGGTGCCCCCCCGGGAGGCTGGGTTTTTGCCAGGCGGTTTTCAAGTGTTTTGTGTTTCCCATGTGGGCCGGTAGAGAAATCCGATCGACGAACGCATCGATGGCTCAGGGGACCAACTCCATCGGCACCACGAAGCGTGGCATCGGCCCCTGCTACTCCGCCAAAGCCATCCGTGCCTCGGCGTCACTGCTCTTGGTAAGTTGTGTCTTTGTTGCATGTTGCTTGGATGGCGGGACTTTAACTTTTTGCCAGCCAATGGGTTTTCCCTTAAACCACTAAAAGTTAAACTTTAAGCAGGGGAGCAGAAAGCAACCGAGGTGTGGTGCCTGTTTTTGTTGGTTCTGTTCATGTTTTAGTAGGTGGCTGCAACAAGCTAAGTTTGTTACTACCATACCCTCGGGTTGTGAAGTCGGATCGGTGCTTCTGCTTCTTCTTTTACCGAGAGGCGAAATCTGTCAGCCAGAGGGGAACAAAGGGAGTCGCCAAGAATTTGGGGTGTCGAACCTTGTGATAAAAGAAAGGGCCAAAGTCCTGTAGTTTGTCCATCATCATCGTCGTTCCAGCAGGTGTGGTTAGCTTGTTTGCTTGCTTGCTTAAGTCGAGCGAGTGGTCCCCAAATCCATCCACTTCTTTGGAAAAAGGGATCGATATCCCCTGCTCGAGTGTGGCCCGAGTTGGACTTTCGTCACTTTTTGGGAAGACCAGTGGCAAACATTCAATCCACTCAGGAAGTGAGAGCCACTGCTGGTGAATCAAATTGCAGATGTTCAAGGTGGAAGATTGCAGCTGGTTGAAAGTAGGTGGTAGAATCCCCCCCCAAAAAAAACACATGTTGGTATCTCACTCCCTAAGTGCCTGGACTGCAGACTTTTTGGGAAGACCCTCTTTGTGGTAAGCAAAAAGTTTGGGCTTTCTCTCTTCTCTGGCCAATCCGCTCAGCAGGAAGGGTAGTAATCTTGTTTAGTCATCCGGCTTCATTGCACACATGAGTTTGTGCCACCAAAATGGGCTGGCTTTCTTGTAGCTTCCCTTTGAACACCAACCAAAAAGGTCCCCCTCCAAAAAACACAACTCAATAACATCCACTTGATTGCTACTCAGTTGGATCTTTGGACCTTAGCTTTTTGGTTGAAACAGTTCGGATTTTCCGATTTGGACCCACAAGTTGTTTGAACTTTTTGCAGAGGGGTCGTCGCAGCAACCGAGTCATTATCCGGCAAAATCACACGGAATGTGGTTCCGCCACATGGGAAATGTGCTCTCGATCCTGAGTTCTCAATGTCCAGCAGAGGGGTCCTTACTACGTAACCAAGGGTCATTACACCAACCAAGGTATGACGGCCGAAATGCCAAATGAGACCTCCCCCGTAGACCTCACTCTCAAGAAACGGGTCTTACCCCGAGAATCCATTGCCATCTGCTTTCACGAGGCAATGGGCTCCGCTTCGGGGACCTCCTCCACTTCGAGGAACGGAATGGCTTGGGTGCAGTTCCAGTTGTTGGGTGGGTACCTCGTTTGGGGTCGGGGTGGGGTTTTAAAGGGAAGCCACCAGTAAACCTACCATGTTGGGGGGTCCGATTCCTAGACAGCTTGGAAGCCATGAATTTCAACCGGATGAATGCAGCATTTGGCGAACCTTGCCGTTTGAGGCCTTTGTATGAGCCGTATCGTGTTGGACTATGTTCGCATGCATGCATCTAGGCACGCGTCCAAATAGGGCCCCGAAAACATGATGGTTATCCTTTGGATTCCTTAAAACCAAGGTGCAAATGGAGCCTTGAAAAAATAAACAGACACCTTGGCACTTTAAACTTTTGCGGAAGACCATTTTAGTGTCACATAAAATGTTAAGATTTTTGTTGAGGTAGTTGCAATTCCCAGACAGGGTTCCCCATTTAGTCATGAAGCTTCATTTATGGTTTCAAGAGGGAACCACTGAATTTTGATGTAGTGGACATAACCCCCCACTGAATTCTCATGTCAGCAGGGGTCAACTAAAACGTCCCAATCATCCATGAGCCAAGGTGTCTGATGGGTTTCCCTGCGATTTTTTTCATGTGTTTGTCCAGGGCACTTAAGCAAGTGGATGACAGTGAGACACCCAGACACACCCAGACACCCGCGCGACCTCACAGGAGTTCGAGCGGCGGTTGCGGGAGCTGATCGCGTGGTCGCAGAAGCCCGGCTGAGTCGAGTGTCCCCGGTCTAGCGATCACGGGGCTGGTTTGGTTTCCTATCCCTGTGATTCCAATTCTCTTGGTTCCTTGTGGGGGGGAGGAAGCCAATTTGATTTCCCTGTTAAGCACTAAGAGGAGAATGGCTGGTTACGTCCTATTCAGGTGAGTGGGATCCACTGGGCATGTTATTGTATAACTTGCCCAAAGCGAATCAACCGGATCTGACCTTTTGGTTCTCCCTTGTTGGCAACCCTTTTTCGTCCAGGCCCCAAATGGAGTTTTCACCTTGTATGCTTGGGTCCAAACTGGGAACTGAGCGGGCTGGATCTTTAGCATTTCACTTGTTTGTGTGGACATTACAGCCAATGTCCCCACTTTCTGGGCAGGTAGCCCATCAAGTAGCAGCACTCTCCAAGTCTTTGGACAGTGCTTGGCTATTTGGGTTTGTCTTGTGTTCCCGTTCTGTCTTTTGTCTTGAAAAAGAGCCACAGGAAAACACCTGGTGGGGCCCTGGTTTTGAGAGCCATGCATGTTGTGTTCACAAGTTGCAAGTTCATCAGTTGCATGTTGTCAATGTTTAGGTAGCTGCCCTTTGGGTGAAGCCATGGATTGAGGGAAAGCCGGGAGCCAGCCAAATCCCGGAGAATGGTTTGACTGCGGCAAGGCTGCGGCAGCATTGACCCTGTGCAGATTTGCTGTGGCTCTGCAAGGTTCGAAGCAACTGCACCAAGCGCGCAGAACCGGCAAGTCAGCACTTTGTCTGTGGCCCGCCCTTTCTTCAAGGGGCTTCTTTCAAGCCACAGCAAAACTTGTCTTGGAATGGATAGCATTTATCCCTGTTCTGAACTGTTGCACCCTCCCTTGTTTTCTTGGTTGTGTTGGACAGATCCCAGAACACCATCGGCAAGTCGCCCTCGGCAAGTTGCCCTCTGAAAAGCGGACGCCTCAGGAAGCGCTTCGGTGACCCTCGCGAGAAGGAGAGATGGGCGGATTGGGAGGAGTTGCGGCCGAGGATCCCAAGCGAATCGACCGTTTGACCTTTTGTGGTGTGTCCTTTTGCGTCCAGTAGCTATGTTGGTCCAGTTTTGGCCATGTCCCGGTCCATTGGGCAAGAGAAGTTTTGCCAAAGTCGCCTAAGCCTTTAGAATTCGGACCGAACTGAATTCAGAGCTTCTACTTCAAGAGTCCCCGGTTCCGAGCCTGCAAAGGGGGAAGGGGCCTTCTCGGCTCAGTCGATGGGGCTGCACCCGTGCCAGACCCCCAGAAGATTTCAAAAGTTGGGCCAATCCGCCGCGAGTTGGAATCATTATACTTGACCTTTCTTTAAGATTTTGTTTTTTTGGGTGGATCTTTGGACTTTAAGCTGTTGGTTGAAACCGTGGAGTTTCCATTGGACCTACAAAAAATTATGCACTTTCTGCAGAGGGGTCGTTACAGCAAGCAAGCTTTCGTTTCCCATTTTCACTCCACAATAGCCATCCAAGCAGTGTCGAGGTCCTAGCAACCCACCGGGGAAATGTGGCACCCTTGGGGAAAATTGTGACGACCGGGTGACGAATTGGTGGCCGTAGCACTTGCCGTTGGGTCCAACAAAACATGATGGGGCATGTTTGACAAGATGCTTATTTGGGTTTTTGTTTTTTCAATGGAAGCTGATATTTGTCTTGGTGTTGGAAGACTACAGTACTTTTGAAAAGCCCTGTCGACTTCTGTTTGGGCTTGCGGGATGGCCATGAACCCTTTAAAGCTTGTGAATTATTACCAAAGGAAGTGATGTCCCACACAAGGAATTTTGACCATGACATGTGCTCCCCTGGAAAACAACCTTGATGCACGCCGCTTGCGGGATTCTCGGCTAGTTTGCGCAGATATCCTGTTCGGAGGCCCCTTGAAAACGAACGGCGTCCAGATTCTTCCGAGGTCTTCCAGCTGATGCAGGATACATATATATATATAGATATGTTCCTGCAATTGTTTGGATATTTGTCTTTGTTTGGCTGACGTGACGCCTTTCAACCTTTAAATGTCATGTGTCTTCCTGTTGCCCTCCATACTTCAAGTGCCAGGTCGTTCCAAAAACAAATGGGAGGCCGCCCTGCTGAAATCTTTGGGTGGCCTCAGAGGACACGCCCGCACAATTACAGCTCCGCAAGGCCCGTCGCGAAAAAATATGGGGGCAAGAGTTTGGGGACCTATAAACCGCCCCCCGAACGTTGCCTCCCAAAATCGGCAGGCTTGGTTTGCCTTGGTTGCCTTATTGCCTTACTGCCTTGTTTGCCTTGTTTGTTTGTTGGTTTGTTTGTTTGTTTGGTTTCCTCTTCGTCCGTTTGTCTATTTGTTTGTTTGTGGCTTGTGCTTGTTTTCAAGACTTTGTCCCTGTGCTGTTCCGATTTCCGAGGGCTTCTGACTGTCGGACCTTGGGCTTGTATTTTTTTCTTTGGACGGTCTTGTTTGTTTGCGTCCCTGAACTTCTTCCAACGCGCTTGATCGGGGTCCGGAGGTTTCATCAAGGGAGTTTGAATATGAATGACTTTGCACCATGACACCTAGTATTTTGTGTTGTTTGTCGAGGAATCCCTTTGGACGGTGTCAAGGGAAAGCAACAGGAAAAACACCCTTTAAAAAGCGGGGTCCCTAATTTTAAGACAAATCCATGTTTGCCAAGAATAAAGACCTTTACCTTGGTGGGGAGACACTCCCCTGATAGTCCAGGTTGATCAATCTGGAGTCCACACTAGGAGTCGGACAGTGAGGGTTGCTCATAATATGTCGTTGTCCAGGTCCATTTGGGAGGGACAAGAAAGGGAGAACATCCGCAATTGCAACAAGAAACGAGAAGGGACTCGCTAAGTTTCCCATGTCCAGCAGGGGACTCGCGTAGAGGCCCATCCCTATGGACTTGGCGAGCTAGACTGGGATGGCAATCCATGGTGCTTGACAAGTTGCTTCCCGGCTTCAGATGGTGAAACAGAGGAAATCCGTAATCAAATGATTTTGGTTTCAATTTTAAAGAAAAAGTGCCACATGGCTCCACAAGCGCCTAACAGCACAGTGTTGATCCGACGAATTAGCGCGGCTCTGTCGGGCTTGCTGCTAATGTGAGCAGCGCATTTGGTTTTGCACACATACTCAGTTGCAGGTGGCCCGGCCCGAGAGTCTTGAGTCATTCTTGAGTCTTCTTTGGCCTTTGGGAGGCCCTTTTTGTTGTATCACAGAAGTGGATTCCATTTCCCACCGCGAACTTCCTTGTATTTGAACACAAAGCACAATGGGCAAACATATCGCAACCAGACGGAAACATCACCTAGCGCGACCTTCAAGGCACGGCCTCTCTCGCTTGCCATTCTGGCGTTCAACACGGGCCCATGGAGGCACCCTGGAAGCCACTTGGTTTCTTTGTTATTATTTTTACTCTCTCTTCTTTTTGGGGGGGGTCCAGTAAAGATCGCCTCTTTCCAGGGTGTCACTAGCTGTGCCCTACTTAACGTATCCCGGCAAGGGGATTCCCCCTTGTCACCTTCCCGTCACCGTGCCCCCGACTCAACATCGCCAGCCCCAAAATCAGGTTTCCCCCTATTCCGTAACCTGGCCTCCATTGCTTAAGAATATGTTGTTTTCCCCCCTTGTTGGTTTTAAGAGGAATTCAATAGAACATGTTATTTATGATCCTGCCTCAACCAAATGGAAGCTGCCACTCACCTGGTAAGGCGTTGAGGGAGTATAACACCAAGTACGCCTTCGACCCGGAGGGTGGCCAGAAGGGCGGCGTGGAAAACATCGAGGAGGCCATCGGGTCTGAAGCAACTGACTCTCCGGCCTCGGTTTGGCGGTTTCTTTCTTGGTGGTTCCCAGCCGTCCCCTGCTGGTTTTAGGTTTTTCGCCGATTTAAATTGGGGTTTCCGTTGTAACCACTAAAAGTTCAACTTTTAGCAGGGGATCTGAGGACAGTCCAGTTCTTTGGGGGAAAGCAGGCAAAACCTCAAAGTCCATTGAGGGTCCCCCTGTGACGGCCCGCAATCCATGAGAACTGATGCTGGAGGAGCGAAAGCTGATCCCAGCCTTTGTGGGGAGCGAGCTGACAAAGTCACTTGGGAATTGTACGAAACCAGACATGAACAACCTGGTACACCCTGGTTCCCTCGCATAAGACCTGAACCAGTGGGCTTGGATTTGCGTTGTCTCCAAGAAGTTCCTGGCCAAGTTCCCCGGTGCAATGAGAGCTCTCAATAGACAGCGCCCAACATTGTCAGGTTTCAGAACCAGGCAGATGCTCTTCGCAAGCCATTGTGATGTGTGTGTGTGTGTGTGTGTTTGAACTAGGACTCCGCACATGCGAAAGGCATGCGATCCCGTGGGAGGGATCTAAGCGTCTTTTGAACCGGCTGGTTTTGTCTTTAATTCGGAGATCCTTTTTAAATGTGTTGTTGCTTCATGATTCTCCACGTCAAACAGCTCCGCAAATATTTGACACCCCCCTCCCCCCTTCCCCTGTGCAAAACTGGGAGTGCAAGGGTTCGTTTGGTCAAGATGGGGCACCATCTTATGCTTAGTTGCCCAAGGCGTCCGGATCTGACCTGTTGGTTTTCCAATTTGGCAACTATGTTTGTTTAGTGGCCTCAAAAGGTGATATTTGTTTTTTCTGGGTCCAAGCTGAGAACTCGTAAGGTGGCGTGATCATTCCAGAGTTTGTTAGGTGGCGCGAAATGGATTTCGTCCATCCACAGCTCTACTGCTATTGGGTCGGACCTTTAGACTTTATCTTTTTGGATTCCCCACATAGTCCTTTCAACCAGCAAAAAGTTAAACTCTTTGCTGGGCGATCTACAGCGCCCAAGACAGTGTGTGTTTTCTTTCTCGCCAGGAGATCGCGCGGTACCGGCAGTTCTCGGAGATCCTGCGGCACCAGATCGTGGACAGCGTCACGCTGATCCATGAGGAGTCGGGTTTTCCCGGGGGCCAAGGAACTGGGCGCCCAAACTGGGGTTAACTGGGGTTCTTGAGGGTAAATGGGAAACCTCCCAACCACCCCGCTAAATAGGCTACTTAGGGGGAAGCTGAACAACTTGCTTGCCCAAAGCGAATCGACCGGATCTGACCTTTTGGTTTCCCGGTTTTGGCAACCATGTTCAGTGGACCCAAAAGGTGTTCACCTTCTATTTCTGGGTCCTTTGGGGAAAAGCAGACGTGGGCGCGAAGTGTTTCTGTGGATGGACAAAAAGGGTTGTGAGTCCCCGAACTAGTTCGTTGTTGCCGAAAAAGCGTTTATTTCCTCAGTTGGTTTTAAGGAAACTTTATCTATGTTGGACGTGGATGGCGTTTGTGCAGTGCCAAGTTGAGTCAGCTGCTGCGGGGCCCGGGTAAAAAGTAAGGATACCCTCCCTTCCAAGCATCATGCAAGCTGGCAGGAGGGTATTGGAAGACTAGTTTCCTTTTGGGGCACGCGGAACCCACTTTCATGATTGGAAAGACGAGGCTAGGGTTAAACCCAACACTTGCCCTTTTGGGGAAGTCACACACACACACACCTTTGGCAACAATGGACCCGAGCATTCCGAGGTGGAGTGATAAGTTCAAGCCCGCTCCTTCCAAGTTTGCCGGTTCTCAGATACGGGGAATGAAGGAACAATCCCGCTGAACTCTCCTGTGATTCCCCATTGACTACCTAGTTGTTGTTTTTTGTGTGTGTTTTTTTTAAAGAGCTCGGTAGCCAATTCTTGTATTTACGAGAAGCCAAAGGGAAACCCAAATCCATTTTGAGTCCCCCTATTTTGACACATACCCGTATCAACCATTTTTTTGGGTGAGCCAACAACTCATGCATCCGATAGCACAGGCTGAGGGAGTTCAACCTGGCAAGAAACATGCGGGGGGTGTCCGAAATGATCGACTCCCTTTCTGTGCTTTTGAAGGAAAGCCAACAAGAAAGAACCTCAACGTGTTGTTCTACCAAATCCTTCTGACCCTTAAAAACTGGTTGGTCATTTACCCAAAATCACGGGCATATAAAAACCTGCAGGGGTGGAGACAGGGGTCTGGTTTTCTTTGAACCGGCCGGTTTCAAGGGACCAACTGGCCGGTTTCAAGGGACCCCCAGGACATCTCCAGGGGCTACAAGGCGGGGTGGGGGCGGGGTGGGGGCCGGGGCCCGGGGCCATGGGGGCCATGGGGGGGAAGCGGACCGTAGGCTCGTATGGTTGACTTGGAACCCAAAAAGTTAGATGCCGTTGCTCGGTTTGGCGCTGGTTTGGAGGTTTTTTTTTTTTTTTTTTTTTTCTCCGTTTGCCAGGGCAATCCATTGTGCCCAAAGGCCGCCTATGCGGGCAAGTGTTTGGTGGCCCAGAGCCCACTCACTGTCCAGTTTCTGTGGTTGATGTGTGTGTGTTGGGTAGGTCGGATTGTTTGTCCAACCCGCATCAATTTGTGCCCTGGTATCATGCAATTCTTGTAGTTTGCCATGCTTGCTGCTTGATATTGTTTACATTGGCGGCTGCGCCGCAAAACTGACCGACCGACAAAAAAGCTTGAACCACGAGGACGATGTCCACCACAGATGTAGATAAAGGATAGTGGACAGTCCCAACATGTCCCAACTATTAACACGGGAAATCAGTATTGGGGTCAATAGCCCTTAGTTTCCCAACTTTGAAGAGGTGCCACCATTTTGATTTGTCATTTCGGTATGGGTCAAAATTTAGCAGTCAGGGGACCAAAGGTTTTTGTCATAGTCCATGTTTCCATTTACCAGGGCAAGCCATTTTTGGGGTTGCCCTATTCTTGACCCGTGGCAGTTTCATGGGTTTTGGGTAGCTTGGCAGCTCCCGCCATCCGGTTCCTTAGCTTTTAGATCCTTTTAAAAAGGTTCAGTGGTAGTCTCCGAATTTAACCCATGAAAAGTTCGCACTCTCCAGGGATTTCGCCCATTACAAGTCCTTTTAGTTGGTTTGTTTAGTGGTAGTTTCCGAACTCAACCCATGAAAAGTCGAACTTTCAGCAGGTGTCTCGTTCACTGCGTGGTAGTCTCCGAGTTTAACCCACGAAACGTTGTCGACTTTCAGCAGGGGACCCCGACAAAAAAGAAGAAACAACAGAAACGGGAAACACAAAGGGGAAACACAAGGAAAACAACAAAGGAGCAACAAAAAGCAAGAAAAAAAAACGGAGAAAGCAAAGGGCGGGGAAAAAAAAGAGAAAACGGACAGCCCAGGTGGCCCCAACGGCCCCTCGCCCCGTTGGCACGGATTTCGAGGTCCTGGTGGAAGGCGCCAACGCCGCGCTGCTGGACATCGACTTTGGCACCTACCCCTTCGCTTCTCGGACGGAAGTCGGAGGTCGGAAGTCGGAAGTCGGAAGTCGAAGCCCGGGCGTTTGATCCGAGCTGTGGGCGTCTTTTTTTTTTTGGTTTTGGTACGAATATCTATCTGGTCGAGGTTGGGTGCTTGTTTAGTCTTGGGCTTTGTTTTTTTGTTTCGAGTTTTGGTACGAATGTCTAGTCTGGGCTGTGTGAGATTGGCCAAGCCTCCATTTTGAACACAGCTACTGGTCCCAAAAGCTGAACCCTGTATTTGGCGTGTTGGATTTTTTTTGGTTACCAGGATGTTCAAGGTCCCAAAAGGTGATCACCTTTTGTTTTCTGGGTCCAAACTTGGCAACTTAGGAAGAAACGACTTCGAAAAGCAAGCAAAGTTCGAGCAATCTCCGCTGAAATGTCTGGCAATTTTTGGGCACAAGGCCGACAAGAAAAAGGCTCCCAGTGATGGATGCCGTTCCCAGTATAGGCAATTATGGGAACCACCTGGTATAAGAAGCCAAAAAGACAATGGCTGGTTACCTGCTAGGGGTATCTGGGATCCTCTGAGAGTGCCGATTTTTCGGGGGCATCACGGAGAGGCCCTAGGGCTCTAACTCAGTTGGGGGGTTCCAACAGCCTGCAAGGTGACGTCTTCGAACACCACGGTGGGCAGCGTGTGCACAGGCCGAAAGGGCGAGCAGCATGTGTTTCACATTTTTAGCTTTGTTTTAGCCAATGTCTCACAACATTGTGACTCCTTGCAGGTGGTGGGTTTCCTTCGTGGTTTTACTCTACTTCAAAACTCAGATGTTGGCCACGAGAATTGCTATTCAGTGTCACTATGCGGGGAAGCCAGTCTTAACCACCTGGCCACCACCTAACCCATGCCGAAGCTTCTTCAAGTTTAGGTTAGACTAAACTTGGTGGTTCCCAGCCATTCGGCCCCCTAGGCGTTCACTTGCTTTCAGCTGGTTTAGTGGTAGTTTCCACTAAACTTGCTAAAAGTTTCACATATGTTTAGCGGGCATCTGAAATCGGACAGCCCTGTTTTATCTGAGAACCACACATGTGATTGCTTTTCTGTGATCAGAGTTGGGCCAGGGAAGGCTCCTGAGGCAGCGGCAACCCCGGATATTGACCCCATATTCATCCACCCCAGTTCATTACGAGGGGGGTGTCCCTTGGGTTTAGTGGGGAAATCTTCACTTTTGGAGGGGAACGCCCTTAGTTATAAACTTCTGATGTAGGGAGCTCAGGGATGTTGAAATCTAGTTCACCCGCAGCCAGCCCTTCTTGTTTCTCTTTTCGTCAGGAGCCCAAATCTTCCCAGGCCCCACGCTGGGCTAGGGGGACCGTTTGGTGGACACAATGGATTTCTGCCCACCTATTTGGGAGGCAATAAAAATCATTCGGAAAGTACCGTCTATCTCGCCCTCTCTCTCGCTCTCTCTCACTTTCCCATCCAATTATCAGCGTGTTTTGGCTGAACTTTCAAGCCAGTTTCGCGAAGGATGAACACCCATTGGGGTTTCTATTAGTTGGGTCCCCGTTCTCCTGTATCGTGGGCATAATCACTTGACAGGGAAACCCAAAGGGGGTTGTTCAAAGGATATTGGCTTAAACCAGGGTTCGAAAAAGTTCGTGAATGCCCCAACCTTGTGGTCAAGTCATCCTTTTGCTTGATTTCTAGGTCATCCTTGGCTTGGTTTTTGGATGTATTTTGGAGAGAGTCCTTGGCGTTTCCGGAGAGGCCTTGGAGTACCTCCAAAGCAGATCGACACCGTGATCGGTGTGGTGAAGGCCAAGACGGGACCTGTTTTGGATTGCTTGGTTTGGCTAGACATAGATTGGTTCCACTGGTTTAGATGGGTTTGATTCGCCATAGGAAAGTGGGAATCCACCAACTCGAAAAGGTGCTCGCATTTAGGTGACAGCCCCATAGAGCCACCCGAGACACAAATGATGCCATGTACATGGCACTAGTTAGGTTCTCTTTTGTCCAGTTGGACTGGGATTCCCCAAGCATGAGCATGGAATCAAGTCTGACGTAGCCCTAATGTCTTCACAAACACGTGGCGTTGAGTTTGACTGCGCAGAGTGTGAAATAGGTTCCAAGACAACCCGACTGCCAGCTGAGCTGAACAAAATGATGGCAGCATGTCGGCCCAGCAAATCATGGCAAGGAAGACCGCGAACCCTTCAAAAGCAATAGTGTTCTATGGCTGTCCCTTGGATTTCCAAAGGCCAGCGGCATGTTTTTGGTCGGCTGACAATGTCGGGATATATACCTCACCACACAAGCCCCGCAAGCCTTCGCCAGTCAAAGCAAACCTGCGACAAAGAAATTGTCAACAACCCATGAACGCATCTGAGTCTTTCAAGCACATGGCCAACATGGACCTTGGGGATAATTACTCCTGGCAATGCCTTCGTTTGTCATCCAGCGACCCTGGGCATGTCTCTTTTTCGGCATGTCTCAACTGGGGTAGTTCCCCGTGAATTTCCTGAATGCTTCATTACAGGGTGCCGTCGAAGAACAATTTTCCCAGGTTAGTCCAACGGTTGTTACTTTTGTGGGCCAACCTGTTCAAGAAGTAAGAAAACAGCGGGTGCCCAGCAAAAAACAGTTACGCCATATTATTGTGCTCAACTCTGTGCGAGTGGCAGGCCTACACTACGAGGGTGGGGCATGGGCCCTTTCCAACGGAACCTCGGCGCTCGGACCAGGCGGCCCTTTTTCCCTTTCCATCGGAATTGGACCTTCGGGTAAGGGGCCTTTTCAAGAGAATGGCCGTCTTTCCAAGTTATGGCAACTTCCATTGGAAAAAGTGCGACTGGGGAGAAAGTGGTTTGTGCAACCACTGTTGTTGTTTTCAATATCCAAATTTTGACACATACTCATTGGTGCAAAGCAGTGATCCATGCTACCTGAGGTTTGACCATGGCAAATGAGCAATCAAAACCCACACGTGTTTCGAAATGCATGTTAGAGTTGACCAAATAAGGAACCTAATCTCAAATAGGATATTTTGCTGTTCCCTTGTGTTTTGGCCAAAGAAGGGAACAGTCCCTTTGCCTCAAACAGGTGAGGAAGGCCATGTGCTTTGGGTCCTCTTTACGGCCCAGCCTATGCTTTGGAATGTCAATGGATGCTCATGGATCTTCGAATTCATTGTGAGGCAACCAGTATCGGTCATTGAAGCCATGACAATGAGCAGGGCTTTTCAGTTGCTGGCTCACGGTTTGACCTGTTGGGGCTTGGCCTTTGGCCTGTGTTTTGTTTTGACTTGACGTGGCCCAAGAACAAGGCCCCTGAGTTGTTCGAGGATCGCCGGCCTGCGACGTCGCATTCGAGGTGAGCTTGGCGGAACTCGACGGTTTGCCCATTGAGCGTGAAGTAAAAGGTGTTTCCCACGAAAAAGCCTTCGGCCACTTCGGGATGCCGAAAGAAACAGGCGCACTTTTTTGGTTCACTCAGGGGAGGGTCCTCAGGATTCGGCTGGCTTTTCAGTTTAACCCAACAATATGGATGTGTCTTTAGGGGACACCCAAAATGACTTCGGTTGTCCGTTTGGCTTTCCCTTAAAGCCACAAACTAAGGGTACCCTCAGAAAACGACACACCCGTATGTGTTGTGTGCTCTTTGCAAAAGGGAAGGCAAGGCCCAAGAGAAATGATCATCCGATCCATAAGTCACAGCATCCACCCAAGCGGCTTCGACACAACACATAAAACTGAAAGCGCGATCGGCGGACATTGACTGAATGCGCAGCTGAAAGCTTCTAATGGCTTTAATGAAGAAACAACGATTTCCCCCTGTTGACTTAAACGGAATCTATCACTACTGGGCATACTGTGTATGTTTCCACGGCTCAAGCAAATGCAGGAAAGGGCAATCACCATGACAGTCTTCAAAAAGAAGGCTAGGAGACATCCCTTTGGTTCCGGTGGACATCTCAGGTATAAATGAAATCACGTTACCGACTCAAGCTTTTTCCTATTCTTCTGTGTTGCACCTATGCTTTCAACTGGTTGACGTGGTTGCCGCACCGGGAAAACGGGTTCGACCAAGGAGCTGCAGAACGAGGCTCAAAGCCTCCAGGAATCCGCCGGAGGGTGGGTGGGTTGGTGCTGACCGGTTGGTTTGGGGACAGAAATCGGTCTGAGTTCTACTGGTTTGGATTGGTTTGGAGAGCAGTTGGTGTTATGCCATGCAGTTACCAGTGAAACCCATCGATTCGGTCACGTATAGGAGGTTGGTTTAGTTCTCCCCTTTACTTACCCGCACAAAGGGATTTGCGCAATGGTGTATTTCCCTGTTTGCTGGTCTTAAACCTCACCTTGCCGGGCCAAGCTAGAGTGAGGTTCCTTTTGGTGGGATGATGTTTAAACGGGAAGCATAGAAAACGAGGTGGGGCACCCATGCCTTTTTGTCACGAGACCATAGTGCCTTGCACGAGTAGGCGAGTAAAATCCCGCAGTGATTTCAGCGCGTCTCCAAGTGGGATTTGTGTAGAGTAAGCCCAAGGGAACTGATCGACTGGGGAAACCACAGAGGTCCTCCTTGAGGGCACATGGCAAGAGCCATGAGGCTTACAGCAGGATAGTAAGCCGGAGTCAGTTTACATTTGAGCTGCACTTTGGACACCTTCAAGGACACAAAGGCTTCACAGTGTTGACGTCCCTGGTGAATCAACTGCCACAACGAGGACTGAATTCGATTCGAAGCATTTGCAGCGCTCATGGCATCTTGGTGGCTCCCAGCCATCCGGTTCCTTAGCCTTTTAGCTTCTTAGTGTTTAGTGGTAGTTTAACCATTTAACCCACTAAAAGTTAGTCACTAGAACCTGCGGTTTGCCCCACACCAATGTGAACATGATAACGGTGTCTGAAGCTCGGACACGCCGTGATGTGGCTTTGGAATGTGGGTGTGTCAAAGGTTTTCAGCTTTTTGGTATTCCATAAGCAGGTTTTTCTTGGAATAGGAAAATGCCATGCCCCCCCCCCCCCCCTCTCAGCAATGGCTGTTCATCACTTTGCCCCTTAGGATTGTTTTCTTCCATCTCCTCTTTTCCTGATTTCTATTGGGTTGAATCATAGGTTTAGCTTTTTGGTTCACGCTTATCAGGTGTTCCTTCGAACCCACAAAAGGTATTCACTTGTTGCAGAGGGGTCGTCACTGCAACCAAGTTTTTGGTTGCTTCGGCGTTGTTATGTTCTTCGGCGAGGACCACATGGAGATGTACGTGGGCCCTGAGCAATCCTTGGAGCGCAAGGCTCCTTTGTGTCGAGTCGAGGAGTCGAGTCACCAGAAGTCCCTGTAGCCCTCGGACCACGCGTGGGGGCGGGGAGGTTTGACAAATACAGTATGTAGAACAGTTAGTTAGAACATGCGCATATGTACATAGAATCAACATGAGGGTCGAGATGGACACCAGAAGGCTTCGAATACGAGACGGGTCTTGGGACCCTAGACAGTTGGCATTTGTCCAACAACTGGACTTGATTTCTTGCAGACCTACTTAGCACCCGGAATTACTTGCTTCCTCGTGACTTCCCTTGTACTTACCCAAAACGGGTACCATGCGGTACCCTCAAGACCACACACACACACACGCACGCACACGCACACGCACACACTCACAAGCAGCCCCAGGACGCAGGGGAAAAAGGAGCTCACTATGCTGTTGGTCATTTGGCCTTATTTCAGGTTTGCTTTGTTGTTGAAAACGGAGGATGTGGGTCGTCTCCTGTGTCGATCGCCTCTCTTTGGCGCATCGAGCGCTCGCGCCCTGGCGAGCCAGGGACACAGCGCCGGGCCCTACTGTGTGAGTCCCAACACGCAGGCGGGACGAAAACAAGTTTCTCAGCTTCCTGGGTCTTGGACTTCAGTGGCAAGCAACACCACTAAGACATGTGTGGCCCATGTGCGGGGGTGAGGTTTAGGGTGGTGGGGTTGATTCCAGTTGTAGTTTGGATCGTTTTAGGGGCGTTTTCTCGTGACCCCTGTGCATTGTGCTGTGATTGTTTATATATATATATGACAACCCAATTTCATGAAAGACCAACAACATGCTCCGTCAATAGCCGCAGCTCTTGGTGGGGCGAAGGGCTAAGATCTGTAATTTGAGATGAAGTTGGGCGAGATGCAGAAAAGCAGTGGTTCGGATATGCAGTTGGGTGTGCCTTTTTTAGGTTGGACCCCCGCAGGTGGTGTTCCTGTAGTTTCCCTTGAAAACACCGAAAAAAGGAGTACATAAAACTCAATGGTTGTTACGCAAATTGTGTTGTTAATGAAAAGCGGACAGCACTTCTATTCAAAGACACTGACAAGGCCATGCTTGCCACCAAGCGACTCCTCTTGCTTTCCCATATTTCTCATGTCCTCCATGTATTCCTATCTTCCACCATTTTTCCAAGTTCTCATGCGTTGTCTATTTCCATTTTCCAACATGTTCCCATGAGTCCCACATATTTCCCAGTCATTCTCCGCATTTCAATCATTTCTCCCAGTTTTTTTAGGTTTTCCTGGGGTTTGTGGCGGTTTCCGCTGGCCCCATGATTTGCTCTGACTCTGACAACCCAAAAAACGGTCCATGTAGTCTGACCCTTTTCCACATGTTTCCCACACTTTTCCCACATTTCTCCAGAGATGCCCCACGATTCTCCACATTTCTCCACATCTCTCCACATTTCTCCACATTTATCCACATATTTCCAACATTTGTGGGCATCTTTCTGCGGGCCTTGGGGTTTTGCGAGGTGAAGGTGGGGGAGATGCTGCAGGAGGTGGGCCACGAGTACGGCACCACCACGGGGCGCCGAAGGCGCTGCGGCTGGCTGGACCTCGCCCTGGTGAAGTACAGCGCCATGGTGCGCCTCGGCCGACGGCGCAGGTGGCCGACGGCGGGCGGTGAAACCAGTTCAACGGAGAGGTCACTTCCATTTGGTGAAATGAATATTTGTTCTTTTCCCCTGATGGTTTTAAAAGGAATCTATCACGAATTACAGGAAATATGTTTTTTGTGTTTTTTTTTCCAGGGGACTTAAGCAAATGGAGGGTCAGGTGGCGAGTCTGGGTAATTCCCGAAAGAGGAGTCGAAAACAGGGGCACCACAAAAAAAACTCATGACTCCCAAAAGCCATCCGGTTCCTTAGGTTTTTGTTGTTGTTTTTCTTTTGTTGTTGTTTAGTGAGTTTAGGGGAGGGGTCCGTATATATGTATATATACATATATTTATTTATGTATAGACATATTTGGTGGTGTGTCGGCTTCAAGTGAGTCCCAGCTTTGCGGCTATTTGGGTGTTTTTTTTTGTGGGTACCTGAAAGGGGAAACAACAAAAAAAAACACCATGTTAGGGTTCCCTAAAGGGTCCCCTAAAAAGAGACAGTTCCTGTTGACTTTACTTGGTGGTTCCCGAAGGCCATCCGGTTGCGCAATTTGTTTTAAGGTTTTTAGTTGATTTAGTGGTTGGAAACCACGAGTCCACCGAGTCCTAAAAGGGCCGGTTCTTTGGCAGGAATTTCCCTGGTATTGTTTTTGATGGGGATATGGACTTGGTGTTTGGAATGACAATTTACAGAAGGGAGGGCTCCCATGTTTGATTGCCCCAAGGTATGCTGGACTTGGTGTTTGGCTATTTGGATTTTATTGTTTTTTGGCTATTGTGGTTGGACCTTTGAACTTCATCTTTTGGGTTGAGCAGTGGACTCCCTGAGCTCATGGACTTTGAGCTTGTTGGGAAAACTGTTCACCAAATGTTTGGACTTTTTTTGGCGAATCCACTCAGGAAACAAGACCCAGCTTGCGGGCCAATTTGTTGGCAAGGTTCCCATTTGTTTGCCCCGTTTCAGACCCACCGGTTTGGTTTTCCCCTGTTTCTTGTTGATGGGGATCGGATTTGGACTTGTTCTGCTTTTTTAATGCTGCAAAAGGGTTCCCATGTAGATTGCCCCAAGGTCGCAGGAACCCGGTGGTTGATTTCCCCAAAAAGGAACCGCACGGGTAGCCTGGAAATCAAAAAGCGGCACCCTGATTCTGCGTTTGGCTCCTCGGGGTAAGGCCTACAGAAGCCTTCACCATGCTGCTACCAAAAGTCTCTAGGTTTTTTTCAGGGTTCTTGTTTCAGTACCCACTGACTTAGTGAAACCGAGCGGCTCAACAACGGCGGAACGGTAGCATTTGACCCTACACCTGACTCGCAAAAGAACCCTGAAGACCCTGAACCCTAAACCCAAACCCAAACAACCCTAAACCCGAAAAACCCTAAACCTAAACTCTAAAACCTAAACCTAAACTCTAACCCTAAACCTAAACTTTAACACTCTAGACCTAAGCCTGTATGGAGTAGGATTAAATGTGACGGGGCAAAATTGTAAAGGGGGGTCAAATGCGCCGGTCCGGAAGAAACCACTGAGCTTAAGTCTACCTTGGGGGGCGATCAAACAAATGCCCCGATGCCTTCGGGCTCAGGCCAACATCTATGAGTTGGTAGTTCCGTGGTTGGTGGACATGAGTCCCCAACGAATTCTGTCCAAAGGGTCTCGAAGTACAACCCATACCCATGTCAATGAAAATCGGGGGGGGGGTTCGCAAAATGGTTTGCAGACACTCTTTGGCTTGGTAGTTGAAGGGCAGCAAGGAGGAACCACCTGCTTGGGGTATTTCGAGAAACACTCATGAGGGTTTGTCTAACATTGGGCGTCCCAAAAGACTCATGTTTGTTGGATCCAAGTAAAGCTGGAAATATTGGTTTTCTGCCCCCCCAAAAAAAACACACACAAAAAACACACACAGGGTGTCCCTTGAACAGCAAAACAACAACGTCATAAGCTTAGGGTTGTCTTTTTTGGTTGCAAATTTGAAGTTCCCTGATCTTGGTTTCCTTTTGGACGTATAGAGATGTAGTTTTTGAGGGTACCCTTCTTCGGTTGATTTAAAGCGTAATTCAAAGGGACACCATCCTTTTGGGAGACAAATCAAAGACGTGTATCGTGCATGTGTATGAACCCCTGGTATGGTTGGTATTGAGTGTGAATGGCAGCTCGGTTGAACACCAGGTTTCAGTTTGGATTCAACATGGCCATGAATTCATGTGTTTCCCAAGGCCAATAGTTTGGATTCCTTGTATAAAGTCTCATCCTCTTTTTTCTGTAAATGCCTCGACAAGTTCACCTGACCAATGGGAAAGACATGGGGTTTGTATCTGAATGGTTCTCCTTTTCGTTCCCCTCTGTTTTGCCCCCCCCCTTTTACACTTCCAGCTTTTGATTTCCCTTTGAAGCCAGCCAACAAGGGGTTCCTTTTGTCAGAAGATGATGCGCTAAGCATCCAATTGTCAGACAGTTGTTTTCAGGAAAGTGGCAAGAAGATGTTGACAGGGTGCCAGCGCGATGCACATGCGTGGTGCCCATTTATTGTGTATGGGTTGTCCTGAGAGGCCAGGCAGTTTCACCAGCATGGTGAGGTTCCCAAATCTCGAGCTTGCTAGCATGTGGGTGTGGTTCATTTTTGTTGAGGCTCGGGTTGCCCTCTTGGAGTGAGGAGTTTGGTCGGGAATCCAAAGGGACAATCAGAGGCTCGCAAGTTATTGAGACACGTAAGCAGCAGCTGAGCGCCCAAGTCCGCCCAAGACCCCCGAATGAGTTTTCAGAGTTGCAACCTTGGCATGGACCCAACACACAATTTAAATCTTGTTTGCTGCAGGCAAACTACCCAATGCTGAACTGGCGAATTGGGTTTTGTTGCCCTTGGGGATGCAGATGTTTCATTGGTCGGTCAGTCGGTCGACCACCGGCGTCGGTCGGTCGGTCGCTCAGTTGTGCCCATTTGCCGTTCGTTGAGGGGCTCGTGCGGGTTTAGGGTAGTATAGGGCTTGGGGGTTGTTTCGGGTTGATTGCGTGTTACAAGTAAGTAGGATTGATTGGGTTGAGGGTTGGTTTAGTTCAGGGTTGGTTGTGGTCAAAGGGCTGGAAAAGGTGATAGTTTAGTGCCGGTTTGGTGTGAGTTTGGGGCTGGTGTTAGGTGGGTTTAGACTGGTTTGGGGTATGGTCAGGGCTTAGGGCTTTAGGTCTGCTCAGGATGAGTTAGGGTTGGTCTAGGGCGTGCTTAGTGTCCGTACAGGGTTGGTTTAGAGTGGGTTAGTTGTGATGGGTGTAGTTAGGGTCGGTCTAGAGACCACAAGCCACACAAACCAACAAGTAGTCCATGAATCTGGGGTGGGTGGGTGACCGACCAACAAAATAAATTAAGGTAAGCAAAAATAAGCTCCAGTGATCCCCAACCGCATGAGGTGCTCTTTTTCGACCCCTGCGGAACCCTGCGAAACCTTGCCTCAGAACCCGCGGATCCCCACTGAACCCTTGCGGAACCCTTGCGGAACCATGCGGAACCCTGCGGAACCCTGCGGAACCCTGCGGAACCCCTGCGGAACTCTCAGATCCCCAGTACTTACTTTAGTATTGCCAATTCTACTCTAGTATTGCCAAGAACCATTTTTTCAGCAACCCCCAAAACCAGTTGGACACTAAAGAGGACCCCAAAGCAGTCGCACAGGGAAGAGCTTCTCACGCTGGCGCTGTGCTTTCTCACGATGCTGGGGTGTCAAAAGCGATGCCGGGGATGTTGGCTGTGCGAGAGTAAAACAGGTCCATTTTGTTGAATGCTTCTGTAAAATACGGCATTTTAGTGCCCGCCGAACCTCGGAAAAAGAACACGAGAGGGGAAGATACCGACGACTAATCTTAAAGATCTAGAACTACATCGAATAAACACTTGTTGAAGAACTTGGAACCTAGGAACATACACAACCCTTCCGCCTGCAAAACAGACATGGGGGAAGCGCAAGGAATGGCTTCGATAGCATCAACTTGACCAAGCTGGATGTGCCTTGGCTTCTCGAGGCGGCCCCCGCTGGTGTGAGCAACGGTCAATAGTTCTGACAAGACGCTTGGGACATGTGGATTACTCACAGAAGTCCAATGCCACTTGGGGACACAATGAATATTGACCAACATAGTCCGCATGCAGTATGAGATTAGGAGGGCCGCGTTTTGCTTAGTTCCCATGGTTTCCTTTGAGGGCGCTCATTGCGCTCAGGGGAAGGTGTCCCAACGACAGGATTCCAACAGTCCCGTCGAACGCCTCATAAGCTGCCCACTTCAGCACCCTGTTCCCCTTGGGCACATGCGAACACATCCACAGACACGCGCAACACAGGTAGGTGGAACGAATCCGCGTCAGAGTGAAGGCAGGACCTTTGGCAGTTCCGCTCCCAACTTCAAAGGTGACTTGCTCCCGTGTTTTCCTTGCAGTTTGGGTTGACCGAAGATGGTCAACCTCAAGGGGTTCCTTTGTCAGGGTCCGAGGCTTTTCCGTGGGAAACAATTGGAGGCAGGCTTTGAAGTAAAACCACCCGCGTTGGATTTCCCAAGTTCTCTAGACTTGAGTGGCTTGAGAGGCCGAATCTTTTCAGTGTCAACTTACAACTCACCCATCCATGAAGCTTCCTT